TGCGTTGACGCCACACCCTCATGCCTTGTAGTAAAATAATACATTAATCTGCTTAATTATTTTATGATACCAGATTTGATTTTATTAGAATGATCTTGAGATAGCAACTCAAATACTGAGTCTTTTGGCATAAATGTAGTTTACAGCATTTGGAGAAATGAGGAGTTCCAAGAGCCTGAGGGAGGAACTGAGAAAAATAAATTAGTTGTACAGGCAGAAAACAGAGTCTATGACCTTTCTAAAACCAATCTTACAGTCAGAGACGAGATAGAGACCCACAACACAAAGCTACCTTGAGTCTTACCAACACATCTGCTCTGGGGAATGTTTTTCATTTTGATCAGAAGCAGCAAACTTGGACTTGGTACCATCTCCTCACTCTCACACCAGTGAAGGTAAATCAGGACTCGGACACAGATTCAGATACAAAACAACAGATGCATATCTCTGTTTCATAGTGCACGTTGCCAGGCACTCTCCCTGTTGCCTATGTTTTTGAGCAGAATTGCATTTTTCCAAATTTGAGGTCACAGTTTGACCTTCAGGTTGCGTATGTGTTGTGCACTTTCGTTATTCCTTTTTCCTTGTGATACTCAACGATTTGTAGGAAAAAAAAAGTTCTTCTCTGAGGAAGTGAGGAAATGCCTAAAAAGGGAAACTGAGAGCCCTTTATTTTGCCTGTTGGCTTTCTGTGTGACCATAGTTCATCCACCAGAGGAGTTGGTGTAATGTTATTCCTGTGGGATTAAGATGAAGCTTTGGGAATGTTAAAAATGTTACTTTGGGAACTTCAAAAACATAAAGGAGGTGATGAAAACCAAAGAGGATAGTGGTGTTTGAAGTGAGAACACATAAAAATAAAGCGGGAGGAGAGTGCTTTTGGGAGGGGTCAGATTACAAACATTTGTGCTCAGTATCCACCATGACATTTCTGGTTCCTCGCCTGTAATTCAAACCAGCCATTTCTTACAGAGACAGACAATTGCTGGATGCCCACCAGGCACTGAGGCTTTGCTGCAGATAATTAAGATCTGATGAATGAGCTGCAACTCAGGCTGGGCTCGAGCGATGGCTTGCCAGGAGCTGTGCTGTCCCACACGCATGGTCCTGCTCTGCCCACGTAGCCATGGGGTATTTCTGCAACAGTGCTCATGCAAGGATGTAAGGGCCATCCAGTGGCCATCTGATTGGGCTGGATGAATGAGCAGTATATGGTGACTGGAAAGCTAGATGAGTGAGCTGCATCTCGTATGGTGCCCTCTGCAAATGGCTCTGTTGGCTGCCGTGGTTGGATCATATCCCTCAGAGGCTGATGGCAGCGGGAGGCTGAAGCTGTTTGATGTCTGTTGGTGCTGTGTGCTTGTGAGCCCGAGGCCGCAGTGCTCACCCGAGCGAGTGATGTTGCATGGGGCCACAGGGACGTGCCTGGGGACCAGCTCATCTGAGATGGTTCATGGTTCAGTGGGACCGAGATCCCTGATAAACTCTGCAGAGAGGAGAACTCCTTCAAACCGCATGAATGAGTTTGCTGATGACTTGCCAAAATATGCATATCGTGGTTCTCTTACTGCACGTCAATTTAATTAGAGACTTGGGGAGCCTCTGGATTTCCCCTACAAATCCTGCCAGCTGCGGGTAACCCGTGCTGCATCAAGACCAGCAGAGCTGCAGCTGTTTGGTACTATTTGCATTACAACAGTTTTAAAATTTCCTTACAGTATTGGGTCCCGTTTTGTTGAATAACAAAAACTTGCAGAGCTTCTTTAATGAAGCCTAGCGCATCTCACAAAAGCTTAGCTTTACTTGAGTTGTTGCTTTTGTGTTTTTTCATGGTTTTACTGTTTCAATGTTTTTGAAACAGAAAAAGTTTTTTACAGAAGTAAGTTTTTTACTTACTTACTCTGTTGGCTTCAAACTTGCTTAGGGCAGAAGACATAAAATGAGCAGAGAGGGACAGAAGGAAAAATAATAAATCAAGTGCTTGTTTTCTTAAGCAGCACCAATCTGTGCCAACCTCGTTTCTAAACAGAAGCAGAAATAGAAATGCATATTTTGCTTTGATTGAGATATCCCACAAAAATAAACCATGATACAAAGTTATCTCAAAATAGCTTGTGAGCTACAATAGTTTTGTGAAAGTCTCTTCACAGTGTTTCAGTGTGCTTTGAATTCTTTCAGCTTTACCCAACGTTCTGCATCGCCCTCTGTAAATGCTGAATCACTGTGGACATCTAATGGGATTTAGTGCAAAAATCTTCCCTGCCTTCTGTCTAGGGGCTGTCATTTTGTGATGAGCTTTGTGCATTCTCCTTTTCCTATGCAGCAGCACAGTTTTAGGCTGTGACTCTTATTGATCTAAGGGCGAGAGATCTGTTCTGATTTTTGGTAGGTATAAATCAGGATGCCCTGCAGAAATATATAGGAATAGAGCAGAAGTATTGTGTAACCATTTTCACACCTGTCTGTGTTTATTATATAGACATCCAAACCTATTCCATGTCTGTTATCTGAACAAGCACTTCAGTGCCCAGTGCTGCAGCCGTGTTGGACAGGAGCTCAGTGCCCGCAGGGTGCTGGGTTGCTTTGTGCCCCACATAATGGGCTGTGTTTGCTTCATGCTGCTCTCCTGTGGGGTTGGCAGGTGGAATCCTGGAGAAACTGAGCACAGGTTTGTGGAGGCCCCTGTCAGTGCGTGAGAGCACAGCACTGTCACTTGGATCTCATTTCTTTAATAACTTCCTGAAACAAATAGGTGCAATTTAGGTCACACTGAAAAAAAAGGTAAAGCATCTGTTTCAGTGTATTATCTGTGCACAGCGAGACGCTGCTGGGAAAGCCACGGAGCAGCTTTGAGAAAAGAGCAGAGGTTCCATTCAGCTCTGTGTGAGGAGGGGTTGGATTCGTCCTCTTTAATGAAACCAAGAGCCAGAGTTTTGAATCGACCCACTGTCCTGCAGAAAATCCACTATCCCGAGAGAACCGAGCAGCTTTTTTACAGTGCTTGTGCTTTTCTGTTCATTCACAGTTTGTTTGTTAGATGTCATTTGCATGAACAGTCAAACAGTGTTTCAATTCTGTTCCATCAACATTTTCATGCCAAGTTTCATTTTGGCACGCAACAGTGATACGGTTGTTCTGTTACTCAGCCATTGTTAGAAGAGGCTTAGGTTAAATTCTGGAAGTTAATGAGAGAGTGGTCTGCAGCAATTTGGATTATGCATTATGAACTAATTAAATTCTTATTTACATGCCATGCTTACTGTCTTCTACAGAGGAGTTCTTGTTCAGTACTCATTTCACGTATAGGTAATTTACAGCATATTGCAGCCTCACATCACGGATGTGTGTGCTGTCTTCCCTGTACACAAAGAATGGGGCAAATTAATATCCCTGCCTCCCTTGACAACGTGTGAGGGTCTTTTTCCTGGGTGAAAGAATGTTTGTAATGCGGAATGCATGTTTGTATCTCACATCTTTACAATCTGTGTTCAGTAATGGTTCTCAAAGTAAGAATCTTTCAGATACAGGAATATAAAGTTAGTCTTTTGAAGTAGTATTTATATGCACAAATACGTGATGTAATTTCCAGAGCCACTGTTTACAAAGCAGATCAGCAGGTCAGGGTGGGCTGCTGATCACAGCCACTGCTGTGGGATGCTCAGACATGAAACCTGGGCTCTTACCAGGCATAACATCAGGCTCTTATATTAAAAATACTGATAAAATGAATTTAAATTGACTTCAAAATGTCAATCGAGATTGCTTAGTAAAATTAACACTGGTGTATTCAGTTTAATTGTTTTTACAGAGATAAAGGATAAGCCGTTAGAAGTAGAGCTGCTTGAAGAAACAGTACATTATTTATTATTGTGTTTCTAATGAAAGTTACTCTGAATGTTACTTATTAGACTGCAGTAAGGAATCTGTGTTTTAGGAGGAAATGAGATTTGTTTCTATCCACAGAGCAGAGCAGTTTGGTGCAATCCTTACCAACAAGACACTCGCCATGCAGGGAGTATCTCATCTGCCTCTTCTGATTTGTGAAGCCAAACCCCTGCTGTTTGGCAGAGCACATTGGTGCCAATGAATGGCCTGCTCTCATGCATCCATTCATCGTGGAGTATTCAGATCAGCCCCTTTAACAGCTGATATTTGCCTAGCTCACTTGTGGCAGTGTTTCCTAAGTCATCTTTATTCATCCACATTTCATTTTGCACTGTAAATATTTACCATTCTCTTTTCAGTGTTTATAGGGTGATTTGTACCAGTGTGTGCATTTGGTTACAAAGCCCTACTGGAAAAAAAGAAAAGAAAAAAGAGTTTTTTCTTTGCCAGTGTTTTTTAGCTTTCATTCTGCTTGCAAAGTTTAACGCTGATTGGTTGTGACATGCAATCCAGTCAGTCCATGTGGCTGACCAGGCTTTTTGGGGGAGGTATATCCTCTTGTCAGAATGCCATTTGATGAGTCCCAGTTGGAGAAGTTACAGGGTGCAGCTGAGCAGATCTAGCACATCCCTTTTGGGATAGAGGCAGCCCCAAGGTCTGTCCCTCTGCTCCTGAGCCCTATTCCCATGAGTGGTCTCACTCAGAATGGGGCTACTCTGGTTTGTGCTTCAGTGTGTGGGCTCAGGTCAGGGAGGCACACGGCGTGGGACAGGGCAGGGACTGGGGGCTCTCCATCAGAGGCAGGAGCTTTGTCATGGAATCCACCATGATGCACTGCTCGTATGTATAAGTCTGTTTAGGTTGGCCTTTAAATTCCTACTAGCATGAAGTATCTGATGATGTTATGTTGATTTTAAATGATTTAAAATGAATTATGGCCTATTCAGAGGCTAGAAAATAAATTTCCTTCTAGCATCGGTGGAATTTTCCCTTCTTATGTATGATCACAAATGATCTTTGTCTTAATGACAGCATAGCAAAGGTGCTGCTTTAGCATTTGCTGTCAGAGTTACTTGTTGCCAGCACTGTGGCTGAAACTCTGACCTCTTTTGCAGGTTAATGAAATTTACCACGATGAATCCCTGGGTGCTCACATCAACGTTGTCCTGGTGAGGATAATCCTGCTGAGCTATGGCAAGGTAAGGAGGGGTTATGTTAAATGGAGGAGGTTGAGATCTCTGAACTTGATTCATCGTGTACGAATGCAAAGAACATTTATCTTTATAAGCATTTCCCTACAATTTGAACTTCACACTAGGAAAATAACCACGATTTGTTCTGTGTTTTCCCTGTGTCATTTTATCTTGCTGCTTAGCTCTGGCAGTCTGTCTTTTTAGACTTGTTTGAAATGATCCATGGGACATTATGAACATCTTGGTTCCTCAGAAAAATGTAAAGTTTTTGTGGTAGAGTAGTATATAAGTATCACTGAACACATGCTGGATCAGTTCTGCAGGATGCAGATTCCAAGAACTCACTTCACCTTGTGCTTAAAATGGGTTGGACTACATGTGCTTAAAGTTAAGAGATAGGGGCCACAAGGCAAGAGTTCTGCAGATTGAGTCTGTAGTCAAGAATTCAAAGTGTTTTCTTGCCTTTTCTAAGGGAGGGATTGCTCCACGAGCAAAACTCACTTAAAGAGAAATGAAAAGTTTTAATCTGTTCAGTACTGATGTGCTATGTGGGCTAAATCAGCATCAGATTCCACGGTAGCTGGAAGAGGGTGTTTGAAGTACGTTGATAAACTTTTTGTTTAAGGACTGCACATCCAGCTGCTTGAAGGAGAGCATTAAAATCTAATGGCTTTTTCTGTGATGGGCGTTGCTGGTATTTGCATGCTCATGTAATAAACCTGGGGGCTGGAAGATTCCATGTATATTCATGCAAGAAGCTGAAAGTCCAATCCAGCTGAGCGTTGGTGGTGAGGCTCCTCTGACAGTCACCACTTACCCTGCTCAACTAAACCAACCCATCTCTGCTCTTCTTGCAGAGATAGACAGCAATGTCAGTAAGTGTTTTGGGTTAGCTCACTCAGATGTGTGTCCTAAAATCAAAGGTAAAAGAGGTCACCTTTTCTGTTTTGTGATCGAAAGTTTGTGGTGTCTGATTAAATTATGAAATAAATGAAACATCCTCATGATTGCTGTAATGACAGCAATTTGAGGGATTGCAGATCAACTAATAATTCTCAAAAATATCTCATATTGCAGCAGTGGTTGAAGCCGGTGGAATTACCACATGGACTGGTCACTTCTTTGCTGTCCTTATTTCATAAGTATTTCATGGTTGCTATTCCTGCCCATCTTGAGTTCAATCAATCTGCATTGGTACTAGTGTGAACTCAGCTCCTGCTGCATTTTCTGATGCAAGATCAGAAATAAAACATTGTCAATTGATAATTTGAAAGTTATTATCTCACATTAATCTGCTTCACAGAGTGGAGTGGGTGGAGCATGGACACCTTCCCTTCCTGGCGGGCCTTTGTACATCACTGAATAGCTGCAGGTGGCACTATATGATCTGCTTATGGATTGTCCATTAAAGGGTTCCAAACCCATAATCCATAGCAGACCATGTTTTAGTTGTCCTGCAGGATTCAGCAGAGCACAATTCCAAATAAGTTAACCAAATAACCATGAAGAAAATTTCTCTTGCTCAGAGGGAAAAGTTGGAATAGTTCTTATTTTCTGAACCTGTTCTTGAGTAATTAGAACAAAGTCCTCAATATTTTAGTAGCCTGCTAAAACATGCAAGCGGTAACATTTTTCTGAAGTATATATTCAATGTACATAGTGAAAGGAATGGTGTGTGGACAAGTTAAGCCAGAGCAGGCATAAAGCGGCCTGCTTGGCTTTGCGAGATGGAAATATTATCCCAGTCTTGCTTGAATAAGCATTTATTTTCCAAGCATGTAGCAGATATCTTCAGATTCGCTTGCTTTATTGAAGGCAATTTATATATATTATCAAGGGTGCCATTTAAATAATCATAATAATTACATTATGGTTCTGTAACTGATGAAGTATGTACCATCAGTGTCAGATTTCTGACAGCACTCTGAGCTATTGCCAATTCTCAACCCCTAAGCAGCCTTTTACTGTGTTGTGGTTGGGTTTTTTGTGTATGGTTTTGTGTTGTTTCTTTTTTTTTAAGAAGATGATGATTATATTATTTTATACAATGTCATCTTTTGATAAGAATAATGTGGACAATACTTGAGTTGCATAGCAACCAGCTTTTCTGTGGTTCTTGCTAGGAGGTAATCCATTTCTTGAAGCATACTTCGTAATATTTTCAACCTAACAGAGCTGCACATTCAAAAGTTTCAGTAATTTTATTAAGTGCATTAAGTGCCTTGGTAAGATGAAAAAAATAGGTGTTCCCTGGTGACAGCACGTTCAGATTACTCCATGGGCAAGTTCAAAAGATCTGACACCATTTTGCTGAAGTATACTTTTGTGTATGTTATCAGTTCTGGACAAAGGCTGAAGCTATGGCAGGTCGAGACCATTGGCACAGGATGACATGCAGAGGCATTGGGACAGGTTTTGCATCGTGCTCTGGACGTGTGGTAAATCTGGGAGCTACTGTGCACTTCTCTGCATTTTTATATTGATCTCCTGAGACGATGGGATGGGATGCTGTAAATCAGTAAACAAGGGCACATGCCATGCATTTTTCTTCAAAAGGGAAAAAGAAGAGCTGGCTTGTTTATTCCTTTTTGACTTAGGTAGATCAGTTCCAAATTTTGAAAAATGCAGAATCGTGTGAGAAGAATATTATTCAATGTTTTAGCAAATTCTTCCATTAAGATCTATTTTGAATGTAACAGTTCTGTAGTCCAGTGAGCTCTACAGCACTGCAGGGAAATAGCCAAAGAACCACAATCACTGAGTGCGGAGGAGGTGGCAAGAGATGAGTTGAGAATGGACTTGGAAGCCCTGACTTGCTATTATAAAATTTGTTTTGAAACTTTTAAACCCCGAGCACTGCATAAAATCCTCTCATCACCTCTTTGAGGTGGATGAATAAAGATTATTTTTCCCACTTTACAGCTAAAATAACAAAGACGCTCAGCGTTATTCTGGAGGCCACACGGAAGGTCACTGGCAGTCTGGGGATAAGAGCTCATAAATTCCTGGCTCCAGCCCCATGCTCTGTCCATCCACAATGGTGACTTTGTGTGTTGATGAACCACCCTTAGACAGCAGCAGAAAATAGCACACATTCGCTGCAAAGGGAGTGATTAAGCCAGTTATTACTGGAAAAAAAAGTCATTAAGACTTTCACAGGAACTGCATGAATTTCAATAAATGCAGCTACCTGAGGATTTATGAGAGTTATTTCTTGGGAAATCTGAACATGGCTGTGCAGGACACCTCTGAGCTCTCCTCTGGAGCAGCATGCACAGCTCTGGTCTCTGGGATGCATACTGGCACAGCATGAGACAGGCTGGGGAGTGCTGCTCTGTGCTCAGCTGAACTGGAAACCTGGGAGAAGGATCCGTGATAGCTTCAGATCAGTGTGGCACCAGAACAATGGTTGTTGGCCGTGTGAATGTCATCAAATCGAAGAGGAACCTGACCACCAGGGCAGAATCTTTCAGAAAGATGAGGGGAGGGAAAAGAACCAAATGGTTTTAAGATGTGAGTCAGTAGGAGAATCACATGAGATGGCTTCCTGCAATCTCACAGGGCAGGACTGTTAACTGAGAAGGGTTTTTCAATTGTGTGTTTGGATAATTCAGAGCTCCTGCTGCTTTCATCTGGGACAATCTTTTCACAAAAAGGTGTTCTCTCTCTCTACCATCTGACCTTTTTATGTGGCTATGCTCAGTGTGAGCAGGCAAGATGCTCTTGGTTCAGCTGGGCTGGAAAGCCTCAATCCAGCATGAGCCAGGCTGTTCTCTCTCTTTCCCACAGGGTGGCATAGGTGGTGCAGCTGGGATGGAAGGACAAGCCACCTCTCTAACTTAACTCAGGTGTTTGACCTTGCCATTCTTCAGCTGACCTGGGCTGGAAAGGCTCAGAGCTCCCCTCCTCCCTGCTTGTCCTTGGAAGGGGTGAAGGCTCAGCCTGAGAGCTGAGAGTTGTGCCCAGCAAGGCACCAGTTTTGTTAACTGTAGTCACAGAACAGCTGAGCCTGAAGGGGTGCAGAAAATTCTTAGAAAGAGTCTTAAGAACTGATGGATGTTTGCTAGTTGAGAATGATAACCTATTTATGTGTGTTTTCTTGTTTATGAATGGTATTTATTATGTAAATTGTGGAACACCTGGCAGTGTCAGCAGGAATCAAGCCTTGGTCTTGCAGTGTGCTCTACAAACAAGGAGGAAGATGAAGTTCTTGTCCCAGTCTCTTGCATCTCCAGTGACTGATACTGCACAGGCTTAGTGGCAAGGCAAGAACTTCCATGTTATTTATGAGTTTTGGCTGCTGTTCTTATTTTTGCATTGTTTTTATTAGAGTGGGGATGAAGATGAGAGAAAATACTGCCCCTCTTAATTTTATCTGTGGGAACTGATGGATTGCCTTATTTAGGTACTAGACACATAGCTTATAATTTCCTAGAGTGATTTGTTGGAACCTTGAAGAGTGTAAAGTTGGCTGATAGCATAAATAGTACTTTGTATTCCTATTCTGCTTATACTTATTCAGAATTAGAGACTGAAAAATGTTTACAAACTGCTGCCATAAGAAAGCTTTACAAATCCTTTGAATGCAAAATGACAGTTTGCTGAATGAGCTATTTTTGTTACTTTGGTTACCATGGACACGAGATAATTCTTTTTATTTATTTTTTGCTTGTCTTGTTCAGGGTAAGAGAAGAATATAAAAGATCTAATCCAATGTACAATGAACAATAGAAGTGCCAAGTAGAAGGAATGTAAGTGGTGTGTTTTGCAGAGATGTTACACGTTCAAGAAGGGAAAGTCATACTTTGTCTCCCAGGAACGCTCCAACTTTTCTGCCATAGCTTGGAGTCTGACAAGTTTAAGCGCATTTCTGCTCCTTCTGGAGCTGCTGAGGAGCTGCAGAGCCCTCTCCGTCGGTTCTCTTGGAGCACCACCTAATGGATAAGCAGGGGAAGGTGCTGTTCCAGCAAGCTTCTGACCTGTGTCTCTGTTAGCGAGCATCCACTCATTCACCACCACTGCAAAGCTGTACTCAGCTATTGCAAATGGCAGGTAAATAAAGCACTTGGTTAATGAAAGCTGCCACTGTATGGGTGATACCAGTCTGTGTTTTTACATATACTGGCAAGCTGAAGGCTCTGGAAAAGTTTGAGTAGAATATAGACTAAGTTTGCAGTTTTCTTCTATGAAAACCTTAAATTTGAAATTCTCAAGGAATTATTTGATGTTTTTCTGTTTCCAAATTCCTTCCAAGAGTATTTGAAGGGCTTTGCAGTACAGATTGACTTGTTCTTCGGTGTCTTAATAACAGAGAATTGAACATCACACTGAGAACTCCCTGAAAGACACAGTGCGTAGCTTAGCAGGCTCAAAGAAATCTGTATCTGTGTAGCAATGACCTTAGAATCATTTCTTATTGCCCTCCTTTGACTCCTTGTACTAATAGTTGTTGCAACTCATTCCTCTTCTATTTGTAATTATTTTCTGCCAAATTTCTCTAAAAAAGGAAGGGGAGTAGAAAAGATGTGAATCCAGAATCAGAAAAAAGGCAACTGGAAGGCATCAGCAGATGCTGGGTTTTTGAGAGCAAGGATCCCAGCTGTCTCTCTGGGCAGGCCGTCCTCACAGCCCTCCATGGTGCCTCCCCACATGGCGCTCCCAGCCAAGGGAGCAAACACATCCATCTGTTTCCACCAGCAGCTCTCTGAAATGCCCACAGATCTTTTGCTTTCCTTGCAGTGAGAAGGAAAGTTTCTCTTTCCACTGGCAGCCTTCCTGCTGATCAGCTGAGTAATGCTCTCCACAGGCCTGCTGTCCTCTTTGGAAAGAGGTCCTTCCCGGCCAGGCTGCTCCCCAGCCAGCTGTGGGCTCGCGTGTTCCTGGCAGTGCTGGCCCATTGCAGGCCAACAGTAACACCTCCACCTCCTCTGCACAGCCAGCCTGCTGCCCCCAGACTGTTTGCTGCATGACAGAGAGTGAATTTTGTTTTAATTGCAATCCTTATTGCTTCACACTGTTCATCTCTTTTGTTCTTTTTCCCTCACTTTGTCCATTTAATAAGGGGTTGGGATTTTCTAAGTTTAATGAAAGCTGCCCACTGACTTCCAAGAGAATGTATTATCAAGTGTTATTTCATGTCTCTGCAAGAGTAAATTCTCAGATGGCACCCTTCCAAAACATACTGCATCTGCCCTTGTTAGCTGTGCCTCATCCCATGGTTTCCTACGCACCTTTCTTGCAGGACAGCAGCACTTATCTTTGGAGTCAGGGAGACTGAGCAAGAGAATAAAAATTTATTGCGAAGCCACCTCTGTCTCAGGAAATCTCTGAATCAAAAACTACTGGACAATTGGAGGTTATGTGGGGGAAGTACCAAACTATGTTTGAGTCCTGTAAGTATCTTCCATAGGCATCCTGTCGTCTGCCATCAGGAGAGGGCATGGCTTCCATGGGCCTTAGATCTGAACCAGTGTAATTGCAAAACACAGCAGGGATTAATCAGATCCTAAATCAGTGTTTCCTCACCCATACAGTATTTCCTACTCTGGGGTCACACCAATTCCAAGTGAAACATGACTCAAGATGGAGCTGGGAGATTCAACTAAAAACAATGACATTCTGCTTAGCCATTGCCAACAGTTGCTGGTGTCGGATAAAAGAATAGTGAACTGTTCTTTATTTGAGAATTCATGAGCACGGGAAGATCCCAGCACTGTGCCAAGGTTACTATTAGTACTGCTGGAGACATTCTCATTTGGAAGTCATTCACAAATTGCAGAAAGTGGAAATTCAGGTGAAAATTTGCTAGCAACCGAGTGGATTTCTCTTTTTAGGTATCTATTTTACTGTGAAGAAAGATGGAAGATTAGTGAAGAAATGATATTAATACTCAGTGGACTTGAGTACGTTTTGTACAGCAGGTATAACTGAGTTTCTCCTCTTAGTCTTTGGCAGCCATCATACTGATGTAGGACTGAGGCTTGCTGTTCATACCTGTAGCACATAGACATCTAAAAGAATGGATTTCCTAATGGATGCCTCATTTCCTAACTTAAAGTAAGAAAGTCAATTTTATACATGCCACATTTCTGATGTAAAAATCATGTCATTGGAGAAGAAGTTGGGCTGTCAGTTGAAATACGCTTACAGAACGGCATGTTCTGTTTTCCTTTTTATGCCAAAGGGTTTTCCTTCAGTTTGCCTGGTGTGTCAGTTGCAGCACCAACAAAAAAGGCACAATTCTCAACGTTAGCCAGTCACTTCTCCTTTCATTTACTTGAAGAGATGCTCTAAAATCTCTGTTGTTGTAAATAGGCATTGAGATTCTCTTGGCCTAAGGCAGTGATTTTGCTCTCCAGAATGGGCTTCTGTATGCAAAGAAAACTGTTGTCAACTCATGCCAAAAGCCAACACAATGCCCAAACCATGGGAGCTGCTGCAGCAGGCTGATCTGATCTCTGGCAGACTGTCTTCATCAGAAGAGGGCTCAAGAAGTCCTGCTGTTAGTTCACACCACAATTTTGCTTTTGTACTGGGATTCATTGGCAAAGGCTGCAGTTGAGGAGGTAGGGAGGAGATGACTCGAGACAGAAGAAAACTGTAAAGTGGTTATTCAAAGATTACTGCCTTTTTCATGCTCCTTCCTTGTTTGCTGATCACACGGAGATTTCTTTGTAAATATTGAGATAACCTCAACCAAAGCACATGTTGATAATTCATACTTTTTGATTATTTTCTGATCAGTCATAAAATAAAATTACTTTCATTAGAAGGTATAGAAAGAGATCATTGTGAGACAAAGAATTACAGTTCACTTTGTAAATGATTTTTCAATCATACACACGGCTTACACTTTTTCAGCTTCACATTACAATGTTCTTTGCTTTTTGAAACTTGTAGTTAGATTTCTCACTGGACTTCTTTATGGGACAGCTTTTTCTTCTGAAGCTTTGCAGAAACGAGATCAAGGTGGAGATGTTGTAGATAGTTACTTCTTAAACCACTGATACGTGCTACCCAGGACCTCACTGACGGTCATGCTTAGGTTAGCTGAATAGGATTTCTGCTTGGAGAGACAGAACTTTGCCTAGTGTTAGTCACTCAACTGATGTTGTGTTCATGTCTGTTCTAATAAACATATGAAGATGCAGTAAAGGCGTCGTTACTCTCTCACCATTTCAGCATGGTTATTATTCTACTTCCAAAGGAATTATGGCTGGAAGCAGCATGATCCAGCCTGGGATTATGTTACAACCTTTTCATTCCAAAGTGGTGTCAGATTCCAAACTGTACTTCTATTTGGTTTATTAATTTGTTTTTCTGAACATTGCAGAGTTGTAATATCTCATTTTTTGCCAAAATCAGGCCTTAGTTTGGCAGGCTTTTCTTTTATCAACTCCAGTTGTTCTTCCACAACCCTTTGAGGATTTTCTTTTTCATGCAGTCAATATTCTGCATACTCCATCGTGCACTCAATTAGAGGACATGTCAAACACATCTGTATTTATACAGGAACTATGTTACTTCTCTCTTATTTTTGGCCCAGGCTATTTCTGCTGTAAACTATATATCTGGGAGTTAGAAATGCTTACAATACAGTATAGCATCTAAATTGTAGTGGTTTGTGTTATGATTACAATGTTGTCATGGTAATATAATTTTTGTAAATGAAAAGCCAGGGTTTGCATATGTAGTTCTTACAAGTCCTGGAAGGCCTGGAGTGGGTCAATTAGTCATATATTTTATAACATCCCACATACAGTGTGCTTTTTGAAGTCTTAATGCACAATATTAACAAGAGTTAGCTGGAAATTTTTAAGTACTATTGGGAAAAAAAAAAAGGAAGGTAAATGCAGTAGCTGGATTTTAAAACATCTTTTTCTTTCTCATTAGAGGGAACTGTCCTTTGCACCCACCTAACACACATCAGCTTGTTCAAGTCAGCCAAGTCATGACAGCACAGCAGTGATGTAATGTGTGGCTTATAGGCAGAATAAAGGTGTACCAGGTTGAGAAGACAGAGTCTACTTTCTGAATGATTGTGAAATACAGAATGGGTTAAAGAAAAAGTGGTTTAAAATACAGTCTTTGGGAACGTCTGTTTCTCAAAGTTATGACTCAAATACAGCTGGACAAAGTACACTTAGTGTTTACTCTCAGTAGAGCATCCAGTGGTGTTCAGAAGGCTTGAGTGTGTGGCAAAGGAGGCTGATGTGCCAGGGCTGGGTGCCTGCAGTCTGCCCTCCCTGTACTGGGCGAGGCTCTGCTGGCCTGACACCACTGCAGATCCCATAGTGCTTGGTTGGAAACAGTATATCCAGGCTTGAAGTGATGGGGTGCTATGATGGCATGGAGATTTTAACGTGCATTGCACAATACAATATTGAAAATACCTGTTGTTTTTTTCCTCTCATTGTATCTTACACCCTATGGATATGTCACAGAAATCGTATTCAATCTAACTGTGAATGTTAACTATTTTCTTACTTTCTTGACGCAGTAAAATTTGTTTGTAAAGCATAATTATCTCTTTATTAAGAGTTTTAATGGAAGTGGAAAATTTGTTCAAGTGCTTGAATAGGCTGGGAAAGAATCACCTTAGCTCAGTAAATAACTATTTTTAATTTTCTAATTTATTTTCTGGAACACTCAGTCCATGAGTCTGATAGAGATTGGGAACCCTTCTCAAAGCCTGGAGAACGTGTGTCGTTGGGCCTACTTGCAACAGAAGCCAGACACCGGGCATGCAGAATATCATGACCACGCCATCTTCCTCACAAGGCAGGATTTTGGTCCATCTGGCATGCAGGGTAAGATGTGCGTCGGGTTTTGTTTGGTAAATGGCAAGACTTCTGAGCATTTGTGCTTATCACTGTACAAAGCTAACCATGCAGTTTAAAATTGTGTACATTTTGCTTAGTTTTGGTCAACAATTTCTTTCCCCAAATGCTGTGTATATGGCCTTTTTCAGTTATAACTGTTTCATGTATTGTATCCTAACTGATGGGATTACTTACTGGAACATTTCTTTGCTCTAGCTGAAGCTAAGTAAATGAGATCCCTAAGTAAACGATCCTGAAAATGCCCAAAGATAAGGAATAGATTTTGTGTTTAAAAAGTTGTTACAGTAACGATTGCCAAGAAATGCTGTTACCAAGAGTTCTGGAACAGACCAAGCATTGTGTACTTTTTCCTTTCCTTCAGGTTCTGCCTCTTTGCGAGATCAGGGATAACTGGAGGGGATAAATCTTCTGTTCATTTTGAGTTGGTAGATCTGCTGTCAGCACAGGGCAGGGGCTTTGCTTGTCTGTTCCTGAGGGCTGGAAGTGCACCAAGCTCATGAGCTGCAGCACAGCAGTGCATGGTATCCCTTTCCTCTGTTGCCTCATGTACTCAGTGAAGGCAATTGCAGAATGGTCCTAGATGTAATAACAGCCTTCTGACTGAGCTAGGAATATAGTTTCTGTTGGTTAACAGGGTGACCCCATCTGTTTCGTGGATGAGAGAGCACGTTATTAAATGTCTGGGGACACAGGTCTCTTTTTATCTGTGAGAGGACCACTCAACTGCATTTATGTCCCAAAGGGGAAAAGTGTTTTCCTGGAACTTCACATCACCTTTCCATACTTGTTCCTTTTCTGAAATGTGATGTTTCTCACAGGCTATGCTCCAGTCACAGGAATGTGTCATCCTGTTCGAAGCTGCACTCTCAATCATGAAGATGGTTTTTCATCTGCATTCGTGGTGGCTCATGAAACTGGACATGTGTGAGTAGAGCCCTGGACATCCCATGTCTCATCTTATAATGTCTTTGATGCTGAGAGATAGCTGTGACATTGGGACAATGAAGTTCATGTTAAGAAATGATGTCCATGTCCATGTGTCATTAGCTCTGGCTTCAGATCTCAGCTCTGTCAAAATTTTATTTATTATCTTAAGTTTTATATTTAGGTGTTTTTCAAATGGAAAAAGGAACTAATACCAAAATACCTCCCAGGACTGCTGTAAAACTAGATTGAATGATGCTTTATAGTCTCCTGGTGAAAATGTAAAGTACTCATTGGGATGAAATATGAATTTTTTAAGTTAATGGAATACATGATTCTCAAGCACAGTCCATATTAAATCAGCACATCTGATATGGTACTGCTGGTAAAGGAGAAAATACTGCATAGGAAAAAAAAAAAGGTGCTAACCACTGAAATTGCAACTGTATAAAAATATAAGAATGTAATCATTTTATTGAAGTGATTTGGTCTCTCCCAGAGCATTTCAGTTTCACTGTTTGCAGAGGACACCCGCTGGCTGCCCATTTTCTCTCAAGAAGAACAGTACTTCCCAGAAGGCTTTTTCTGAACAGTCTTAATCTATTATTTTCCCTAAGAAAGCCTTCGGGTCCTGTTCTGTCTGTTGTATCAGAAATTATGGAGGGCTTTAAATGAAAAAATCACCAAAATTCATTGAATCTCACCGTAAATGTATCTAAATCAGACAGCAGCATAGAATTGATGCCTATCTGGTATTGGGTTCTAGGATTTTTGAATTAGGATTGTAAAGAGTGTACACTGAGCTTTAGAAGAGAGATCACTGGAGATTATGATCCCTGAAATCGCATTCAGCCCTAACCTGCTAATTTGACTTCAGTTACACACACAGATAGTGCCCATGTTACTCAAACAGCATGCACAGAAAAACACAATCCAAGATCCACAATGTGGAACTGCTACAGTGGGCAGTAGCAGCAGCTGGTGTAACTAGCTTGCAGTGTGGGTTTTTATCCCCAACTTGGCTACAATTGCAGATTAATTCAAATCAAGCAACTTCCAAATGGCTCCAGATAGGAGTATGAGTAAATTTCATTTAAAACTCCTGGAGAGGAGACCAGATCCTTAATCCAGAATTAATTCAGAAACATATGCATACACAGAAGCCCAAAGGTGGGATTTTCAGCCTATTTCAAAAGTGGATATTGAGTTAATCCCATGAAAGTACTCTTAAGAGCCAGTACCTGGGTTGTGGGGTATAACAAGACTGTGATCGCGCACTGGCAACATTTGGGATACAAAAATTTTTGGCCACTTGGAGTTTGTCTTCAGTGTGACTGTGCTTGCTCTCTCCTGTGCTGGGGCAGTTTAGGCATGGAGCATGATGGCCAAGGAAACAGATGTGGGGATGAGGTCCGCCTGGGGAGCATCATGGCCCCCCTTGTGCAAGCTGCCTTCCACCGCTTCCACTGGTCCCGCTGCAGCCAGCAGGAGCTGAATCGATACCTCCAGTGAGTAGCTGTTCAGCTGCCTCTCATCTTTGATCAGGAAACATCTAAGAGCAATTTTGCTTTTAGCATTTGTGCAGCATTTGTGCTTTATTCTTTTATTAGTTACTCAAATGGGGTTGAATAAAACAAAGAAACCCACCCCCAGCCTACTGGGAACCAGATGGCTCCCATGGATTGCAAATAATAAATTGTCAATGAGTTTGATTTCAGTTCACTTAGTTTACATCTATATTCATTTCCAGAATGTTGATAGTGTGTGGGAGACACTGGTACTCACCTCCTTGCTGACTTTCCTGCCTCCCTCACATAGGCTCTTGCTGCAGGAATGCCTGTGCTATCTTACAGATACCAGATTTGGCTTCAAGAGCTGTTGGTTGCTTATGAGACTGTCAGTGATGAGATGGTGCTCTTTAAAAATGAAATTCTGCCCTTTGTATGTTCTTAGAGGTCTTCTGGACCTTAATAGATCTCTAAAGAAAGAACATGATTCTGGAATTAATTTTTCAGTGATGTCTTTTTGTTTAAATATCCTAAATACGAAAGCTATTTTATGCTCCAGTTCTTTTAACAGCTCATTTATTTCCCTTGCCTTCTCTTTGGAATGGGTCCTTCCTGAATTAGAGCTGCACCCAGGTTCCCTGACAAACTCTGACATTTATGATCCTGTTTTAGCCCTTATAGTAAGGATCTCCCCCTTATTGTTATGTACAAGCTGTATAGGAAAAATGCAGTGAAACTCTAGGATACACAGCAAGAACTGAAAATAAGTTGGAAAGAAGGCAGCAAAATCAACAAAATAAACAAAAATCAGTCTTTTTGTCAATGTTTTTATTATCTTAGATACCTTAGGTATGACAATAAGGGTAGGAAGTATTGTGAGAGATGTGTGATTATTTCAATTAGCGAGATCCTCTGCTCTTCATGACCAGAGTCTGAGAAATAGTAGGCTCTGTTTTGTTTGGATCAAGAAGGCACCGAAATCACAAACACTCTGTGAGTCTCACAACCCCATCTGTTACTGTAATTTTTGCCTGTTGCAGTTCCTATGATTGTCTGCGCGATGATCCCTTCGAACATGACTGGCCTTCCCTTCCACAGCTGCCAGGAATTCACTACTCCATGAATGAGCAGTGCCGTTTTGATTTTGGTTTGGGCTACATGATGTGCACAGCTGTGAGTACTTAAGTTCAGCCTCTGCTCTTTCTCATCCAGGAGTGTTGTAAGTGTCTCTGAAATGTCCTGTATAGGGACAGCACAGTGAAGCCCATGAGGAAGGATGATGATGTGCCCACTTAGTTGTGAGTGAGAAGTAACAACTTAATGTTGACAAATATGTTATTTAAGAACCTCTGTGCTTTCTTCAAAAAACTGAGAAATGGCCATGCTATAGTTTCATGAGCAGTTCTAGACTAGAAGCAAGCAAGATTGCTGTGTTGTGGAGCCTCCTATTGCTGCCAGCTAGTTAGTTTGTTATAAATTCGCACCCCGATGAGAAGGAGATGGATTTGGTGTCACATCTTGTAGTGCTAACACAGGGCAGAAAGCTTTTATGTTCCAGTTTTGTGGAAAGCATGATGTGTTTTGATGTCTAGCATGTGAAAAGAAGCGTGACAGCAAAGAGAACAACTTGCAAGGACTCCTGATGCTATGGTTGGCTCTGTTGCACTGGGAAAACAAGAGACAAAGCCCAAATTTATATAAGCTAGACAAGACTGGTGCAATTTGCAGTGACTCGGCCTCTGCAGCAGGGCTGGGCTTCCCACCTCCGTCTCCTCAAGTGGGACACAAATATTATATGGAACGACATGTTTTCAGCTGCTGTGGCAGCTGCTAATGTAATGCAGAACATTGCTGCTTTCATTCCCATCTGTAGGATTATGTGTGCCGAGCAGTGTCTCCAGATAATGAATGAAAACCTTTTAAGCATCAGCTGTAGTTTTGTGTTTTGACACGTTCCCACTGATGCTGCCTTGGAGGAATGTCTCTGCCAAAGAGGGTCTTTCCTTATATCTGTTCTCTGGAGCCTGAGAGACTTTCTATTCTTTGTTCAGAACAGTCAAGAGCACGTCCAGACATTATAGTCTATTATATTTTGTGGTGGGTGGCTCTCATTCTCTGCATTACAAGCACTTGTAGGTGAAATGATGAGTTACTCATTGGGCCTGAGGTCAGTCTTCGGCCTCCTGAGAGGAGCAGCTCGCATCCCTCTCCCATGGGTACTCAAGTATTGTTTGTTCTGTTTGTTGAATGAAGCAATGCCATTTGGAGAAGCTGTAAGAAAAGGCAGCGTGGGGCTTATCAGGCGGGGGAACTGCTTTCCCCCTTGCTCAGTCTGCCTTTGGTCACTGTATCAAGCTGTTTTTGCCCAGTGTTATTCCATTGACTGCAGGCAGGGTCTCACCTCAGAATCGCTGATGATTTTTGCATGTTCAGACATACTTATTCCACAATGTTCCTCAGGAATTAGTGAGCACAGCTGACACTTGAGAGTTGGGTAAGGAAAATCCAGCTCTACGCTGCAGTTTTGCTCAGAGTTTGAAGTCAGAGCTCCATCAAAGCATCACCCACTCTGATTTTTTTTGTGTTTCAGTTTCGTACGTTTGATCCCTGTAAGCAGCTGTGGTGTAGCCATCCTGAGAACCCCTACTTCTGCAAAACAAAGAAAGGGCCTCCGCTGGACGGAACCATGTGTGCACCAGGAAAGGTGGGAGCTGGCACTGTGCATGTTGGAGTCTGTGTGTGTGCAGCTGGGGATGTTATCCTTCAAATTAAGCACAGAAATGGAAGGTTTTTGTCTTCCCAGTTTGTTTTTAGAAATGTAGGGAATGGAGGACTGGAGAATATAATAGAGGGGGGGGTGTGAAGAGAAAAGCTTGTGACTTTTATTTGTTCCCTCCATATAGCTTCGGGGAAGGTCTGGGTGTGAAATGCATTGTAATTCACCAGTTCCCAAGTCCCAGTTTGTCCAAAGATGGGGTCAGTTTAACAAAGGAAAAACCCTGTGGGAACTTGAAGTCAGCTGAGATGTGGGGCAAACTCCTGAATGCAAACAAGGAGGAAGGGACCAGGGCTGCGTGACATCTCTGTCTATCAAACCCAGTCTTCAGGCAAGGGATGGCAGCATCTGCACATTTGTGAATTGCCCTTGGCTTCTCGGCAAGTCATTGTAGAGCCAAAAATGGGGAAGTTTTCACTTGCCCATGACTTGTGCATGGTCGAGGTGTTGTGTTTGTGTCAGTGATGTAGCGATGCCAGTTGGCCTCCACGGCTGAGAGCTGTGAGGTCCTGGAGACTGCAAGCCCACTGAGGCTGCAGTGCTGGCCCCAAGGGAAGGGGCAGATGTGGGAGTTGAGTGAGAGCTGGAGAGAGCCAGCATGACCATGGAGAGGGACGAGGAGAAGAGAAGGGCAGATCTGCGTAGGTGGATTTGCTTGGTGAGAGTCAAGGGAGGCGTGAGGAGCTGTGAAGGGACTGAGCAAGGTGCCAAAGGCTCAGATAGCTCCTGCCCTGAAAAGCTCTGCCTGCTCCAGCTCTCAGTTACCCCTCTGTGGAGGTCATGCTGTGCTCACAGCGGATCTGAACTCCTTTGAAGTCTGCTAAAAATGCCTGCCTTCACTGTGGGCTGTGGGCGCAGGGTCTGAGGGGAAGATGTTGTTGATACTTGGAAGGATGTTTGTAAAACCCAGTGGATGACATCATTTATGTGATAAATGAACCATATTAGCAACTGCTGTTGTGGTTTGAAATGTCTTTTTTATGAAAGCATAATGTAATGCTAAATTCTTTCCCTAGCAAGCCATGCTCTGAATAAGCCACTTCTTTTTGGTCGTCTTTAGGTTATTTATCTCATAACACCCCTGTTTCATGTTTGAAAATACATAGATTTTTAAATTACAGTACACAATCTCTGGCAGTTTCTTTGGATTCACCTGAGACATTTTTCTACATCTTGATTTTATATTAAATAAACACATGACAATCCCAGAAAAACACAACTGTATTCCAGCTTGTCACTTCTCTTACTTCCCCAAGCCATCCATTCATCAGTGTTTGGACAGAAATGAGAATGAAAAAAGGAACTTGTAATCTCACAGTTAATGATTAGTCCAGTGCTTCCATTATAAACAGTTTGTCAGGATATTATGCAACTCAGCTGTAACTTTTTTCTCTGGAGTGGGACTTAGGCTCCAAGGCTTCAGCAAGCTGCCCAGACAGCCAGGTTGTAGTTCAGTGGGGATGCAGGAGGGGACGTGTGCATTCCGTAGGTGATAGGAGTGTAACTGTTTTACTCCCAGAGGAGATGTCCCAGATTTTTGACAGATGAGCTTATTGCAGCCTTCCAGCAGAACCTGAGAAAATGATATGAAATGAAAACCATTAAGTTAGATAAAGCCCTGTAGCCTGAGTGATACATTATGAGAGTGTTACAGTGAAGGTCTTGCTTCCCAGCTCAGCATTTGACCAGTGTATTTATTAGGAGCTGAGGGTGTTTTAACAGAAGCACATCATATCAGTCCTTTTCCATTTTTTCCGTTCCTTTTCATCCATGCCTTTGATTTGGCCTTTCTCTGTTCACTGTCTTCATCAATTTGGATAGAACCAGAGGCTGTTAGCAGAAAAAGCAATGTGTCTACAACATGGACATTGCCTGCAGTTGGGACTTGGTTGCAATGTGGCAGTCTTCTCCAAGAAGCATCTCCCATGGTGTATGAGGAAGACAAAAATAACTTGAAACTCAGACCACTATTTAAGGCTAATGCCAGAAAAAAGAAACACAAACAAGCAATCAGAGAAGATGATTCAATGAGATCCATTTGACTCCTGCCTTAGGGACGTGCAGTTTTCATGATTTCATACCACTAATTCCCAGTGCCTGTTTTAAGCTGAGGCCAATCAAATCAGTGCTGATGTGTTGAAGAAATATCCCGGCTTTGCAGCAGCTGAGATGTCCCAGTGCCAGAAATAGAAGCAATGCTTGGGAGACTGAAAGGCTGTACGGAGCTCAGGTGTTTGCCCTGAGCCTGCTGTTCATATGGCCGATAGCTGATGGCTTTGCCAAACTCAGCAGATGCTGTTGAAGAGGACAAAGTCCAGCTGCCTCCTTCCTCTCCGAAGGTCCAGGGCCAAGAACACCTCGTGCAGATGGGAGATCTGTAGTACATTTCAGCAGCCACGCTGACAAGGGCCACGTCTGTGTGCCCTGCCTGTCTTGGAGAGAGGGACTACAGCTTAGAAGTGGAAGGGAAATTAGACTTCATAGTGCCGGAGTATTTAGATGTGTATGCATGCATGCACACATAGAGATGTGCATTTAATGTATGAAAATATTTGTAAGCTTTTCTCTGCATGTGTTCATTTGAAAGAAGTTGCCAAAAAATGACATTCTGCTATTAAAAAAGAATTTTTAAGTGAGTTCCCTTGTACAAATGGAGACACTATGTTAATTGACAGCAATATAATAGTTTGGTGGGCTTAGGGCTAGAAATGTATAATATTCTCTTAAGGCTTTCCAGCCAAAGGAGAAAACTGCTATTTTTATGGAATTTTAAAGGAAATAGAATGCTTCATGTAGTTCTCAACCCAGTGTTTTTAAGTGAATTGAGAGGGGAAAGACAGTGGATTTCTTGAAGCTTCAGTGATGCAGCACCTTGCACTTCCAAGCTGCTACGTTAGCTCCAAGGAAATGACTGCTGTGTGTGAAGCACAGCATGTGGGGAGTGGAGTCTGAAAGTGGAACCAGAGATGCTCTGTGAATTGCCATGGTTAAACATACAGACAAAAGGTAATTATGCAAAGCTTAAAAGCACAGCATTCTGCAGTTTGGGAAAATAAAGCACATATGCTTTCAGCTGATGATTTATTTACTTGTATACAATTCTGTCAGCTCCACTGGTAGCCCCAGGCTTTGGAACCTGGGCTTCCTTAAGAAATATGTCATCAGTTTTCCTTGTTCAATTTTTTTAAAGCTATTACTCTTCTAGGGAGAGGTGTGTATCAGCTGAAGCAGGTGACTGCCCTCCAGAAGGCAGAAATAAAAAAGTCACTTATGCAGGGGATGGCATGCCTGAGTCCATCTGCTCACTGCTGAGAGGAGCACAGAGGGCTGCAGCACCCACGCTCCTGATTTCTTTCCTTGGAGACAGGTGAGCTCCTGGTACCCTCCTGTGCCAACCGAGCTGATGTTCCTGGTTAACTTGGCAGCTGTGCAGGAGGCTGAGCCCAGCTGGTACTCCTGCCCTCACACCACATGGATGAGATCTGCAGTTTTTGCTCTATCAGGAAGAGAATGATTATTGAAATAAAAAGGTCTTAGAAGAAAAAAGGGTTTCTGAAAACACCAATGTGTGCTCAAAGCAATCTGGATGGTTTCCTACCAAGGATGCAGACCCCACAGGAGGCAGATGGACGAGCGCTGTGTTGGCTGCCACAGAAACACAAGACGGGCACATTCTGCACCAGGAACCACCACTGCTCCCAGGACAGCTCTGTGCTACAGCTCTGGGGTTATTCCCTACAATTGATTGATCTCAAACAGATGGAGCAGAGCGGACCAGCCCGCATGTGTTGGGCAGTGGAAATAAAGCAACAGCCCCGTCCTGACACAGTGGGGCTGAGCAGGGCTTACTGACAAAGCTGGGCTGGGAGGCAGGCACGACAGGTAGAGAGACTGAAAGAAATCTGCAAGTCTTGAAAAATGACCATGCAGCTGTGGGAAACCCACAGGAACACAGAAGCTTTTTTTTTTTTTTGGCCCTCACAGCAGTTGTCTCAAAGAACCACTGAAAACAGCAGTGGAATGTTTTACTGCGCAAGTTTTAAGCTTCCTCTCCTGGAAATTGCACTTGTTTTGGACTGCCTTGTTTGCCAGAAAAACTGGCGAGACCACAAGAAATCATCTTCTCTTCCAGTAAGAAAACAATTCGCGCTTTCCCATTTTTTTTCCTCATTAAAAAAGAAAGATTGCTTTAATATGCTTCACGCTTTACATGAAAGCCCTGCTTGTGAAGGAAATAGCACCTGGAATTGGCTGTTCCTGCTTCGTTACGCAGTTACTGCAGTGGGAAGGGCAGCTCTCACATCCTTTATTGCACTGTAGGCAGATCCATCTCTGCTTTCTGCTTCGTGTGCTCCTCTTGCACCAATCTGCAGCACATAAGATGCCATTGAATCACTTCATTTTATGTAGACTTCTTTCTTTGAGCCCACAGCCCAGACACAGCCTGGGGGTGACTCACTGCACACAAACTCGTAGCTCTCTGCTTCCCAGCAGGCAGTGCAGGGCTGATTTCTCCAGCAGAAACCCATCTTGCTCCTTTCTTTACACAGCAAAGTCAATAACACTTTCCACATTTGCTTTCCAGTTCAGGAACGAGTCACAGTGTCAAACAGGTGGTTTGTTCATGGTTATTGCAAACCACATCCTTTGCTTCTGGCTAAAACAGGGGAAAGGGACAGCAAACACAGCATCACGTCTCTCCCTCTCCTCTCCACTGAGTGCTGGATCCTGGAGCATTGCTACGTGGCTCTTGAAGCAGAGTTGTGTGGATCTTACACCTAAGGGATGCAGAACCCTGACAAAAGGATGCTGAAACAAGCAGGGATCAGGAGCCATTGCAGCTCATCTTCTTCCAAGCCCAGCTGCAGTCTGGCCTGCCAGGCAGACATATTCCTCTGCATTGCTGCAACAGTGCCATTCCCACTCAGGGCTGACTGCTCACATTGTTTGCTCAAACCTCTGCAAAGCCAGGAGTGCATCATCCCTGAAGGATATGGCACTGAACCTTAGAATTAGCATATTAGCATTTCGTGTTTCTTTTATGCTTTGCTGAATTATCTCTTATTCTGTCAAACAGATGAGAAAAATCTGCCCATTGCAGCTCCAGAGCAGGATTGTTATAATTGGCTTTGTGGTAACTCATCTTCTTCATGGGTTTTGACTTTGAACATTTGAAGTCATGAGAAATAACGAGTAGCTGAAAACTAATTTCTGCTCTGGTTTCTACCCCTTGTCCAACCGAATCAGTAGCAAAATAAATTACATGAATAAAAAGCCAATCATTGAGCAGATTAGCAAATCGGAAACCTGTGTCTTGTCACCGTTTTACTAATGATTCTCTCTTTAAATTCAGCATTATTAATGATTATCCATCCCTTTTAAATTCATCTTCCAGCTCGCTAATCGCTCCACACTTACAAATGCTCTCCGGTTATATATCTGCTGGTTTTGTTTTTGCTGGCAGCATGCATTCAGCCATATGCTCAGCTGGTGCTGCCTGCCAAATTCCCGAATTCCAGGGCTCGTTAAGCTGTGTAAAATGTTGTTGTTGACTTGAATGTTAAGGAGAGCAAGTGACCGCTTGCACTTGTTGTTGTGGCCATCTGTGCACGTGAGCCGGAGCCCTGCCCCAGCAGCCGCAGCGCGGGCAGTGTGATGGCCTCACGCAAAGTCGTTGGTAGTGCTGGCAATGTTTTCCATTACTTGACTTTTATGTAAGCAGCAGCAACAGCAGAAACAGTCCAAATCTGTGATCCTTGAGAAGAATTCATCCTGACTTCAGCTAAGGAAGACTTCCTTCATTAGGGACTGGTGGAAGGGCAGTAGCAGATGTCTTTAATGGGAGGAGACAATAGAGAGGGTCATAGAGTTGTAGAATAACCCCAGCTGGAAGGGACCCAGAAGGATCATCGAGTCCAACTTTGGGCTCCATACAAGACCACCCAAAAATCAGATCATATGTCTGAGAAAAGGCAAACTATTATGTCTTCGCTTGCATTTTTTGCTTTGTATCCTACAAGGTCTTATTAAAGTTGATGGATATAAGCATAGACGCTACAAAGACTTTTAAAGAAATGTGTAAGAACCTTGTGAGTTTGGAGAATTTAGGAAATTCTGTTTACCTCCATGTAAAACTGACTGTATTAAAAATTGGGTAATAGAAATGAGAAAGCCATTAGAAATGAGAAAGCCATAGACAGGGAGTAACTGCTCCAGAATGGGTCTGTGCAGGGCAGTGTTTGGTGAAGGGTTCCTGGTATTCTGATGAGCTTTAGTGAGATTTCAGTGAGACTCTAAGAGTTCTCTATGTCATATCAACAGTGTCTACCATGTGAGGTGACATTAATTTCATGCTGCTTTGCTGACCACATTCACTGCAGTGTTACTGGGGCTACTGCTGCTGAATTAGCTGTTGTCATCACTGCAAGCAATGGCAGCAGCAGGGTTTTACCTTCTTTACCCTGCAAGGTCTGGGATTCTGCCTCTTCTGTTAGATGGATTTCTACCAGTTAAGGTGAAATCCCTGCTGCACTGATGGAGGCATTATTAATGATTATCCATCCCTTTTAAATTTATCTTCCAGCTCACTAATCGCTCCATGCTTACAAATGCTCTCCGGTTATATATCTTCTGGTTTTGTTTTTGCTGAGAGTGGGTTAACAAACTGGGCAGTCTCTAATCCTATGAGCATAAATGGACATACTGAAAATGTGTAAGTTTGTCAAATCGGAAGGAGCTGGGGATCATGGGCACAGTACAGCAGTGATTCTCATTGCCTTCTTCTGGAGAGGTGAAAGAAATCCACTATTTGTGCCCAAAATGAAATCTATTGCACCAGTGGTACAGTATGGAATCATAGAATCCTTAGAGTTGGAAGGGCCCTCTGAAGACCATCTAGTCCAGCTCCCATCTACTCATTCTGTACATATCCCATTCTCTCTCCTAGCACTGCTTTAAAGGTCACTGCATCTGGCTGACACCAGACATCCTGAAACAGGACGGGCACTGGGGGGCATGGAGTAAGTTTGGCTCCTGCTCTCGCACCTGTGGCACGGGGGTGAAGTACAGGACACGGCAGTGTGACAACCCACAGTAAGTTTGTGACTCCTGTGTGCTTTTCTAACGTGAATGGTGAGAACCCTTGTGGAATTTCTGCTATGATAACACAGTAAAGGTTGCTGAGTGGTGCTTCTTAGATCTCACCTACAGTATGCATTGCTAGAATTTCTGCTTTGGGCCCTTTAGCCTAAAGACATGTGCCATCTTTATCTGCTAGTTTATCCATCCACTGAGCTGGTTGTGCCATTAAAAGGATCTTGAAAGTGTCGTTACATTATTGCAAAGGTATGCTTTGGAGCCCATCTATGCCTTATTCTAGCATGAGTATGAAATGATGTCAGTAATTTGCTGGATCGTATTAAAAAATATTTTGTTTAAATTAATCCAACTTTTTTAATACTTCAAAAACAGTCTCACAACATGGAATATATTGACATCTTCAGACTGTTTTCATTCCAAGTTGGAGCAAAGCTCCAGAGAGCAGAACCCTCCCCAAAGTTAATCCTAAGAATTTTGAACTGTTGTGCTCTGATGACATGTGTATGGTTCATCAAAATAATGTAAAATGGCTTAATTTCAGTAACACTGACACTATGATATATTTAATATAGACAAGATGTACAAATGATATTAAATATGTCATTATCCTTATATCATGAAATATCAGCATCATGGCAGCAGGAAGTGAAGCAGTGGGTGGAATTAAATGATTTCACCAAACAGAATTTTTGAACATGTTTTGACAGGATGAAGTGATTGAACCTGACTTTAGTATTGAAAATAATCTTATTGATGATGAAGCCATGTTTTCTGATGGAAATTGTTCCATTAAGAAAAAAATGTGTCAGTTCTAATTTCAGCCTTTCTTCCATTGGCAACATGAAAGTGATCTTTATGACTGTGGGCTCTGTTTTAGTTGTAAGATCTATTTGCACTTAGGAAAGGCTGGGTTTGCTGCTGGCTTAGGAGGCAGTGTGAACAAGTTTCTTCACCTGCTTGTGCTTTCCTTTCCTGAACCACACCAAGAAACTGACTTTTGTTTTCTATTTCAAGTGCTTGGAGGCTCAACTTGCAGAATTTGCTCTGTGGGAGAGAAGTAACGACAGGGTTTTTAAATGATTGCTTCTTTTATCCCAGCTGTAATGACGTATATTGAGAGAAACCTTTCCAGAGGCACCTCCCAACAGAAAGCAAACACCAGAGCAATCATTAAACTAGATGAAGTCCTGATAAAATGCGAGAAGGAAGTACTGGAAATACATCACTGGTTTCATCAAATTCCTAATTACATGGTTGGGAGTTAGATTGTGTCTCAGAGGGTTTGGTAGATGCTCGGTTCATGTGTTAATGACCAAACTAACCATTGCTTTCTGTCCTCTGCAGTCCAGCCAACGGAGGCCGCACGTGTGTAGGGCCGAGCTATGAGTTCCAGCTCTGCAACACTCAGGATTGCTCCAAGGACTTGGAGGATTTCAGAGAGGAGCAGTGCAGGCAGTGGGATCCGTACTTTGAGTACCAGAACACGAAGCACCATTGGCTGCCCTATGAGCATGTTGATGGTGAGTGGTGGTCCCACTTCTTGTCTCAGTGTGGGAGTGCTGGAGCTGGGGACTTACAGGGACGTGGTGTGGCCATTGACATCGCCCAGTTGGGACTTCTGGCACCAAACACTGCACGCAGAATGATTGTTCACTGTTTCTCATAACATAAACCTGAGAACATCGAATAGAATTATCAGGTGGCAGATTTAAAACAAATTTAAAACAAACAAGAGGAAGTACTTTCCCACACAGCACATATTAAATGGGAATGCATTGCCACAGGCTGTTTCAGATGCCAGAAGTTTTAAGAGTGATTTAGGGAAATATTTGAAATCTATAATCCACCAAAAGCTGCTAAACAACAAGATCAACCATAACATGGAGGATCTCTGAGCTGCAGTTTTCCTTGAAGAATATACACAGGAAAGTGTTAGTTTTGTTTTGTTCTTCCATCTTCCTGCAAATGCTGTTGGACACTGTTGGGGCTGGGCACTGGTTTGGATGGGAGCTGGTGAGAACCAGCACGATCATCATGGCATCTCAGCATCTTGGCAGAGATCGCCTCTGCAAACAAAAATGTTAGTTTTACTGCTAACTTTTCTGCTTTAAATGCCTACAAAAGTGCAGCTAATTGCTTTTGGGGCATGAAGACTGTTGCCACGCTATTGCCATGTTGTGCTGAAGCCTTGTTTTTAACAAACGAGAAGGTAGATGGCAATGAGTCCCCACTTGTTTGAGAAGCAGTGTAGACTGCTCACTGTTTTTAAACCAGGTCAGTTTGCATGGAGAACAGGGTGGTGTGGCAGGGAACAAGTCCAATATTCCCGAGCTGTGCCCAGCCCAGCACAGGTCTCAGGGAGGAAAAGGGTCACCTTAGGTGAATCTTTTCACATTCCAGAGAGGAGCTACTGTCAGAAGTTAATAGCAAATAGCTTGTCATTAATTTGTCTGACTTATTTCCTAAACAGTTCTCAGGGTCCCCTCATTCTTCTCATGCCATCTTGTGCAATCTGGGATTTTCAGAGCAGCAGATGCAGCCTCACAGCTCAATTTCATGAAATAGTTTTGCTGGCACAGGGAGATAGGGAGGAACGCCATGGTCCAGAGACCTTTGCTTCTGCTCAGACCTTCACTTCGTCTCTGGAGCTGTCTGCCACAGAGACTGCTGAGACTAATCAGCTATTTTCTATTAAATTCAATGGCTTCTGGGTCAGAAACTGGCTCACTGATCTGCACACTGATCACTGGCCACTGCTGGGGTTCTATGTATCTGTGTTATAGGGCCTTTTGTGTTTAAAACTGTTTAAAACTGCCTTTTGTACAGGCAAGACATAGCAGTGACATACTTTGTGCAGATAACACAGCCCTGACTCAGAAGTGACATAAATCCATGCACTTGACAAGCAGCTCTGTCAGGCGCATGTGGTGCATTTATCTGTGGTGGGGACTGGGGGGAGCGTTTAATCCCAATTAATGGCAGCTGCAAATTTACCATTCTCATGGAGCTCTGGGAATAAAGCCTTGTACAGAGCCAGTAACATCTGCTCAGACCTTTGGGTGTTTTCTTTTTATCTGCTGCAATGAATGTATGGTATGCATGGGGTGAGGCACAGTGTGTGTGTACACATCTATGCCTTGTGCATAGTGTAATGTTCCTAATATATGCAGATCCATTAGGTCTGACATTGTTGTCTTAAACTTAGGACTTCTCTATTAAAGATCTGCATAAGAAAAGTAAATTACCTGTTTTAATAGGCCAGGCACTGCATTTTTTGTTGTTCAGCAGTAGCAAAGGTCTCTGATGTACCAATACCCAGTGGGCACAAAGACACCAAAAGCAATATCAAGAATTTTATTTAAAGAGGGCAGAGGCCATGGAACTGCACAAGGGAGGAATGCAACGGCCCCGTGAACATTTATTTTAATTGAACTGTTATAATTGCAAGGTCATTACTGTTCTAAATGGTGGGAAAAGTGCCTAAGGTGTATCATGTTAAACCAGCAGAATATTTGTTCCATCTAATAGAATCCTCTTCTCCACCTCAAAAAGCATAGTGTCACATACTATCAAGTTCAGCAGATAAACCATTAGAGCTGGCCAAGCACTATTTTCTTTTGCAGCCAAGGAAAGGTGCCACCTGTATTGTGAATCCAAGGAAACAGGGGATGTTGTGTACATGAAGAGGATGGTCCACGATGGGACCCGCTGCTCCTACAAAGATGCTTACAGCATCTGCGTGCGGGGAGAATGCTTGGTAAGCTTTGGTGCCTTGGTTCAGAGCTTGGCATTGTGTGAGCAATTAAAATGGTGGCTTGAGTTTTTCTCTCCAAGAATGCGTGTTTAAGTAGATATAATAACACTTTGGGTATTAAGGAGATTTCATTAGGCTTATTGTCACAATATTGTGTGTGATATTCACAGTTGCCATCACACTGCATGTGACTCAATTCCAACAGCGCCTACCTACACAGGGAGTATTTCACACAGTTTTTAAGAAGAGCTATTACAATTAGCTTTCAACAAAAGCTTTTCAGCAAAAGCTTTTCCTGCTCAGGTTTAGTGGAGGCAGAATGCACAGTATATGAACCTGCTGGAGCTCCCATGGAAAGCGGTGCTAAGGTACTGCTGATGTGCATTCTCCCCATAATTGATCAGGCTGTTTTTAAAATATCAATAGAAATTCCTCCAAGCTGGGATCTGCCTCAAGTCATCTTTCAGCAGAGCTTGAGGCTCAGACTCAGCAAAGTACTGCTGGAGGGTTCTGCCCACCCACCAACGCTTTGATTCTCCCAGAATTTAACCTTCTGCTTTAGGATAAGCTGAGGCTGAAGAGCTTTTCCTTCACAGTGCTGCGTTCCTTTGGCATGAGGACCACTTTGAAGCACAGTATCAAAATCTAATCACCTGACTGACAGCTATGTAAGAACTGGAAGTGCAAGCATTAGAATCTGTTTGGATACTGAATTTCCAGGCAAATACTACAGTTTGTTCTTTGCTGAAGTCTGGGTTTTGGTATCTGAGGTGAAGGCCCATTTGAATTGAAGCTTGAATAAGTAAAGGGACTGTTTTTCTCCTTTGTGCGCAGAAAGTTGGGTGTGACAGGGTCATAGGATCCACAAAGCAGGAAGACAAATGCGGTGTTTGCGGAGGAGATAATTCCCACTGCAAAGTGGTGAAAGGAACGTTTTCAAGAGTCCCAAAAAAACAAGGTCAGTTCATTCGTTGTGTTGTCTTGAGGGATTCAGGGTGTTTTCATTTGATTTCTCCTGGTACCTAAGTTTCCTGAAAAATACAAAGCAATTGCAAATAATTCACAGCACCACTAATTGCAATCAACTCTCTGCATTTTACTTTGAGACATATCTAGAGTTTCAAAATAAGACTGTTGTCCAGTGATTATGCAAGTCTGATGATATTAGGGCCTGCACATGGATAGAGGTCTTCACTCATTTCATGGCTATGGGCTCTGCTGATGTCATTGGCTGCTCCACCTGAACGCTGCAGAAATATGTCATCATTGCTCACTGTCACATGCAAGCCTACACAGTGTCTGTGGGTGTGATGGTACTCGAAGTGCACTTTAGTCTGAAGCAAATGGCATGTAACTCATTTTTCTTTTGACCTCAAGCTCTTTGTCCCTGCTGTATTCCATCACCCAGCACAGAAATAGGAGTGGGAGTGATGCTGGATTAGGTTCAGCTTCTGTGATGCACCCTGGCTTTAGAAAATGATGTTTATTTAAAACCTAAGCCAGACTCTTCCTGTTTGATGTATACTAACTAGTTATTATCTTTTTAAATACTACAATAAAGGACACATTAAGATGTTTGAAATTCCTGTTGGGGCAAGACATTTACTTATACAGGAATCAGACGCCACCAGTCATCATCTCGGTAAGTGTGCAACAAGTGGGACAAATTTTCAGTCAGAACATTTTTTCATCTGTTTATTTTTATCTTTGGAGCCTCACAATATGTTTATGCATTTGTTTACCACTATCCTCCCACACCACATACCTCCTTCAAGTATGTTAAATTAGGAAACTTGTTTGGCAATTTGATTTCCTTGTGCTGTGTTCCCTGGAGTCCTAGCAAGAACATCCCTGCACGTGTGAAAGTTGCTGATAGAGGAGCAGAATTGCTTCATTGGCTGCAGTGCATTATCTTCCAATGTGCTTCTCATCCTGTTGTTACTCAGCTCCATCGAAGAGCAAAGACTGCATTCGCTCTTTTTCAGATCCTGCCCCACAGCTAGCAGTATTGACACAAGGCTGCCCAACCAATCACACAGCTTAGGAGTTAATTGAAATCCTCTCCTTGCAGTGGTGTGTAATTGATGAGAAGCAGTGCCTACTGGGCTGTTATTAATTGGAAGTAGATTTGCAGCAAATGGCCTACTAATTGCATTGCGAGTTGGTCGAATTTCTCACCAGTGAATGCTTCCCATCCTGTCCTGTGGGATGTGAGCCATTGCTCACAGGGCCAGACAAGGTTCTTCATAGGATCACAGAATAGTTGGGTTGGAAAGGTTCTTAAAGTCCTTCCAGTTCCATCCCTGCCACAAGCAGGGTCGTTGTGATCAGCTCAGGACTGGTTCAGGCCTTGAGCACCTCCAGGAACCCACAGCCTCTCTGGACAGCCATCAGGCTGTACCTGAGCAGAAGGAATACAAATTCCAGCCTCCCTCTTTCTTGCAGTGAGGACCACTGTGAATTAGCCCAATAGGCTTTCCCTCATGGGGCAGTAATACCACATGTGAAAGCTGAGAAACATGGGACCCTGAGCTGGCCATCACATTGGCTTGGGTTTGTCCAGTGTGATGATGAGAAGCAGCTGAGAGCAGGCAGACATAGTGTGGTGGTTCTGGCCTTGTTTCTGTCCGGGCAGGCTGTGAAAAAGAAGAAAAAAGAACAATTGGTGTTCCTGGAGCTGAGCAAGAAAGCACTGGCAGTTCAGTGAAATACCTGAAAAAGGTTTTCCAAACCTGTGAGAGAAGAGAGGGAAATGCACTGCTGTGCGTGGCCTTTTCTGCTCCTCCCACTGGGACAAGAGCAGAACAAACCCAGAGATGAGAAGCAAACCTCTGCTATTCACATATCTTATGTTGTTTCTAGCAATTAAAAATCGTGAAACGGGAAGATTCATTCTAAGTGAAGACAACTACGTGCCAGACTCTAAAGTATTTATTGACATGGGTGTGGAGTGGGAATATCGGAATGATGATAATAGAGAAACCGTGCAGACCATGGGGCCTCTGCGTAATGGAATAGTTATTCTGGTAAGTCAAATGAAAACCATCTTCCACAGAGCACAGTGTCAGGATTACAGAGTCGTAATGTGCTATAATATATTTTAGATTCCTCTTGTGAGTTAAAAGAAGACATCTGCTTCGCTTACAAGACAATGGAAGATGTATTTTAATTCCTTACTTCTAATTCACTGCTGTGTACATGAATTGTAACGCAGGGTAACGTATTGAGCAGCCACTTCTCCTGATTACTTCCTGAAGCTAGCCAAGAAAATGGACGCTGTGTAAAGACTCTCCAGCCTACTTAATGTATCTGTCATGGGAGCACTAGTTAAAACTAAAATGGTTCATATCAGTTCATGTCCTCCCGTCCATGTTTTGAAAATATATTCTGCAAAGTCCAGTGCAGGATTCACGTGCTTCCAGGCTCAGTTTGTTAAGGCACAGCCTGTTCTGCACTTCCAAAACCCTTGTGACTGTATTCTTTTTTCACTGCAAAATAGCAAATGGCTGCCATAAATAGGAGGCTGGTTCAGAATGTCTCTTAAAGCAGCTGTAATGTGTTAGTCTATACCAGCTGAACACTACAGGAGGAATGAAAATTGTTTTCATAGGACCATTATTTTACACTTTATTCACATTGAGTTATGTTCTATTGCATTTGTCTGGATGCAGTGTGATAGCAAAAAACTCTAAATGATTTATACTTCTATCAAGATTAAGTAACGATTCTTACAGGATTCCCAGAATTATCATAAGAATATTTGCATTTTATCAGAAGTGCGGGCAATTTTCTTCACCTCTTCCATTTATCGGTGCATTTGAATTTGCCTTTTCTTTTAGTGGAGCTATCCATCATCGTTTTAGTAGAACATTTCCTTCCCTTTATGATGGGATATGGAAAAAATTTAGTATTGTGAAGTCAGTCCAATGCTGGCAAGAAAAATCAGTCTAAATCAACAACAGTCTTTAATATGCAGTTTATAAACTCTGTGTCACAAGGAAATAGATACTTTTTCATTAGGGGAAAAAAAAACATGTTGAGTGCAGCTAGAAGGTTTAAATCCCTCTGGGGATGTTTTAAGATCTGAACCATGATGATTGCTATTTCACGTCACCTCACGTAGCTTCTGGTATCGGTCTTTAAATCTTTTTTCCCCTACATCTGTTTTGCTGCCTAGGTGATTCCTCATGGTGGTACCAAGATCTCTCTGACTTACAAGTACATGATCCATGAAGATTCCTTGAATGTAGATAACAATAATGTTTTGGAAGAGGACTCAGTATCGTATGAATGGGCTCTGAAGAAGTGGTCCCAGTGTTCGAGACCTTGTGGAGGAGGTAAAAATAATAATAATAATAATTAAAAAATCAACCCAAAGCATTCAAAATTGTTTAAGAGAAAACTGAAATGGCTCTTGGGGAAGATCTGGGATCATTCATTTCTAACTTAATTAAACTGAAAGACTTGTCCAAGTGTGCAGGGCTTGGGTGAGGATCTCGGAGGCAAAGGGGTGCTAAACATCAGGGTGAGTTGGGGCCAGACCTTCAGTGAGTCTGTCTCCTGGGATGTGCACCTCGCAGTGTGAAGATCCCTGCCTTGGGTGTCAGATGTAGACCCTGATGATGTCCACCAGCACGATGGGCGGGCTTCAGCCCCTTAACATGGCTTGAAACACCAGGTGGTGTTTTGTTGCATTATAGCCTTAGTGAAAAACAAAGGAATTGAACCATTTTTGGTGCTATGTCTTCATGAATTCAGGTGTTTATTCAGTGTAATTGGCAGGTCCTGTGTGAGAGCCGCCAGTCCTAACAGTGAGAGGAGTGTCTTTTTTCAGGCTTCCAGTTCACAAAGTACGGCTGCCGGAGGAAGACAGACCACAAGATGGTTCATCGGAGTTACTGCGAGCTGATCCAGAAGCCGAAGCCCATTCGCAGGGTGTGCAACCTCCAGGAGTGCTCACAGCCCATGTAAGCATTGCTCGGTGCCCAGTGACAGCTGCTGGAGGTGTTGTTCCCAGCTGGCTCTTGTCAGCTGAAAGAAGGTGGCTTCAGCTTGATGCACTTTACATAAGAGCCACTTTAACATAAGGGCTCTTCCAAACCTCTGCACCATTAGAGACCCAAGGCTGTGAGGGTGTGATGCTGTATTCTGCCAGTAGAAATACCATTTCTGAGACTGCTGGTTCCTATTACTTCTGAGATAAGTTGGATTAGAAAAAAAGTGCAGTTTTCATCCAGGCGTTTCTGTTCACACAATCTTGAGGTAATAAAAAATGGACATAAACTCAGTTTATACCAGCTGACTTTATGCAGTGTGAATTAATCATGTCAGAACAAATTTATAGAGTGCTACATAAGAAAACCAATGTCATACATCCTACCAAACCTTCCTTAAGCCAACAGCATATTTTTGGATACATAAATAGGGAAAAATATTTGGCCTGGTTGATTTCTCTGTCTGTCCTTGTACAGTATGGTGCACTGGTACACCTGGTATACCTGCAATTGTTATGAATATCTTTATTCACAAATTTCATGTGCTTTTTGACTGGCAGCAGGTTGTCCTGCTATATATGGGATTCATATTCCTCTTGTTGCTACTGCAACTAGGAAAGAGTGTGTTGATCTCAGCTTTTATCTCTGGGGACTCAGTCTGGATGCCAGGAAGCACAGCAAATAAGTAGAATGTATCACTCAGTATTTCCTAACTTCCTTTCAAAACTGATTTAAAGAGGAGAAAAGTCAAGAAACTATACCCCATAAACTCAGCATGGGTCAGGGTTTAACATTTATTCTTTGGAACTTGAAGTAATGACCTAACAACCGTATCTCAGACACTCTGGAAAGGACTATACTCTTCTTTCAGCTACAAATATAATTGGACCCAGGAACCACAAAGACTCAATGGGATCCTAAATTGTACTTGGATTCCTGAGTGTTTCTGTCACCTGTTTCCACAGAATGGCATTGAAGCATTTCGCACACAGAAGAGGCAATAATTTAAGAGACTTTATGAAGCTCTGCAACACCCAGAACCACACTAATATGCTGCTTTTTCACTGCTAATGGGAAATAAAAAAACATCTTTGACTCAGAAATGATCTTAGAATTCACACTTTGGGCTCACAGCTGTCTCCTTCTTCCACAGCCTGTGAAACTTCAGTTGGTTACAAAGAGAAAGTTGGATGAAATTGCCACTTCACTTTTCTGCTTAACTTGGGAATTTCATGCATTTCGTTGTGCCTATGGTGTTTTGACTATTTATAAACCTAAGTTTTATGAATTCTTTAGGACAATCACTTCAAACTCAGGATGTCTCTCCATTCTACATGTATTTTTCATGAGGTTTATCCCATGGATCCTGTTTACGTTGAGCAATATTTCCATCTTGTGGGTATTTGCATTCTGTAAATATTTACAGAGTGCTGTACATCTTCCTGTACTTGATTATAACCAAGCCTTCGGTCTGCTTCCTGAATTTTCTCTAGTCCCTGTCTGTCCTTGTTTTTCCTCTCTAAATTCTTTACAATATGCAGCTGTAATTCTTAAGCGAATTTGGATGATTAGTAAAGTGTTCATCTGTACTACATTATGAACTATAGGTGACATTTTCCAGTGTCCAAATTGATTAATGGTTATTGAACTCCTTCCCCAAAACCAGACATTTTTTATGCTGGGATTCCCTCCTGTGGGTCCCTATGGGAAGCCAGCACTGGGGATGGTTGGTGCACAGCTCGTGACTTTGTCAGGAGCCAGGGGCTCAGCAGCACCCTTGGGCTGCCTGCTTCTGACATAAAAGTCTAGTCTGATTTGTTACATGCAGTCTTGGAGGGGCCAGCTTAAAATGAAAGTAAATGAAGCAAAGCAAGAGTGATGCTTATCTCAGAGGTAAATGAACAGGGGCTTTGTCTGCAGCGTGGTACTTCAGCAGAGCTTTGATGTTACAGATGTTCACAGGGACCATCTGACATAATTATAGCAGTGACTGACTGCCAGACTGTCACAATTGTAACACATCTTACAGTGATAATACATAAAACTGTATGCAAGAAAAGGAAAGAAGGGGAAAATGCTAAGGACTTATGGCTAGAGAGCCATGCCCAGACCCCAGTCTTACCTGTGTAACATCAAAACTGGAGAAATATTCTACTAGATGCCCTTAAGGCAAAAAAGCTCTTGTTGAGTTGGATCTAATTTCAGCGTAAATGTGATATTTTAAAATGGTGACTCAGTCCTACAAAGCTGAAATTTCATAGTGGGTAAATTCAAAGCCCTGGCTCTTCAGGGTTTTTTTAATGCTTCCTTACTTTTCCTTTCAAAAAACAGGCAGTGCCATTCTCTGTTGGAAATTAAACAGTATTAAATTTGTATTTGGGAAAAAGTATTTTGAATGATTGAAAGAAAGGCAAAATATTGTGAGGTTAAAGGTTTCATAAGTGTTCAGCAAGACACATTTCTTTCAGTTCAGACCAATGGGATTAAGGTATTTTCAGACTTAGTAAGGAAGGCTATTTATATTCAGTCTGAATAATAATTAAAAAAAAAAATGCAAATTTCATCTTATATGAGTTTTTTCAAGGTATTTTATGGCTAATCTGCTGTAACATTAAATCAAAGGTAACGGAATTCAATTGATAAATGCATCTTTTCCAGTTTCGTGGTAAACAGTTTTGACTGCAGTATGAAAAGGTTGTAGGAGACAGAGAATTTTATTTCTCCTCCTCTCTTTTCCCTCCCCCAGATGGGTTACAGGAGAATGGGAGCCTTGCAGCAAAAGCTGTGGGAAAACAGGATACCAAGTGAGATCCGTGCGATGCATCCAACCCCTGCATGACAACACAAATCGGTCTGTTCACACCAAGTACTGCAACAACGACCGTCCAGAGGGCAGGAGGCCTTGCAACCGCGAGCTTTGTCCAGCACAGTGGAGGATAGGACCCTGGTCACAGGTCAGTCTCTTCCTGGGGGTCTCAAGCAGCTTATTTCTTCTGAAGCAAGGGAGGAAATTGGGGTGAGTTTCTTCTGTGCTTTCTATTCAAGTGCTTTAAGATGATAAATTGATACCTATACAGAAGGTCTATGGCTTCCATTGCTGCTAATGCCACAGAAAGTGAATTAGATGGTGGTCATGCCACAAAAATCGGTGACATTCCCTCTTGTACTGCACTGGTTCAAATAATATACTACATTGACTCAAATCAAGTGCAATGGCTTAAAACTAAAAAAAAATAACTTCTACTCCATTGTTTTTAAAGGATGAACTGGGGTCTAACTGATGCATATCCTTTCAGTGCTCTGTCAGCTGTGGCAATGGCACACAGGATCGCCCAGTCCTGTGCCGAACCAGGGACAACGCCATCGGCCTTTGCAAAGAGGCCAAACCAGAGAACGTAAGGATTTGCAGACTACCTCCATGTCCAAGTAAGCACTTGACTTTTCTAGCCTTTCTGCCTTCTCAGCTTTTTCTGCTGTTTGTAAATGGCAGCTGTGAGATTGCTTTGCATGCTCCTGCTATTAAATAATTCCTGATTTCCCTTATCCCTTATGCGTTCCTTGGGGTAGCTTTTGATTCCTAATTAAAGACCAAGCATCCAATTACAATCTCCACTACACAGATTTTAAATAGACAGTGTAACTAGACTAAACTGGATGTATCTTAGGAGATAGTTAATGGTGCTGTGAGAAGTACTGCTGGAAAGCTGTCCTTCAGGCTCCTCTCAGTGTTTGTTGTCAGGTATAGGGGAAAAGTTGTAGCAAACTGAAAGAACAACCCCCTGCCCCAAACCACACAGCCTGGCCATCATCCTTTAGCTCCTTTGCCACCTGAGCCTGCTCACTCTCCTAGTTTATCCACCTGTGACAGGTCAGCTTCGTAGTGCTAATATATACTGTGTTGTATCTTTTTTACCTCTGTTCTAGGAAACATTTCTGATCCTTCAAAGAAAACCTACATGATACAATGGCTGTCAAGACCTGATCCAGACTACCCTATCCAGAAAATATCTTCAAGTAAAAGACCCATTTATAACTCTGCCTTTGCCCTTAAATGCATGCCACATCGAATGTGGACTTTGCCTTTTGCTCTCTTCTTCTCTCTATGCGGAAAATTCCCTTGACTTGGCCAAGTTTAAATCTTGGGCTGAATCTTTTTTTCACACCAGGCACTTGGTGCTCGGTGTCTTTCTTCTCTGGAGCTTGTGTAGCACTGGTGGTGGAGGTCTTGAAGTGTTGGATGTGTGAAGTTGGATCTCCAAGGTATGTTGCAGTCCTCTGAAGGGGAGCTGGGATCAGTTTGCTTGTTGCTTGGCGATGGTGAAAAAAGGCTCTTACTGGTTCATGATATTCAGTTTGATAGCAAAACTGAGAACTTATTGTGAATGTGATCACATCACAATAATGACACCTTGTAGTGCTAAAGTTCTCCTTTGTCTGAAGACCCTAAATCTCATAACTCTGTAGTTTCAGTTTTCTGACAGGGTGGCCTGTTGAATGAAAGAATTTATCCATTCCATTTTCCTTTGTGGTGCCATTGCTTTACTCACCTTTGCTGCTCTTTTTTTTATTCCTGTCCCCAGCATTTGTGTTTGTGAGCTGTGGGTGCTGGTCCAGGTACCAGGCGCTTGGTTTCTGCAGGTACCTGAGTGCTGCTATGATGCTCTCGCTGACCTCGTGTTAGTGGTTTGACATATTTTTCCTCGTGGAAAGCTGCATATGTTTTCCCATCACACAATTTTTGCCAGTTTTGTTTACTGTCACTTTAGAGACAAAAACAAAGCAAAACAGGCACAGTCCGTGTTGAAGGTTGTGTGGTGTTGGTTTTGTTTACCTGGGGGAGGCAATAGGACATTTTCATTGACTCTGACATGTCCAGCTGCTCAGCAAGGAGCTATTTATACTCATTACTTCTTTGGTCTTTTTTCACCATGTGCATGTCTGACGTGAGTGGTACGGTTGTGTGTGTGTGTGTGTGTGTGTGTGTGTGTGTGTGCTCTATAGACGTGTCAACTGGCAAACATAACAGTGTGAACTACTACAGAATTACCTCAATTTTTATTGCTTTTTTTGCTTAGACGAATTTTAGAAAAATGCCTTAATGTTGAAATGTAAATGGCATTAATTTACCAGATCCAGCTTTAAATATAAACAGATGATCCTGAGTTGATCTTCATATGGAGGGTTTTTACTTGAACGATAACTACTAGAAGGCAGTAAATTTAATCCGAGGTTAATTTGCACAGTGCATATCCATACCTTCATGAAGACAGGACTGTTACCTGACTTACTGAGATTTAAGTGGCATTGTTGCTTCACTGTACGTGTTTGTGTTGAAGATTTGGAATTCAAAAGTCCTAATACTGTTTGTGACAGTCAGTAATAATAGTGGAAGCGTATCAACTTTCAATCTGCAGTCGTGGAGCAAATTGCTACCTTATTGCATTGATCATGCTCGTTAGAAAAGTGGCATTTCTGAATCTTTGGATCTTCAACAGTGTAGCACTTCCAACTTGTCATTATCATGTGATCACATATTAAATTTTGCTGTTAATATGATAATTTCTTGAAACATGTTAAAAATTTACATGACAAGGTGAAAAAGCAAAGACACGTATCTGGCACTGAATACTGTTATGTAAAATAATTTGGTGTTTAACTGTATAAATATATTCATGACTGTTACCTTTAAATAGACAATGTTTAGTGATGTTTCAAGAGATGGATGGCTATAGAGAGTGGTGCAATAAGGTATCTGGGCATTGTGCACTATGTCTATATGCACTTTGGTTTATCAGGGATATTTTATTAGTGTTTTGTATGTATTTAACATAATATTAAAGATGTGCCAATTCAGTTTGCTTTTCAATATTTTTTATGAGACTAATGTGTACCAAAGTGACTGTGAAACTGATTTATTTTTTTCTTACTGATGTTTTGGAGATATACTTCCAGTCTGTCATGCATACTGCAAGTAAAAATAAATAAAAGTTCAGCAAATCTAGATATTTTGGTTTGGATAGTGGATGACAATTTCATTCTAACAGTCATAAGATACCAAGTTTATTTACGTAACTTATCAGATGTCACTGAGCTTATTACTTAATGAACTTTCATGCATTTTTTTCATGCATGCTTGTATCAAATTGATGTGACACAAGGCAGAACGTTCAGAGGGGACTCTAGATGGTACCTAAAAAATACATAAAGCTTTGCAGGCACGTGCAGTCCTTTGTGCAGAGTTATGCCTGCAGATAGCAGCTGTTCTAGTTCTTAAAGGCTGGGAACATGTTTGAAAAGATGTCAACAGGTTTGAAAACATGTCCAAAAACAAAGTACTATCCTTAGGTTCCTAAGGGAGGTGTAATTTTTTCCTATTCAGTTTAGCATTTGAAAACTGAATTCAAGCATAAGTGTGTTGTTTTTCCTGCAACAAACATAATAATTGGGGTATAAATACAATGCAAGAAAGGTATTTTCAGCCTTCTCTGTCAGAAGTAGAATTTTAACGCAGCAGCGATCATTATTAGCTTATTTTAGACTGATATGTTTGCCAATTAAACACCTATAATGCCCTATTTTGTTAAGTGAGAATGAGTGAAGAGGCGACGCCTAGACTTTCGGGGTTCACTTGGTATCTCTGCATCTGCTCTGGTTCTCTACTTTGCTGTAAGGTTGCTGGCAGGGTAAGTCAGTACTCCTAGCAGGATGGTAAAATGGCAGTTCCAGAAACGTGCAGAGCAACCACATGCGCTCTGAATAAAGGCAAGTAATTGCAGTTACTCATCTTTTACCGTAAGAGTTGGTAGAGATTCGGTAAGAGCAGGGGGAGAAGCAGAAGTGATTTCGTCTGTCTCAGCACTGTGGTCACAGAGAACATACTTGGTTATTGATGGTGCCACGCATTGGTCTGGCTGGCTTTCTCCTTAGCGCTGTCCTCTCCTATGAGCTCTCTGGTTCCTCTTTCTTTCTGCCTGGGCTGTGTGTTGGGATTTTCCTTCCCTGCAGTTCCAGAAGGTCCTGGCTCCACCACCTCACCCTCGAGGCACAGGAGATAAAGAGCTTGTCTGTAGAATGGAGCACAGGCAGCTTTCTTGACGTGGAGCCTGCTCACCCTTCCCCATCTATCCTCTTCCATTCTGCCCAGTCCTTATATCCTCTGAGCAGAAATCACATGAGCTTGAGCCATCTCTGAGTAGACTTTCATTGAGGGTCTTATAGACAGTAAAATAGTATAATCACTTTCCCTTTAGGTCCTTAACCTACCACATGCCACCTGTAGTTCAGCAGGAGCAGGATCTGGCATGAAACCTGTATTGTAATGTTGTAATGTAATGTTGGTCATAGTAGCTGTTGACAGTTTAGGACCTGTCAATCATCATTCTTTCCCTTTTATTATGTTTTATTTTTCACTCAGACACAAAAATCAGAGCTTTTTATCAAGTCTCCCAGTTGCCAATGGGCTGGCTTGGTTCCATCCCACTGGAGTTTGTTGGCAGCTCCTATCTAGGAAGAGGAGGAAAACCTTATGCTAAATAAATACCCCAGTTCTTTTTCAAGTATGGGACGTACTCAGGCAGTGCTGCCATCAGTCTTCAGGGTAGCACTTGCAGAACACAAAGCCAAAAATTAGCACTCAGGTCTATGTTGTGGATGGGGCCTGTGCACAGAGTTCAAATCAGGTTTTGCTTCCCTGCAAGTGAGTTGAGCGTTAGGTTTAGCATAAAGTCTGCTTTTACTGATAGAAGGCTCATTTGCCAGTTTCCCAGCCCACGTTAAATACCAAACCCTCAGCCCACTGCCAAAGCTTCAGCTGTGTTTCTTTTACCAATTAATGTGAAAAAGCTCTTTATTTGTCTGTTCCCTTTTTCTCTTTCAGAAGATCATTGTCAAGGAGACAAGTCAATGTTTTGCCGCATGGAAGTTCTCTCTCGGTACTGTTCAATTCCTGGTTACAATAAGCTCTGTTGCAAGTCCTGTAATATGTACAACAACATAACAGAGGAGGGCAATGCAACAGATTCTAATGCAAATAAGAATAATGTCATTGAGGAGGAGCTCTTGACAACCCTCAGCCCTCTCTCGGGAGTTTCCACCACACAACCTGCCACCACCAATCCTCCTCCTGTTTCCAAACCCCATGTGCCTCCTTCCAATGCCACTGACGAGCACCCCGAAATTAACGCGGTGGACGTGCCCTATAAAATTGATGGGCTGGATAACGAAGTGTCACAGCACAACATCATCACACAGAGGAGGATACCTTATGAAAGGACGAGGAATCAAAGAATCCAGGAGCTGATTGCTGAGAAAAGGAAAAAAGAGACTCTCAGAAAAATAAATTAAATGGAAATACGGCACAAACAACATTTTTCTCTTATAGAGATGTTACCAACATCGTAGTATTGCCCATGTCATAGAGACTGAAAATGGGGAAAAATCAAAGTGGTGCTATGGCAGAGATGCCAAAGTCTAAAGCCTACTATAAATGGAAAGGACAGATTGTTTTGTAAGTGCTAATCTGAACACTTTGACGGCTAGGTTTCCAGGGTACAGTAGAGTGTTAGTGCAATACCATTACAGCATTTCACTGAATCCAAACAGACCTTAATACCTAGGCCAGGTTAGCAGGTTTTTTGTTTATGGGCTCCTTTATGTCTTTTATGGCTGCATAAAACTTCTTGGGAGCAGTAATGTGAGTTACATTTAGGATGGAGGAAAATGGTCCCAAGACATTAAGAACCCCTTTAAATCCTGACAAGCAGGTGGTCAGCAATCCTGTGATGCTTCCATGCATTGCGTAGAGCCAGGCGCTAACCCAGCTCCCAGGTTCAGGAAAGTGCTTAAGGACGAGCCAGACCATGCTTAGCTGCCTTAGGCAAAGCTGCAGCTGGACACGTACTTATGTAGCTTTCCTAACCAGGACTATGCAAGAAAATATATAGAAAATTCTGTAGCCATATATTTATGTGTAAATTAAAAACTGGCAACCAGTAGCTTATGTGTTTCCATAAACATTTCAAAGGATTCTCCTAAAAGTTTGAATATACATGTATCAGTGCAGGTCCTGCCACTGGACTGCTGACAGCCCAGTCTTTGTGTTTACAGGTATCCATTCATATCACGCAACAGCCTCAGTGATCTTTGTTGGTTGGTGCTTTTTTTGTTACCTGACTTTTTTCTACCCACACGCTGTTTAAGTTAAAGATGACTGGAGGATTCTTGTTGCCTTTTCTTTGGTGCTTTACTAGGAAAACGTGTTTTTTTTCTCTCCCATAGGACAAAGTTATTTTTGAGGAAATAATTTTTTAAAAAATTCTCTTCCTTTCCTTCAGATGGCTTTATTAGCACAGAAGTGAACAGTTGTTCCCTGTGCTCTACATCTAGATGTTCATGCACATGCATGCAGTGCCAGGTCTGCTGGAAACGTTGAGATATGGAACCTGAGAACCCTTTGAGTACTTCTCTTCCCCTCAGGGTCATCATAGTTTTCACCAGTCATTCCAGATTCCTGTTTGGAGATCAGAAGACAAATTCAGACCAGTTGTTTGGTTTGGGGATCACTCTGGGTGATGGGGAGGTCGGTGTGAACCAGCCTTTAGCATCTAACGTTGGAATTTTTTCTGCCATCCCAACAGTGTAGCAAGGAAGGAAATCAGGCACTGAAGGCTCCGTGCAGAGTCTGTGGAGAGCAGAAGTAAGTGCGAGTTTTAGCAGGTCTGTGGAAGTAGGTGAGGAAACGGTCCTTTCTCCCCAGCCCGGGACTCTCCCGGTCACAGCAGCGTGCACTGCTGCCCTTCCTTCTGCAGGGGGCAGCTCAGCTTTTCTTATGTCCCCAGACTTGGACTCTGCCCTTCGGTTCCTCTTTGCTAGTCAGCCTCCGGCAGAGCCCCAGCTTCCCCCAAATCCTCCTTTTACCACGCTGCCCTGGTTCAGATTTTCCAACGTGAGAATAAGACCTCATCCTCCAGTTATCACAGTGGCTGCAGCTGCTCAAAGTTTGAAGCAAAGGCAGCTCTAAGCCTCTACACAGCCACGTGGACATCAGACCCGTCAGATTTCTGACAGTCTGTAAGCCTTACTGCTGCTGAAGAACTTCAGAAGCATTGTACACTTTGTGACCCTGCCTGGGGCAGCCCTCCTTCATCCAACCACCATGGCCAAACGTGCACTCAAGGGTCAAGAAAAAACAGTTTTTGCAGCACTGGTTGTCGTAAGAAGCCTTGGAAGGCCAGGAGGCTGGATTAGGAAAAGAGCCTGGCGAAGGGATCTGAAGCAGAGAAGTGTTCAGCAGGTGTGACATTGAGTCCCCTCATATGAGAACTGTGTTGGTGCATTGGTGAGTGTTTAGAAGTAGCACAGGTGGTACAGAGGTGGGAGTTACACAGAAGGACACAACAGCCAGGAAGCACAGCAGGGCTGATGCGATCCTTCCTGCTGTGTGCCCCAGGAGGAGCACACTTGGGGTTGGGCTGACAGCTGGTGGCCATAGTGAGTATTTCTCACATTTCATATTTCCTTTACACAGATGCTGTTAAACTCATCTCTTACCTTTCCTGTTGTTATCCTGCTTTTAGGCCCATGGAAAATTAAAAACAAAATAACAACAAACCCAGGCTTTGTCATAGCCTAGAAGCACATCCAAGCATATGATAAACTTTGGAAAGAGCCCCACCAAACCCAAGGATGGAGAAGGGTTGGGGCTTGGACTTGAGCAAGAGGGAGGGAGGAGTTTGCTCTCTGCTTGGTGCCTGTTTTCCTCTCTGTGACTTTCTGGAGATCCATGTTGCCAGCCTACAGAAGCCTGAGGTAACGCACATCCTAGCTTCTGGTCTTCCTTGGCATCAGGAATAGGCATAGTCAGCCAGGCAGTGTGAAGAAATGGCATGTGGGGAAGCACCCACAGCTCAGATGCTGCCTTACAAGTAGCCTCCTCCTTCCAAAGGACTTTCCAGTTGCATCTCAGTAGCAAGCAGGGCAGGAATTTACTTGGTGCAATTCAAGTGACCTTTCTGCAAAGGCTCTGAGGACTCAGAAAGCTGATCAAAATTTGGGAACTTAACTGCTTTGCCTTTTCTGTTCTCAGGCAAACAGACCAAGGGCAATTTTGCAGATAAAGTGGAAAGTTTGGCTGTGTTTTGAATGGGAAGCAGCCTCCCAGAAAGCTGGTGCAGTGCTGTGCTCACCTGGTGATCGCAGGGGACTCCACACAATGCTCGATGCCACTTGCATTCAGGGAAGTCTCACTCCTCTTTCAATCTCACCTTTTTATTTCTTGCTATTTTTAATTCTCTTGAATAATTTTCTAGCTGCTATTTGGGGAATATTGAAGTGACATTTGTAGGAGCAGCTTCAGTCTAGATTGCCCAGACACAGGCTGGCCCATCTCCTCCTGGAGCAGGAGCACCAGCTGCCTCCTCTTTACAGTCTCTCTCTACAAGGAAAGATGCCCTCATTTCAAGCTGACATGCATATCTCAGATGTTTTTCAGCAATTCCCTAGGATGGTAGTTTCCTAAGAACCTGTACCATTCTTGTACTGGAAAGCAGAGTTCAGAGCTCTTTTGAGAAAGAAAAAGCAGCACTTGCCAATAGGTTGGGTAAGCTGGTACTTGTTCCTTGTCACGCAGTGGAAATTTTGGTCATTTATTGGTTGGTTGAACTTCGACAACTGCATCCTCTTTCCTACAATGCTGTGATTGGGAAAGAGCATCATCAGCATGTCACCTTTCACCATTTGCTGTTGCCTGAGTATGGCATTTTGACACATAACAAGCAGATTAATATTTTAATTTAACTCGTTCCCCAGAAACTAAAGAGATGAAATGTAAAGTAAACTGATTTATAGTCCTGCAGAGACTGCCTCAGAGCTCTGAGAACTAAAGCAAACGTACTCCCATTAAGCAATGCAATTTCTGATATCCAAGCCATACAATTCACAACTCTCTACGTTACCATTTTTCTCCTTGTTTAAGCTTAAAATCCAAGTGTTACCTCCTAACATACAGAAAAAAAAAATAATAAACCAATTGTTTTCTTTGGTTCCAATCTACTGCCATTTTTCCACCAACATTCCTTTACAGATTTCTGTAATCTATTATGAACGCATCACTTTTTGTATTTGTATATCCATTCAGTATTTAGAATCTCACAACATCTCCATAGAATGCTTTCAGATATTTTGAGAACTTTATGAATGGTGCTTTTCCAGTACTCAAAGGGTTTTATGTTTTATTTTAGTACGTAACACATTTAATGTCGTATTTACTCACCTACAATGCAGTATTAGCTATGTTCATCTGAGTATCTATATGCAACTTCCATTCACTTACATATACCTTAACAGAAAACTGCAATAAATAGCCTTTTTTTGTATATTAAAAGTGTATATACAAATTAGAATCTCTAATTTTATAATTTATTAAATTCAAATGTCTGTGTTCTTTTGCAAAGTGTTTGACTTTTCCCTGTGCTTTTTGTTACTGAAGTCACGTTGTGCAGAGATGCTGGGGAGGAGGAAACAGCATCTTTAGACCCAAAAGCAATTCAATTTGTAAGACTTTATCTTGATGAATATTATGAAGCCCAAAACTGCATGGAAATTGATCAAATTTTACTTACAGCTGCTTGAGGCTCTCATCCTTTGCATCTGCTGGAATCCAGTCTGGGCCATGTATCATCTCCTTAACCGCAGCTACTCAGATTCCACTTGGGACTGATGAGCCAATTTTGCTTTGCAATTCCTGTTGATAAAATAATTACCTTTCCATGAAATGCTTTTGCATACATCTTCCTGCCCTATCCTGCATGCTCATAGCCGGGTTTCTTTTTAAGCATAATTGAATCTCTTCCATCTAATTGAACTTTGTTGCTTGAGGATTTGAAAGATCCCTGCTTGCCTTGATTATCCTGTTAGCACCATGCAGTGCACTGAAGCCCAATGTCTATAACCAGGCGACAAATGACAAACCACCTCCATGTGGAAAAGGCATTTAGTTATTTAAATGTCTTGGTAAAAGAGCAGACTGGGCAAAACACGGATTTCATTTCACGTGACAATTCATACAGTATCTGATGTACAGCTGTGACAAGGTTATATTTAATTGGGTTTCAGTTTGGATGCAGGAATATTGCTCACAAGTAACTGTCTGGAAAAAGTGTAAAAATGAGCTTCCACTAGAAGAAGGTAGACTTCAATTATTTTGATAGCAACCCCAAAGTTTGGAGACCCACAGCCCAAACACAAGAGGCACCCACTGGGTTCCCAGCACATCCTGCACGCTGCCCTTCTGCAGTCTTTCTGTGTCACCAGTGCCCAAACCTGACAATTACAAGAAGCTTCCTCTTCCTCTCCCACCCTGTGCCAGCTTCTGAGCCCCTCTGTGCCAGTTCTGAGACATGAGAAGCACCTGGGGCCCAAAGAGGAGCCCAAAGAGGAGCCCAAAGAGGAGCCCAGTGACACCAGCACAGGGCCTGCAGCACTTCCCAACAGCAGCCTTGGAGCTGCTCTAGCCCCTGCAGGTTTCAGAGCCACAGAGCATCATTTCCCTAAATGTTATCCTTAAAGATACCCATGGGAGTATCCTCTGCCTTGTTTGTATGGACAATGTCCTTTCAGGATCCTATTCCCACAGCTCCCACAAATACTGGTGTGCACTGCCTGTTTCTGAGCACAAAGCCACATCTGGCTGCACAAAGGCAAACCCAGCATGTGTGATGGATTCACCAAAAGCAAGCTATAAGCTCTATGTCCAGGTTATGCACCACACTGCAAAATGGGGTCTCAGCTTCTGTGCAGACTCTGCCTTCTGTGTCTGACCATGTGCAGAAGGAACACCTCGCAATCTGTGCAGGAACCACTGCCCTGGTCTGTTAGCTTTGGGAGAAAGAACTGACTCCTTATGGAGATACACATCTGAAATTTAAATGAGGTATGGAAAACACACATGTACAAAGGTACAAGGCCACATTATGCCAAACTGAAATGCTATAAGTTGATATTTATATCTTCTCAAATAAATATCCTGTGCTGGATTTCCAGGGGAAGTGGGAGTTAGCACTCTCCAAGCCACCAAAACACATTAAAGAGGTCAGGCACTGCACCCAGGTGTGCACAGTGGCACTGAGCTCTGTGCTGGGCAGGTAAAGCACAGCCTGGCATGAAGTGAAAATGCTGAGAGGGCTCTCCTGGGGGCACCTCCCAGGCTGAGCCAAGTCCCAGGAAAGGTGAGCACTGCACTGCTCAGAGCCACTGCAAGGCCTTCTGAAATGAGTGCGCCCATGTTTCCAAGCAGACAGATTGCTAAGCCTTGCACCAAATGGTGAGGGGCTACAACACTCCATCTGTGCAGCAGCCAGGTCCTTGATTGCAAAAGAAATACCTGGTAATTTCCAGACAATCTCTGTCATCAGTGATGGTGTTTGCACAAGCAGCTGCTGCTGGTTCCTGTGTGAGCTGCAGCCAAGGCAACAACTGCGGGTGTGACATCTCTAACCCAGCTCCATCAAGTTAATAGGAAAACAGCCCATTAATGTTTCATGGGACAATCTTTGCTGCTTACCATAGCAACTGCAACACACGGGAGGTGAAGGGGCTGGGGGATATAATTAGAGAGCACAAATCATCAGGAAGCTAGCACAAATCAGGTCGAACTCCTTTTCTTTCTTGAAATTTTAATGACAGAGACAGAAGAAAGCAGCAGCTCTCTATGCCATGGCTTCTGAGTGCTGAGGAGTGCTCCTTTCCCGACACTCTGACACGATTTTAGCAGAGGAGCAGAGTGGCAGCACTACCAGCCATGCCCAAGCTCCTCACCCCATGTTTACCTGCAGTCCATTCCCACAGGCAGTGTGGCTGGCACCCATGTGGGCATCACTTTGCCGCACCAATCCGCAGGGGCCTCTCCTCTCTTACTTTTTCTTACCTCCTTCATTGCTTTGGAAAACAGAGTGATGTTTTCTTTCCGCTCAAACAAAAGTTCCTTGCCACAGTCCAAGGAAAAGTTATTATCAAAGAGCATTGGAAATGCACAGCCTGCACAGTGCAGCTTAGCCACACAGCAAAGTTCAAAGATGCCTGAAGGAATGCTGCTTATTTACCCTGATGCACCTCCTACTGCTGAACCAGTTTAAGACAACTTTCCCCCGGACTGAGAACATCTGAAAAAAGCTAACAACAGAAAACCAGAGAAGCACATCATCCAGATCTCAGACACAACCAAGCCAATACCTTTTGTTTCCCTGAGCAGCTTGGGCACTGCTTCCCTCACTGTCTTGCTGTTCATCCCATTCGGTTCTCACACACCCAGGGGAACCGATGCCCTGTGCTCACCTGGGGAAGAGCAGGAGAGGGATGGGTTCATCAGAGCAGCACCTGGCAGCACTGGAGAAAACCCTGGGCAGTTCTGAGAAGAAAGGAACAAGCATTCAAACAAATGCAATTTTCTTACCATAACCCCAGACAGCTGTAGAAACTTACTTCAAGAAATGGAAGGGATTATTACTGTAAGGCTGTATTATTAGCCTGGTATCACAGAGAAACACCCCTCACCTAACCCCACACAGTGAGGGCCCCAATTTCTTCTTCTTGGCAGTTTGTTGGAGAAGCCTAAAGAAAAGGAGAAAGTTAAAGTGTGAATTGTTACTGGAGAACAACCAGCTGGGCACTGCTGTTGGCAACTGGTGCGGGAAGGCTGAAGGTCATTTCCTTCAGCTGTGTGGCATCAGAAACAGAGACAGGCAGCTGAAGCTCACACACCTTTGATAATTAAATGCTAAGTAATGGCCAGCTGCAGAGAACAACTAATCTCTGCTTGGAAGCACAGCCTGGAGGGATGCAAGAGGCTTTGGAGGAGCTTATTTCTCTGCACAAGGGAGAATGGAAGAATCTGAGTGATGGGCACAGACTTGGGTGACCAAACTGGCTGCCAGAGCAGCTTCTGGCCTGAATGCCAACCACACCAAGAACATTTGTACTAAAACTGAAGCAGCAATTTCCAATGTGGGATTTCTGCCCTTCTGCCCACCCCTCCCAGCAGCTCAGGCCAGGTGAGGGAGCAGCCGGGTCAGGGAGCACAGGGATGCTGCAGTGCAGCTCGCTCACGGCAGTTACTGAGGACAGCATTTAGAAATAAAAGCAGAGGGAGGATTCTGCTGCAAAATCACGATTCAGCTCGTCACCCAGCACACGAGAGGATATGCTGGAGTTACACAAGAGGCGCGTGGAGGCAGAACACAAAGACAAGCCCTCGTTGCGGAACCCCGCTGGCCCTGCAAGTCAGGCGTTGCCAGCACTCCCCGCAAAGCAATTTTCTGCAGTGCGTTTGCGTGTCTGCCGTGCAGCAGCAGCGTGCAGCGATGCAGCGCGGAGCTGAGCCGCGTGCGCTCCTGTCGCCCGGCTGCTTTGCTGCTCGGCTGCGTGCATCACAGCAGGCTCAGCAGGGAAGGGCTCCGGCAGGCTATATTTAGCAGCAACAACAAAACAGGCAGCCGGATCAGCTGACTGGGCGCAGCGAGCACGGGTTAGTTGTAGGCAGCACGTATCCTGCACGGAAGGCAGGGCGAGAGAGAGCAGGGCACGGAGCTGGGAGGTACCCCACCACCCGCAGGGGCTGCGGCTCAGGTAAGGGCAGGGCATCAGGTCATGGAGCGTTGTGCCCAGCACGGCTGGGATGGGCACAGGTGGGAAGGGAGTGGGCGGCAGCTGGGAGGTGGTACTGGGGGCCGGGAGGCCATGGGTGGGGGCAGGGGGTGATGAGCAATGGCAGGTGACAGCAGGTGCTGACAGGTGACAGTGGGTGATTGCAGGTGACCATAGGGATGTGACCTCTGCACGGTGCGGCAGCAGCAAGGATGGCATTTGGGCTGGAACCATTCCATCCCAGTGGAAGCATTGTGCTGTCCATCCATAAGTCACTGTTTGCTCCAGGAGGAAGGAGGTGGTGGCAGGGCTCTGTTAATGAGTTGTGCAGGGCTGAGCTAATGATGCGCCCATGGGGCACCCTGTGCTGCAGGCCTGGTGCTGGGTTGGGAGGGGGGACAAGCCTTCCCGTTGGTTCTTAGAGAGGTGAGAGGAAAGGAGCATTGTATGGAATAAAGAAAGGATAACAAACAGGCCCTGAGATTTAAAAGAAGCATCTCCCGTTCTGAGGTCAGCAAATCTCACCTTGGTTGGCATTGCCAGGAGCACCCGAAGGGGAAGCTGGGAGCAGCAATGCAGGTAGGGCTGGGCACCTGGGTGCTCCCTGTGTGCATGTGGGAGCTGCGGCCCTGCAGAGCTTCAGCAAAGCCGGGTTTCCTTCCAGCAGTGACAAGTGAGCATTCCAACAGCGAGCAGAGCACTTTTGTATTCAATCACACAGCCAGGCTGGATGGTGCTGACAGATTATTCACATACGAATTCCACTGGAGATAGGAGAGTTAAAAAAAAAATAAAAAATAAAAAATAGAATCCAGGCAACGTGGTCATTTCTGCCAGAACGTGAGCTAAACAAAACACAGGAAAGACTGTTTTGATATAAATGAAATAATCCCCATAGCAAGCATCCAATGCAAGATGAAATATTTACAAAAAAAAGGGCTTTACCTATCCGGTGGGAAGGCTGGCCTAAAAAAGAGGAGAGGACTGCTATATGCATAAAAAGGACATGAAGCTACATCAGCTTTAGGTAAGGCTCTAGCAACCCATAATTAAATTTATGAACCACTGGTAGAGACAAAACCAAAACTTCGTACATTGCCACCTCTGCCTTGCTGAGGCTTGTAGAGCAGACTGGCTGCAATGCTGTGCCACCCACACGGTGCTCCCCACCTTTGAGATCAGCTCTTGCAGGACCAGACCAAATGTAAACCAGGGCCCTGTGACAGTGAGTGGGCCAGCTGAGGATCGAACAGGGAGAGGAGATGTCTCGTGTCCAGCCTGTAACCCCACAGGACAAGCTGGTGCTCCAGCAGGGCACTGCTGTAGCTGGTAACTGTGCAGTAGTTCAGAAGGGAGCGCAGTTGCTTATCCCCACAAATATTTTTAATGAACCTTTTATTTTCTCCTGCATTTAACAACATGGCTTCTTTTGTACCTATGGGCTCTTCTGGAAATCATAGATGTAAAAATCTTGCCAGCATTATAGAGTGATGCTTCTGTAAACACCACTCTAGGCCACAATGAAATATTGAGTGGATCTAGTAGCACAGATTTCAGAGAAACAACCCCAGGATTTCCTTACCACAACTGTGTTTCCCATGCTGACCTTACCTTGTCCGTCTTTGCAGCCATGGCTCCCCGGATAAGACTGAGTGTTTCAAAGCCTCTCCCAACCATCTGCGAAACCCATGAGGAGGCAATGGAAGACCTAAACAACAATCCAAAGCACACTGCAAACACTTCAACCAACCCAGATTTGTACTCTAGCGATGATTACATTCAATCTATCTGCCACCTTGCCAGACCCACCTTCCCAGGCATTCCTGAAAGCAGCCATAGGGTTCAGGACAGAAGAATCCTGCAGACTCTGGAAGCCATGTCATGGTCCCCATCCCAGCAAGAAACATCAGTGTGTAAATTGACCAATTTCATCTCAAATGTGATGCCACCAGGAAAAGCTTTGTCTGCTCCTGATGATGCAGAAGCCAACTTCTGGTCCAGAGAGGATCCCCTGGCACAGATCTACAGGCGCACAGGAAATCTCTGCTCCTCCAAGGGTTTGTGGACCAAAAGCTCCAGCACTGACTCCTCACAGTGCACCTCCTCCAGCCACCTGGGCTCCCTTCATCCCCCAGCCATGAAAGAAGAAGCCCCAGGGAAACTACATTTCCCACGGATGTTTAGTTTTCCGAGGTTTCCCTCTCCAAGGCCAATGCAGAAAGAAACGCTCTGCTCAGAGCTGAGGTGTCTCAGAAAAGATGAGGGAGTGGTTGTAGGGAGCAATCACAGTCAGAAAGAAGATGCTCCCAGGTTTATTAACGCTGAAGAGCTATTGCTGTGCTCAGCCAGAGGGAAGCTACTAGGAAATCAGGTTTTGCACTGCTCTGTAAGGAGGCAGGGTTTGTTTGAGGCAGCAGGTGCTGATGAAAAAGAAGGGAGAGAAACTTCTCACTGTGACAAAAACACAGTGGGTGATGTTCCCAGTAAACAGAGATACTCCAAGTGCTTCCAAGCAGCTAAAAAAGCCGTGATTCATAATTGGATTTCAGAGCACAGATGCATGTGGAAAGAAGCAAAGATAAAAGCTTGTTTGCTCCCAGCCATTGCTGAAGTGTGAAAAAGTATCTGTTCCGAATAATGTTGTTTGCAAGAAATAACCACCCTGTGCTCTAGAAGCTCTCCCTGGAGTCCTTATGTGGAAAACATGGCTTGAATGTGCATGCAAGTCAGGAAACCTTTTGTGATCCATCTTACCTCTCATCAGTGGGCAAATGGACAACTTGGAGTCCAGTCCTCTGAGGAAGCAGCAATTAATTCTCATTTTGGAAAGGCAGTGGTTCATAAAGCATTGCCCCACACCTATTGCCTTGAACTGCCCTGAGCATGGAGAAAATTGAAGAGCCATCTGTTTTGAAGAAGTAATCTGAAGGAAAAAAAAACAACAACCCACACACCTACTGCCATTTCACAACAGATGCCAAGCAGCCAGATGTTACACAAGCTTGGGTACAGTTATTCTGAAAGAAACATTCTGAACAGTGCTTGGACAGTACTAAATATGCCCTCACTGACATGCATTCACTGAGAAACACTGCATAGATCACTGCATCAACACCAGAATACCACTGGGTCAGTCATCTGTTAGTGCTTTCATGTGAAGGAATATTTTTAATAAAGAAGCCTGTGATGAGGATTTGTTAGAGGACAACATGGAAAATACTGAAACTGTTCCAGGTGGGACTTTTCCCCTTTCTTAGCACTGCAAAAATTTATGACTTTCACTTCACAACCTAACCTGGTTGGAGATGACTGGCAGCTCTGGGTGAGCATTGCGAACACTGGTCTGGTGCTGCTGCCCTGGCCCTGCAAGAAATCAAGGTCTCAGTGCTCTGCTCCCATCAGTGCCTGCACTGCTGTCTGTGCTGGGTGGGAGCAGAGCTGGGAGCTGAGCAAGCTCTGTGCACATAGGTCTGTTTCTCTTCTGTGTGCTTCCCCCAAATTGGCCACACTAACCACACTGACTTTTCTATGCCTGCTGCTGTGAGACCGATACATGAAGAAAAATAACCATCATAACAAGTCCCCAGGACAACCCCTTTGTTGCTGATGCTGCACGGGATGTCTGCAGGAGGAGCAGTGCTGCTGTGGGATCCCGCATGCTGAGCACACGGTCAGGTCATCCTGTAACCACCACACTGAGACAATTTCATCTCCTGAAGCCTTCACTCATTGTCACTGTCCCACAGCACACAGCACTGCAAAGAGGAGCAGGTGAGAGAACAGCTAAGTAACGCTAGTGCAATTATTGCTGCCACTGCCACAAATCAATCCTTTGGCAGGGAGAGGATACAAGGACCAGGCTGTTTGCTCAACTGCAGCCAGGATGGGAAATGCCACCGCAAAGCCGCCGGTATAGCAGTGCTCGCAAGTGAGTTCTGAAACACCCTTGAGTAGATTAAATCAGACGGCAACTTCTGCTCAGTACAACACAAGTGTAAATATACTCAAGGATCAAAAGGAGAGCAAATCTGAACTGTTCATTCTCACATCTCTTACCTCAAGTATTTTTATTCCTGTTGAAACTCATTAACGCTCTGGAGCCGAACTGCTTCTCATCTCCATTTTCAGACTAACCACACAGCAAGAACAAAGGCGAAGGCGGCTGCAGCTTTTTTAGGGCCTATAGAGAGCCTGAGCTGAACAAGGACCGCATGGGCTCTGCCTCCCCCTCCTCTGCCCTTCCCTTTTGGGTTTGTATAGGGATGGAGGTGATGTTTGCCCTTATTGCTATGCGGATGTTTCGGTTTCTGTCCATGTTTAAGACACCAATGCCTAGCAAGTCTTGTGCCAACTGCATGTATCACCATATTTGACCAAGAAAGCAAATAAAACCCTTACACCAATCAGCTCTCTCTGTTCTTACTGGCCCACGAGTGACCTTTCAGGTGCAATCCTCAAACTTTCCCAGAAAAGCTCCATAGAAACCTAAAACCCTCGGGGGGGAGAAGCTTTGGAGTGCAGCAAAGAGAGGCACAGACAAGCTCAGGTGATGTTGGCATCCAAATCCCACCTGTAGCTTTCAGTCTCAGGTTTCACAACTTGTAGGCAATCTGTAGCTAACACAGAAATTCATTCAAGTGGTCATGCAGACTTTTACTGCTGCAAGCAGTGAATTCACTTGGACACAGAAAACCATGACCAAAATTAGAAAACCAGAGACAGAGAGGCAGAAACAAAGTTGTCCCCTTCTTTTCTCATCAATGTCACAATCAGCTCTAAGTGAATTCAACAGAATTAGCACAGAGAAGCGTCAGCAGAGGAAAGGGAGGGCCTTAAAGGACAACAGTTACTATCAGCTCAGAGCAAGGATGAGGAAGCAACAGCTCTGAGAGCCTGGCTAATGGGATCTGGTTATCAGTGCAGAGCAGCCACAGCACTCCAAGGAGCTAATGCACTGCACATAGGGTTTCTCTGCAGATAGAAAGGCTGCACTGATCAGAAACTAAGACATGAACCAATGCAATGTGTTTAGAAACAGAAAAGGTCAGGAACACATTTGTCCTAAAGGGGGGACACAATGGCAAGATGGGAAATGGAGAAGGTCCATGCAGGAAGCCCTTGTGTGAAGTCAGCAAAGCCAGTTTCTTTGTACTACTGTAGTAGTAGTGTAACATGGTAGCAGTGTAAAAGCAGCTTTTTTAAAGAAAAAGAAAAGATCGAAATTTTAAAGCTTTGAGAGAAAACACAGCCTAGTTTAGGGGAATCAGATCCAAGCCCGAGGTGAGATATGGGGTCCCTCTACACAGGTTAGCAGCTGTGTGGATTGTGCATCAAGCTTTCCCCTTGCCCTGAAATGCCACAGTTGGGCCTAATGCTCATTGAAAGTGTTTTTAGCTAACTTCGAGCCTCTACAAATGGAGAGTAATGATAAATGGTGTACAATGAAGTTAAACTGCATTTAGTGACTAAAGAGGAATCTCTTAGCTTTGGAAAAAAAAAAAAAAAAAAAAGCCTTGTATGTCCCATCAGCAACGTGATTAATGGTTTTGCATCTGCAGCAATAACCACAAGCATAAAAGAGATCCAGAACAACAGCCAAATGCACACACAGATGAAAGGAGCAGGCAAGCCTCTCTGTCCTGCTGGCAGCAGGAGGCAGTGCTACATCTGTCACTGCACAGGGAGCTGCACTATCAGTGACACATCCTGCAGTACCCAGGCAGGGGCCTCCTGCTCCTATCTCAGATGTACCAGCTCAAAAAGCACAAGCCTGCAGTCTTGTGTTAGATGATTTTTTAGGCTCAGCCATTTGCCTTGCTCACCACAGCCCCCATTTATTTTTGTGGCTGGCATCAAAATCACAGTTGATAGCAACAATGAACCCTGAAACACCACATTTTGGTCTCGTGGCCTTTTCCTATGCTTTGGGCTTCTCAAGAGTAACTGAATTTGCCCCACACAAGAGAGAGTGTGATGCAAAATACACGTTGTGTAAATTCACATCCAATGTCCCTGGCAATCGCAGCCTTCCTGGAAATAAAGCTCCTGGAGGCAGCACTTCCAGGGACTGTTGCAAAGAGCTGTAGAAAACCCTGGCATTTTTGGAATATCATCTGGTTGCTACATAACATCTGACCAAATGCCATCTAAAACCAAAGGGAGCCTGTAAGTGCTTAGGAATGGGCTTGCGATGGGAACAATTTTCTGCTGTGATTAAAGCACAGATTTCTATTAGCAGCTGATGAGGGAAATGAAGTTATCAGCTTATTTACTTGCATGCATTAGCATTTTGTCAATTATTTCTTGTCTTTGTTTTTAAGCTACTCATGCCGAAAGGCCCTCGGCCTGCTGTGAGCTCAGCAAGGGCCGTGCAGCCTGGCAGTCAAGCGAAGTTAGAGCCAGCAGGGAGACTGCCACAGCAAGTTTGGTGCTGGACTGTGACTGCTCGAGTCATTCGAGTTTAGTTGAATGTTTTTTTTTTTTTCCTTGGTGACAGGAACATGGGAGAGCAGACTGGTTTATACTGGAGGTACTGAGCTACAATGTCCATTCCCTGCCACCTCACCCAACAGAGCACTGCCTCACGGCTCAGCTTTGGGAAAGGCCTTTAGAATCATCAGATCATAGAACCATTGAGGACGGAAAAGACCCCTCAGACCATCTCGTCCAACTGCCCACCTACCGCCATTGCCCTCTGACCACATCCCTCAGTGCCTCAGCTCCACGTTCATGGAACACCTCCAGAGGAGGTGACCCCACCACATGTTGGGCAGCCTGACCACTCTTTTGGAGAAGAAATTTTAACTGTTATCCAAACTTTAACCTCCTCAGATACCTCTGAGGACCAGATGAGGGTGGAGGAGGCCCAATCCGGGACACACAGCCACCAGGCCACGGGCACAGCCTGCTCCTGAGCTGTGGGGCAGCTCAACATGGCGGCTGCTGCTCCTCAGAGCTGCTTTGTCTGCACACAGCACCGCAGGAAGAGCCAGAGGCGTTTGATTCCCAGGGACAGGCCGTGCCCTGCCTGCTGCTGTGCAGGGGCTGCTCCTGGAGGCGGTCGCTGAGGGAACGTCAGCGAGACAAAACTCAGCAGGATTCTACAGGATTAGACAGCCCTGTGATCAGGAACATTTGTGCTTTGTTAACTGGGTCAAAGAAATACTGGAGATGTTCAGCACTGTGCTTGCCTGAAGGGCTGAGCTGGTACTGTCTGGATTTAGAGGAGACTCCTCCCTAGCTACCACCCCCAACAGCAGGCTCCATCACAAGGCCTCATCCCTTCCCTTACAAAAACCCAGCACCACTCTGCAGTGCAGTAGGAGACCTCACAGCCCTGTGCATGGGGTTTGCAGAGAGCACACAGCATTGCCACCTCTGCACCAGGGGTCTGTTTTTAAGCCAAAGAAAAACATTACATTCTTACATGCTTTTCCTCTGTCTGGCAGAATTGCCTTGTCAGATCACAGAATCACAGAATTGCCAGGGTTGGAAGGGACCTCAAGGATCGTGAATCTCCAACCCCCCTGCCACACGCAGGGCCACCAACCATCCCACCTAATGCTAGACCAAGATCTCAGCTCCCTGCTCCAAGAAGGGAGATGTAAGAGAAAGGGCTGCTGCTTAACATCTTCATTGAAGAATCAAACTTATCAATTTACAAAAGAGACTATTCCTACATCAAAAATCATAGCCTGTGGGAAAAGACACTACAATAGCAGCACTTGCAGCCAAAGTCCAATAGGTTCCTTCGCCCCTGTGGGTGTAAATGCAGCAGAGAAGCTTCCATCTCCTCTCCTAAGCTGTGAGCATAGCTGTAGCTGATCAGTAGCTGCAACTGCTCAGATCCTGCAGGGATTTTAATCCAGAAGAGGAATCCAAAGGCCCAAGGTCCCACCCAGAGGCAACCAGCAAGGTGCCAAGAAGGCCCACCGCGTGCAGTGGTGCTGCTGTGCTCGGGGTGAGCTGTACTCTTAGATCCAGGCTTCAGCTCAGAGACATTTGCTGTTCTCAAAACTTTCTCATGCTAGCTAAAATTCTGTATGGAAAACATTTTCCATGAGGCCACAAAGACACTATGTTCTTATTTTGAAACCAATGATTGCTATGTAACTGGAGAAACAAGCTGGTGGTGCAGAATTTAGTTTCTTTTCCTGGTTAAAGCCTATGCTGTTATTCCAGGTGAAACTTTCACCGCTGGCTCCTTACACCCTGCTGGCAAACCCTTCTGTTCTCCTTTGGTATAAATCAAAAATGACCTATGCAGACAGCACCAAGCCCCAGGGCAGGAGACCCCACTGCCTACCTGTATGGGAACTGCTGAATCACAGCCTGAGCCTCTGATTGATCACCTGAGGCGAGCAATGAGTCAGCCCTGGAAGCACAGGTGAAGGCAATTCACCTGTGCTGCTGGAAGGGGTGGATCCTGGCTCCACCTCTCCTAGACCCATTTAAGAGCTGCCTACCAGTGGGGAAGGATCTCTTTCTGGAAATCCCTCCTTTGGAGTTTTACAGTGAGCCCAGGACACAGGTAAGCACTCTATCTATTCTCTTTTTGTATAATAACCTGCTTAGCTAAACTCTTTGGTATATTTCATAATTATAATGTCTGTGTATTCATTAATTATACAATACCACATCTCTTAACATCACTTCTGAGTGCCAAGATAACAATGTGGTGTTTCATAAATACCATCTCATTTTCTTCAGTGCATTTCATGAGCTGAACATGGTTGCTGTTTGTGCACTGACCTGGGTTGTAACAGAAAACCTCCTGTTGCAGGGTTTAGGAAACATAGGGATGCTACCTCCTGCTAGGACAGAAATTATTAAATCAACTCTTGGCTTCTGCCTCAAATGAAACATGACCCAAAGTACACCCCTTTTACAGGTATCATTAACTAAACTGATTGGTCAACAATGACACCACAAACTAGAACACCAGGTGTGGGGTAATATCTGACCAACAAAAACAAAACCATCTTCCTGCAGCCCATGGCAAACGGTATCAGGTAGAAAGGAAGACATGGCAACATTTAAATGCACTCCCATTTAGAGGATGCCCATTGCCTTTGAAAGGAACGAGATCAACTGCTGCCAAAAATCAAGGAAGCAAATCTTCCCCACCAAGGTCTGCTCCAAAATGAAGGATGCGTGTTGCAAAATTGCATTGTTCTCCTTTTGCCTTCCTATCTGCTGCAACCCCTGGCACTCTGGCTGCACAGCAGCTGCTAGCAACTTATTTCAGCTCCCTCTCATTTCCACAGAAAACACAGACCTGTATTCTCTATGGATCAGGCAACAGAGCAGGCTGAGCTGGGGTGTGCAGCACAACTTGCAGCACTGACACCCACGACCTTCCACGAGTTACAGCTTTATTTTTTTTTTGGGGGGGGGGTTATTTTTGTGCTCTGTAGAGTGGGAACAACTCTTAGGGGAAGAGGAGGATTTGTAAGATCAGCCAGACCTACAAGAAGAAACATTTAGATAGAACAAGATTAGTGGCGGTGGCTCTAATCTTCCAGACAGCAAGGAACTGTGCTGCAGACAGGAGAGCATGTGCTGCTGCTGCCCCGGGCACGTTCCTCCTCTTTATTCATTGCATAGTTCCTGCGATACATGAGTAATACAAAGACTGATGTAACAACACAGCTGGCTGGCTGCTGGCAGTTATGTAACTGGATGGGACCACAGTTTGACACCCTCAAATGTGAAAGCTTAATTAAACGGTACTGATGTGACAAAGGCTCAGGATTGGGTACAAGAAGGAACATAAACACCACAGCAGCAACTCAGCAGACTCTGAATTCCTGTTTTTAGTGCCACAACCTCTGCACACACACTCGCCCTATCCATTGGGTTTTTGTGGGTCTAAATGTAGTTTGCAAGCCAAGCACATCTGACTTGCTCTTCTCATTGAGCGCTGCACGGCACTTTTTGCTGAATATAGCTGCTATTAGTTACTGGCAGCATGTGATCCCACTGACCTCTGAGAGCACAATCTTGGCAACAAGAACACGGTTCTTTGCAGCCAAACATCACAACTGATGGGTGATGCTCTCCCACACGCCAGCTGGAACCAGAGCACATCACCACAGAGCCCAGAACACTGCAGACAACAGCTAACTGAGAAAGAAAGGTCTGAGTTGCCTGGTGTTCAACATGTTTGCAACAACAGGCCGACCATAGGATATCACATAGCCAGACATGACGTGAAGCAGGATGCTTTCCCGACCACGCGTTCCCTCTGCCCACGAGAAATCTAAAAATATTTTCTGTAAGTTAAGCTGTTTCTCCCGTTCCACTGGCTTACAGTCAGTGGTCAAAGGTCAGAAACAGCAGCACAGACTTCTCCCCAGCTGACCTTCATTTCTATGCTGTCCTGATGCTGGGATGGGCAAACCCATTGACCAGGTTGGTTCAGGAGTTGAGGTACAAGTCTCAGTGTCCCTGGCCAAAACACAAACTATTAACTGGTCTGCTGCTTTTTTAAAGAAGAAAGAAAAGAAAAAACCAGTAAGAGCAGCTTCTGAAGAGCCACCAATACCAGCAGCTACTGCAAAGAAACTGCCATTAACTCACTACTCTGACCCAGAAGGAGCAGCCTATACTCTGATAGCTCTTTGTAACTAGAGAGAAAAAAGAAAGAAAAAAGCATCCCATCAAAAATCAGCTAGATCTGAACCCTTGTGGCCATTAAAACCCAATGGTTTTTATTTTAAGTAATGTATGTTTATTACAATAAACACAAAACATTCCTATAATAAATGAACGCTGTCTACAGCCACACTCAGAAGATTTAACTAGAACATAGTTTCCTATCTTTTCAAAACTGGAAATACATGAGAATACTGGGCTTATTTTGGAAAAAGAAAATATTCAAACACACCAAAGGTCCCTGCTGCTTAGTTAACTTTACTGCTTTCCATGCAGAATAAGTGAATGCTTAGAGAATGAACAATTAGTGCCTCTGATTAGGAGGGCAAGATGAAAAGCAAGAAAGCAAGTATAAAACTCACCCTTTCAGGATGTAAGGTTTTTCCATATTCTTGTCCTTCACACTTACCTTGTTCTCAGATTTTTTGCCTTTTCACACCCAGATCAACTCCAGATGTTTCAAGACATCTCCACCACCCACAGCAGTAGGTAAGCAATGCCCTGCAGAATTCACCTGCACCATTTTGAAAAGTTCACACCATAAAATAACTCTGTACCCTCTCTAAGGACCTGGTGCACATGAGACAGTAACTCAGAGTCTGGTCAGATTCTGTGTTAAAATAACTGTAGTTAAAGTAAGTCTTTTTAATTCCCATCATAGCAGCTGTATTTATAAAACCGCTATTAAATTGACATGGATGCTAACAAACCAACTGAAAAACGTTAGTTCCTGGGCTTGAATTTCTGCAAGAACTCTAAAGAATAATTCCACAAGCCCTACTTTCTGGGTGCTGCTCTCAGAACACGCCTGTGCCTCCCTGTGCACATAAAGCCTGTGTTGCATGCACCATCTAGTGGCAAGACAGCAAACGTGTTGGTGGGAATTTTAAATACAAAGAGAAATCATTGCAGAAATCTCTAATGGACTCACGGTCTGTTAAGGACTTACAGCTGCTTCTCAACTCTGAATTTTAAAAATACAAAGAGGTCAGCACTCTGAGGTGTGTGGCACTCATAGAAATACTGAACAAGGCCATTTGTGTCAAAAGCAGGGCCAGCATACAGAGTACGACCTCTGAAATGACACAGGAGTGTCCATGAGATGTCTGTGCTTCAGTGCTTTACACAGCAAAGATATTTTGTTTTCTGCAGTTAGGGATGGGAACGGCACAGAAAACAAAACACCACACTTCTGGCCACTGAAGCCTTTGTGGCCATTAAAACCTGCATATGCTCTGATGCAGGAGAAAATACGTAAATTAAGGACACAAGTTACCTTGAATCTCATTCTGAAAAGAAAGATAAAAAAATCTTCACTTTGTTCCTCTTCTGCAGAACATTAATGAAAAGAGGAACCTCTGAACTCCTTCCTGTTGCTGGATTCCAAGTCTGACTTGTGCTTTCTGGGGTAGGAAGGAGATGGGTCACAGAGCAAACCCATGGCTGCTGCACTGCCACACAACCCACCTTACTGTGAAGGCCAGAGGATGGCCGGATATGAAGACACAGAGCTGCAGTCTAATTTGATCAGAAGATAACAGGCCTCATATTTTGTTTAGACGTGTTTTCCACAAAGTCTAGAGGCATTATTAACTACTTCTTGAATCTGTAATCCAAGCCCAACTCATTCAAAGTGTTTTGGTCCTCAGTTCTATGGAGTACAGGAAAGGCTGCCCAGGATTATCGGGTTGCTTACTTGCTTCCATTTTACCTTTGGCATCCTTTATTTACTTTGGCTACCGCGTACCTCGAGAAAAGGCTTTCAGAACTAAGTTAAAATATGAATTAGACTTCAAGAAGGTTTGAAACAGATATTGGATTTATTGGTCAGCTATGAGTAGGAAAATACATTGGTAAGGAAAAAGAAGACCCTGTATATAAATATAATACTAACTAGTTAAAATTTGACCAAGAAGAAAGTTCCACTGAAGAGAACAGTAAAAGCCCTTGTTTACCATCAGACCATATTCAGTTTCCCATTTATCTTATTGAAGAGCTGCCTATAGACAAATGCAACATTCTTTGAGCTTAGTGCAGATAATGTGCTGGTTTTTGTTACATGAATGGTAAACAAGAGTTAGTCCAGTGCATTACACGTTATACAGAAGTACTGTGAATAAAGACTAAGATATTCTATTTAGACACTACTTAAACATACCAAGACACTTAAGTGTTACAAATTTATGCAACCAAAAGAAAAGAATAGCAGTTAACATACTAAAAAAATACTGTGACCTGCTGGATGAGAAAGGCTTGCTACTTATGCAGTTAACTGATTATTACTATTTTTAAAGTTTTACAGTGTAATTAGTCGCCGTTTCCAATGACATCGTAATTATTTTGTCTTTACTACAGGTTTTAGCTTGTGGCTGAGAAAGCAAACAATAACCTAAGTCTGCTCAAGAAAACCAAAAACCAACCAACCAAAAACACAAAACATCCGAACTTGAGAGACTTGCTAAAGTTACACCAAAGATGCCTACATACAGTGTTCTAAACAAACTCAGTTTTGTCCAAGTGTTGGCCAAATTTAAACCTAAAAGGACAAAATAATTACAAAATGCACTGACACTGACTTAGACACCTTCCCCCTCCATCCCTCCCAATTGATGTCATTCTAAAACTTGTGGATTCACCTTGTAATCAATCTGTAATCAATTCTCTTAGCTAAAGGTATGCTCAATTTAATGTTTTGATTCCCAGAATTCTTTGCAAATGTAAATACAAGTAGACAAGATATGGTCAACTCTATTTTAAGTGGAAAAAAGCCTGCTCAAACCTCAACGAATCCCACTGATGTTTTGTGGCTTTCGCAGTACGTGCTTTTACAACAAGAACACTGAAGGTACATTATGGCAACACCCAAATCCACCTCCAATAAAATACTGCAAGTAATCATTTTAAGTCAAAAACTACGAAGCAAATGTTTTGATTGTGTGAAGACATGGTTTATTGCCTTATTCTATGCTATAGCTGGAAATTGAGACTTTTGAGTTACATCTGTTTGACGTACGGATGTATTTTCTTTAGAAGTTTATCTCAGCTCCGCTTTGGTGCCTTCTGTTCTTTTCCTGCATTCAGAGTATTTCTCATTCCCTCCTCTCTCAAGTAACCAATGTAGTCCAGTTACAACCCAGTGAAGTCAAAGGAGTGTCTTAAATGTATTCAGTGGGTCTTTAGTTGGGATCTGATAGACTAGTATAAAAGCTAAAGGAAATGGTTACTTAAATGGACCCTTAAGGCTGCCAGGTGACTGAACAGGGACAGCTGTCTCTCCAAAAGCACAACGGGCCACATTTTAATGATGTAATAATTTCAAACATGTTTAAGACTAAGAAATATAAGAGAACATATACTGGATAAAGCTCAAACCTTTTCAATCTAACAAGTGCACTCAAGCTCCAGCATCTATTAAAGTAAATTATCCCCCCTCTAAGAAATACAAAATGAGTAAGTGCTTCCCTTCCCCTTCTGTAAAGCTTTCTGGACTCAGTTACACAATCCAGATCCTCAGAAAAGAAAAACAGTTTGCTCAGCTGGACGAGCTAAATCGGCTCGTCCTCACTGGAAATTGTCATGATGTACATTACCAAGACATCATTAAGGAAACATGAGTAAAACACTTTTTATTCACACTTTACAAAAGAAATAATAATAACCAACAAAAAAAAACAAAACAAAAAAAACCAAAAAAAAAACCAGAAAAAAATAACACTACGCATTAAGTCTACTACAGCAATACTATCAGCATTTCAATGTACTGATTATAAACTGGACGTGTTTGGTGTTTTCACAACTAAAACGAAAACAAAATAACCCCAAGAGATCAGGTCCCAGACAAGGATTCAAGATCAGAATTTCTTCTACTGCAATTTAAAAATGTACATTTCACATATCCGAACTGTTTGTCACGTTCACTTTCAGCTTAAAACAGAACGGTCCGAGCACACCTATGTGCTTACTAATTTTTAATAAAATTTTGAATCATTATTACCAATCCACTCTCCCATATATATAAAAATTCTTAATATTTAGAAAGTTCTCTTAATGCTCAGTGTCCTTTTGCTTCCCTGCCCGCAGCTGAAACAAAAGCTGTTTAAGATCAAGCTTTCTATCTCCATTTATTTTCTTTTTTACATTGATTATTTATGTTGTATTAGTTGAAGGAGGTGATAACGTCTCTCTTTTAGAATACAAATACACAAGTTAAATTTGTAAGCTTTTATATACTTGGCTTCGTGACACAAATGGCACTGAGGGTACACAACAACTTCAGTCTTGACACTTTAAAAATAAGACTTGGTCACTTTAAAAATGATCTGAAGAATTGTCTTTGGGACCTGTTTTGAAAACGCATTTCTTTTTACACTGCTTCATCAATAGAAAACGTAAGGGTTTTATTTTCTTCATCAAGGAATTATACTCTGAAACTGAGGAACACACTCAAACTAAGGAGAATTCACATGATAATTCTTAGTGGGAAACAGAGCACTGTGCAATGACACTGAAAGAAGCAGTGCATGGGTAGTAGAAGCTAGAAACTGTGTACCCATAACCCGAACATGTTCAGAGTGTGATACCCAATGCTTCACAAAGGAAAAAAAGAAGATGCCACAGCTTATACAAAAGTATCTTCATAAAATTTTCACAAGTGTTAACATTATTTAAAAAAATAAAAGAGGATGCACAGGCTCTCTCTGCATGCACAGGCAGTGCTAGTTGAGAACAAATTTAAGCAGGCACAGTGGAGATAGGACAGGTATTAAAACAGAAATGAGGAAGCTATACACAAGTATCCCTACATTTTACTTCAAAAGTTAGAGATGAGAAAAATATCTGAGAGTATACACATCTGCAATAACTTTCAATGCATACAGGTCTACTTATATTCACTGCTTAGCTTATATGTTCTGTGAGAACTCCATGCTTTTCTCTTTTTTAAAATCAGATAGAATGTATTTAGTCCTCTGTAAGATACTGAGATTTTATAGATTTGGATTTTAAAAGCAACGTTCTCAATTGAACATAAGAAGTAGTACAAAAGGGCTAACAAAACCCTAACAGTGCAAATCGTTAGCAGAGAAAACCTGTGACAACCTCTTTTACGAGCTGGCCTTTATAACACATGAAAACAGATAAAAATTTAGCCTTAGTTTACAATACAATCATTTTCCAAATCTGATTTTTTTTTTTAAAGTACAAAATTTCATAAATCAGGTTTTCTGTTGTTCATATACAATCAATAAAGGCTAAATTCAAATTCTATATTTTACAAACAAGTCTGAAAAAGGAAGGAGTGAAGTACGGAAGAATGTTCTGTGGATGTTCCTACTGGCCTCAAAAAAGTAGTGCTACAGATAACTGTGCAAAGAGAATATACTGTATAACAATTCCCTATTTCAAGGCATGAAAATGTCACGTTGGATAAAAGAAACAGGAAGGTTAACTGCAACGTATTAAAGAAAGGTGCAAATGCACCGATCGCTGTCGACAGTATACAAAGTATAGTGGGCTCAGAATTATGTCTGTTGATAGCACCTGGCTTTTACTATGTCTTTAGCAAATAATTAGATTTAAGATTAAGATCATTAAGAAAAAAATCCCTGTTGGCCATACCTCACTCCTCTATATTCAGATTTTACAATTGTACAGGTTTGATTGAGGTTACCCTCTAAAATGTACTTAACTACCTCCTGCCAGGGAGATGGATTCCATTTACAGGAGGCAGGAAAGGCAGCAAAAGCTCCAGTTGTGCAAAAAGTGAGAAGTGGTCAGAAGGGATGAGTGGATGCGGACAACCACTTATATTGTTCTCTATTAACCAATGATGATCCAAAGGTCCGAGAATGCCAAGTATGTTTAGCTGAGGTTTAGAATAGAAGATGTAGTCAATAATACCCTAAAACAAGAAGGGAAATAGCATTGTTAGTACATTATCTTTACCCAAGTTATTTTGCTAAACAAAAGGTGAATTCAGTATTAGGAATAACTGCAATGGTATCATTCCTTCGCTGTAGTTTATCTTCAATTTAGGAGACTTCTATTTCCTGTCCTGTGGGTAGCCCAGTACAGATTGGAGAAACAAGTGAAAATTCCACCCCACATCACTCCTGCTCTCCTTTTGGAGGTTGTGATTTCCATTCTCCTACACAGCTTCAAAATCAGAGAAATGTAATTTGAAGAACAGAGCCATCTTTCTTTTCCAGCAGTAGCATGGATTATTTCCTCGAAACTGGCAGCTTAACTGTCCAAATTCCACTATTTCATTTAGCTTAGATTATTAAAATACATCATCTTATTTACAGGGAAGGATAACAGTGCCCTTTTTCTTGCAGAACTACTATAATACTAACATGAGAAAGGAAAACTTGATTTCTAGGAGATGGAAGTTTTAGGCATTCTGTTTGCTAAATGCTTTAATTGTTTTAAATGAACTTGGTAAACTTACTGTTAGCTACCTAAACATTAACTTATTTGTTAAACAATTAACTAGCTGGGTTTCCACTAATAAAACTTAAAGATGGAAAATTTTTTCAAAGCAACAGCAAAGTCCTTACCTTGAAGTCAAATGTGTAATTTGTATAAGGCATTAGACCATTCTCATAGGCACTCTTCAACTTGAAACCATGTGTAATTCTTCCATTTGTTGTTCCATTTTTTCCATTACAACTGAAGTTAGTGAGACTTTCATTGTATCTCAGTTCCTTAAAATCTTTGTGGTTTGTTTCCACTCCACCAGTGCTCAAGTATTCAACAACACCTATTAGGAGAGGCAGATACACAATAAGGTATTAACAAGTATTCAGCAAGTGTGCATGGATTACTTTGAGCTGTATGTGCAATTTTCTGCTTTATATAAGCACACACAATACAGTCAGCAGTTGATCTTAAAGAGATACTGTGAGACAGCATCTATGTGTTTCAAGAGCAAATGTCCCCTAGAACAAAGACTGATTCATTGATTAGAAAAAAAATAGTAAATTAAATAGAACAGACTGCCTTGAGAGGGCTGGGGAAGATAGAAGAGATGGAAGTAAAATTCCATGGTGCTTGGTAGGCCACTTCTTCTCATCTTCACACACAAATCTTGGCTTTCAACACTGCTTGGCTAAAATGACTCTAGAAATCCAAGAGGCTACAAAGCAGAACAGATTCTGTCTGGAAAAAAATAAAAGTAAAAAAAAAAAATCTATGATTGCACCTCTTAATTTCAGAACAAATGTGTTAGGGTTCAGGATTTAAAAGAAGTGATTAAGTGTTCTGAAGGCACAATCAGACAATACTTGCCCTCTTTGCATCACAGAGAATCCCTCTTGCAGCACTGCTAAGCAATAGCATCAGGTCAGGGTTGATAGGAATGGCTAAGATGTTGCCAAGTGGAGGCCAAAAGGAAGGTGGACTAGGGATGGAGATAACTATATGTAGTAATCAACAGTAAGAAAGAGGGATGGCTCTCAAATCCACCACTCAGATTGGATACCTGAGAAAGAGTTAAGAAGGGATAAACCGAATCTGCTCTTTTCTTGAATTCTGCAGTTGGCTACAGTCAAAGAAATCTGCACATTATTAAGGAGCTCTAAAGAATTCTTTTCTCATAGGAGATGTATTGAGTTTGGAACTCCTAAAACATTTGAGCAGCAGAAAACGATTGATGGTTGCAACTTTAAAGAGAAGAACATGCATTTTTGTACTTAAAACCAATCGTAAAAAACAACCCACAATCATCAGCAACACAGTAACATTGACAGTTATTTTGGAAGATATTTTCTTCTTTTCCATTCCTGTATTTTAAGACAACAATCAAAATGATTCTGAAAAACAAAAATAGAGCTATAGTACTACACAGGCAATAAAAGTCACTCACAAAAGAAGCAGTTCCACATCTTTTTGTTTTCTTAGCACTTTTAGAGCTTTCCATATCAAACAATATATTCCCTGGGTTAAAAATCCCTTCAAAAATTGAGACCTTAGCATTTGGATTGTTACACACTTGAAACAGTCTGAAAAAAGAATAACCACAGGAATAGTACTCTTACCAGAGTCGGGCAGAGAATTGAGATCGGCGCACAGTACAAGTGGAATGGTTCCAAGTTCCCCTGCAACACCAGGCTTGAGACTACGAGAAGCTTTATCAATAATGTTCTTTACCTCAGATAGGAACATCATAGTCTGAACCAGCTTCACATCAGAATAATCTGGGTCCCAATGCATATGTGCATTAGCAACAAGAACGAGCTGCTTTTCCATCCCCAGATGCGGCTTTCCAGCTAAAATTTAAAATTAATATTTACCTTGCATAGTCAGCAACAGAAAATACTATCATCTTTAACTCTGTTCCATTTTAAACAAGATGTTTGAGGGGAGAAAAAAATACCATCTGTTTGAACAGAATTACTAACATTTAGTTTAAGAGAGTTACACAACTCCTGTTGTAACTACTAAGTGCTAAGTGTTCTAGTTGATTCTAAGCATTAGGAATAATCTAATATCAACTCACTCTCTGATACCTTCATGCATCTCCAAGCAGAATCCCTCAAACTGCAGAATATTCTTTTTTTTTTTTTTCAGCACAAAGTTACAGTAAAAAGGAAATTGGATTTAACAGGTTGATGTAAGTTTAAACACTGTATGACCAGAGAAATTTATTTCCAAAGAGGATTTGAGGAAAAGATACACGGTTCATGTGATGATACAGTTGGCTTTTTGTTTGTTTTCATTGATAAAATACAGTGCATTCAAAAACTAAACAGCACTTACATGACATTTCTATCAATTCTTTTCGCAGTTCTAACAACACAGCAACTCCAATGTTATCTTTTGTCATAACTCTGTTCAGCATAGCTTCTGAGCCTTCGGAGTTTGCCATAGCCAGTTGATTGAACTCAACGGTATGTTTCTGAACCAAAGTAAATCTGAAAGAGGAACATTGTATACACTTTCTTCAGTAGACCGTTATCAAAGGAAATGTTACAGATAAATTCCCTTCTTAATTAAAGATCACATTTACAATAAGAAAGCCTCAGCCCATCCTATGATTTCATAAAAATCAGTAACTGAAATCAAAAGGATACTGTTCTCCTAGCTATGATATGAAGCTGATTTTAATGAAAACATTTATTTTGTAAAAAGGAAGAGGAACTACTGAAAGACTGCTTCATTTTGATCCTGCATAAGATTCTAGTTCAGACGTGCAAGTTTAATAGCAACTAAATAATTGCTTGTGGCATCTTTGCAGACACAGAGGAATGGAAGCAGGAGAAGCACGGAAGGAAAGCTATGACCATTGCTTGCAGTCTTAATTCAGTTTGAGATTTTTTTTCTTTTTTAAATAAGAATTAAAACGCGAATGTCTTTAATGCCTAATGGCAGTATTTGAAGTGAACTCCTGACTTGTCAATACCAAACAGCTACAAAAGGGGTGAGCAATGCCAAATTATTTTGACTTTAGAATGACCCAGGAAATTGTGTGAAAAAGAGCAAGAGACAATGGAAGGCTTTATAAATCAAATCACTTACTTTTCTGTTTTGAAAAATATTGCACAACCATCAACATGTTTTCTTTCCTGTTCTGACATTGTCCTAGCTCTAGATTTTGGACTGAAGAATCCATTATAACCACGTTCTTTCAATTCTACCAGGAAAAAGCTGTAGTACTGCTCAGTTTCAACCTCCTATGAAGTCAGAACACAGCACACCATGAATCTACTATTACCAAAACACACAAGACTGATATCATTTAGACTCTTCAGAAGTGCAAATCAGTTCCAAATTAGATTTAAGGAAAAAAAAAAAACACATAAGAATTAAGTACACTGGAGAATACAAATTTGAGAGCAATATTCGTATTTTAAGAAGAAAATATAAATGAATTTCTGTAATCCCCAGAGTTATGATTATTCTAAGCCTTTTATTTGAAAACGTGTCAATTACACCCCTCACATGCACACGCAAAGACACCCCCACATACATTTCTTTGATCAGCAGCTGCTGGTTCACATTCCAACTGTGTGGGCTGAAAAGCATTCTTTTGATGTCAAACAGCAAATACTGCTCTGAACACCACTTTTTTTTTTATTATTATTTTCAGAGGGTTTTGAAAACATACCATTTACAGCGAGCATATTTAATACAGAGAAACAAGCAAGTGAGAATTGAAAAGAAAAAAGAAATTATAGTATATCTTTTACCTGAAGGCTTATGATGTCAGCATTGCAGCTCAGGATTTCCTGCATAATGGCTTTTTTTCTGTACTCCCAGTTCAACGCCCAAGATGGACAGTAGCCATACAACTGCCGGGTAGCGTATTTATCACAAAGCACGTTGTAACACATGACAGAGAACAAGGCTGCAGAACAATAATGTTACTTACATACTGATAGACTAACAACAAGAAAAACATATAATTGTCGTCTTCTCTTTTCTCTTCTGCGCACTTATGAACTGATGCTTCATTTGCTTCAACCAAAACGGAGCACCTGCACTATGAAAGCATCTTTCAGTCCTTCCATGAGGATAAATTACCTCCAGGTTGGGATTTCTGGCAGCCATTTACTAACATGTACATAGAAACCAAAAATCAAAACAACTCTTCATAAGGTTAATGCAATACACAGCAGAAAAATGTACTTTACACTTTACATTAAGTGGTGCATTACTGGGAAAAGCCTTGAATGAGGAGTTTCAAAATGGATTTTAGATAATCTACTTGAGGACTTTACATACCTTAGGATAGCTAGTGAATTTATCCTAATTTGTACCACCAACTGTAACAGATCACATAATTTCACAGATTCACAGTTAGGGCAAGGAAGCCTTCCCACAGAACACAAGTATAGGTAAAATAAAAACACAGTTTTATTTCCATTTCAAAAACCTTACAATTTACAAAAAAAAAAAAAAAATCTACTTCTCAGCACTGATTTGGAATGGGAGGGATATAATGAGACATTCTGGGGCAAGATTACAGTAAGCCAGCAGCATAACATTTGGTTTTGTTTCAGAGAAAAGTTGCATTTTAATAAATAGAAAAGGCTTTATTTTAAACAATTCATGCAGAAGAAATTAGTAAACAATTAAACATAACCTGAGACCAAATAGCAAGAAAGCGTGGAGTCAGATCACACATAGGGAACTTCAAAGAAAAATCTTTACCTTTCTGAGGAATTATGATCATGGTCTTCAATTTTTTATTCTTCAACAAATGCTCAGTTAAGCACGTTACAATTCAACTAACTCACTCACTTTGGACAGTAATTTCAGTTTCTGTGAAGAGTATGCTAATTAAAAGGAAATTATAACAGAATCTGAAGCAGAGGTTCTAGGTGGGATGGGACTACAACTAACTGGCTGTCAGCACTGGGCAGACAACTGGTTAATTTAAGCATCAAAGATCTTAGTAGCAGATAATAGAGATCAACATTTGATATAAAATGAATAAAAATTTCTTGAAGCACTACAGTACCTGTTGGTCTGGTACGGTCTGGTTCTTGTAACATAATCCAAGACCTTGGAGGTGGTTGTTCTGTTGACACTATGGAAATATTTTGAAGTAGAGACAAAAGTGATAATCACATTTATTTTACACAGCAGGAATAGATCTTTTAAGAATGATCACTTACTTCTTTTTGCAGTACCTGCCAAATTATCAAGCAAATAGTTCAGTAGCCTTCGTGTCCCATCTGGTTCCTGATAAAGGTTCAGAATGTCCTGTGTGAGTGGATTTCCTGCAAACACATTTACAGAAGTGATGAACGAAGTATGCAGAACTAGTATGAATTTACTTATCAGTGTTAAAAGCGAGCATCACTGATAAAAGATACTAAATCTATTATCTAACAAGCTTCAAATCTCAGGTATTCAACCCCACAAAACACTGCTAATGTAGCCTGTTACTGAAACAAGCACCTTATCTGACTCCTGCACAAGCAACAGAAAGCTTCTCGCTCAGCAGACAGAGGAGAAGCTTCTTTACACTTGGAGGATTTCACCCAAGTGACTCCTGTTCCTCTCTTTAGCAATTACTACACAATGTTTATAAAAGCAGAGTAAGCAGCTACATCTGGGATTGCTGCTCAGTAACATTCATGAATTAGCAGTCTACAGCCCTTACATCGCAGGAGAGACATCATTAAACAAAGCACAGATACCAAGAAAAAGTAGTAATACCTTTCAGACCCAAAGTCTGTAACTGGAACAGTTTTCCCAGCTCAAAAGGTAAAACTCGTAACAGGTTGTTATTTAAATGTAGTTCCCTGTAGACAGAGTAACAATCATATAGGGCTGAAAACAGACCTCGGTTTGTCTTCAGCAGCCTATAGCACAAGTTACTAAAAGAGAAACAATATACTAACAAACCGCAGCATAGGAAGAAAAAAATAAAAATAAACAAACTTGAACACTGAACAGCATTAGGGGAATTCTGCTGTACTCACACACGCACAGACAGAATGGGTATCACACTGAAGTAGGGAGGAAAGCAGGTGACTGGGAAGCTCATCTTAACAAGACAGAAATATGATAAACGTTAACAATTACTAAAGCATTTAGTAACTACCAGTGATCAAGCAGTAAAAGCTCTGACAAACCAGGCCGTGAAACAGCTCAGCTGTGATTAAAGGCCAAATGAAAGAAAATCATATCCCAGAAAACAAGTAAGCAAAAAATTCAGGACCATGGTAGTACTACTAGAGCTTGGACATTACTGTGTTAGTGCAGGGAGTTACAATTCTTTTTGGTTAAGGTCTCTTGAGAACACTGGTTTACACCTCATAAAAAAAAGCAGTGTGCATGGCTCCCAGGTAATTCATTCTCTCCATTAAGCTGCTTGCTTTTGTCACACAAGCAAAGTGCACACTGATCTGCTGTGTACACATTTCCAGGCACACAAAAAAATGAGCTGTGTCTCTCACCACCACTGTTTGTTTTCCTAACACAAAACACACCTTTTTAACTTCCAAAATTGCAGAACAAACATGAGAGCAGAATTTGTGCCTGGAATTCTGACATTCCAATCAATTGGGCAGAGAAAAATGGACTTCTCAGCAAGCTTTCCAATTTCTTAAAGTGATCCCAATCTAAGTTGAAGACTTCGCTCACGATTTCCAATACAGAAATCTGAAGGAAGCAAATCTATGAGATTGCATTTGAAAAAGAAAGAAACATCTCTTCTTCTAGCCTTGCAAAAGTCAGCTCTACCTTCCCCAGCGGTGACTTCCAAAGAACTCACCCGGTTTCAGTGCAGATTTAGAAAGAGTGCTAAGAATAGAGGGGTTTGTTTCACCAATACTGAAGTGGTATGAAGCAGTGGAAGATAAAGAGGAGATTGTTTTTAGTCAGCTGGTTATCTAGAAACAGCAAGCCAGTACTCAGCTGACTGACAGGCTATAACACACCTAACCACCTGGTCTGTAGTTGGTTTTGTGTGTTTTCTTTTTAATATGAAAATCCTACATTTGAAAACACGTATTTCAGCCTAATTCAGAAGCCCACTGTGTCACTCTGGGGTTTCTAAGTATGAACAAGACACACAGCAGGTTAAAAAAAAAAAAAAAGAGAGAAGATATTATGATGTTATTTACAGAAAAAATATCTGAAAACATCAACATTCCCAACAGTTCTCAGCAATTCCATAAACACTTAACATTTAAATAGTTATATATTTTTTAAATTATTTTAAAATTATTATTTTTTTTTAATATTCCATATGACATTAAAAGGCTCCTAATTTATTAAAGAATAAGCATTTATTTATTAAAGAAAGCATTTTTTTCCTACAACAGCTTTTTGAAACACTACTAAACTCTAAAAAAATAAAAAGATTATATACGAATTACAAAAAACCATAGTTCTAAATCTTCTAGTGGAAAATGAGAGAGAAGGAAGAATGGCAGAGTAGTAAGTATAATCACCATTTCTCTCTTGGATGAAAGAATTTGTTTCTCTAATGATCTATGCATGCATGGAACCCCTGCTGTACAGAAGAGATGATCACAGCAAATTCCGCTAGTTCTTTCAAGTGTATCAAGAGAATCTGTTTTAGATCTGAGCTTTCCAAGATAGCATGTTACAGTTATTTTTCCTCTTTCCTCAAAGCTCAGAGATCTAACTGCTCCCCCTGACACCTCTTCCTTCAAGTACCTGCAGTAAAAAGGGAGATGCCACGAGCCTTGGCTGAGCTCTGCCATACGGCCCAAACACAGTTCTCCAGATGTGGGAGTTGTAAGACCTGTTACCAACCCTAAAGTGTGAGAGCGCAAATTATTTCTGTGGCTCAGGATATTAGCAATGCCCCGTGCTGAATTACCGTTAGGTTAAACGACTCCCCAGAATCTATGGGAAGCATCTGCAGTGAGAGCCAGCCTGAAACATAAAACTACAGCACAGCTGAGACCTGCAGAGCGCTATCACACAGGATGCACTTACGGATTTTTCTTCACTTTCACCACAGTGAAAAGAAATCATGGATCAGCTGCAATTACTGAGGACAGAGAGAGCGCAGTGGATTAATGCACTAGTTCTTCATGTCTAGAGATCTGGATTTCAGTGCTACGTTTTTGTCACAAATAGAACTCTAGTTTGATCCTAGGCCTTAGCTACACATTTCACATTCACGAGCTTTATCATTCTCTACTGAAAAGAGGTCTAGGACTTGGCAGAGCTGAAACTCCAGAGAGTCAAAATAAGTTGGGAAAGCGTTGTGAAGATGGCACTCTATCTTTTGACACTACTGATGACTATGCAAGGGTAAGCTAACTTCAGGTAATCAGTATTAATTTTATAGCAACACTGTAGAAGGAAAGAAAAAGATTGATGAAAATAAAAGGATGCTGATGAAGTACAAAGATGAATTTGAGAATGTACCAGTAAATTTAGGATTGCTATATTACAGTATCTGAGGAGTAGATAAAGGAGAGAAGAAAGTTATCGTAGAGATAGAGATACGTATTGAGATGTGAACCACTTTGGAATTTGAGCTTTTGGTACCAATTTCATCAGCTAGTTTAATTCTCCCCACCACAGTGGTCTTTGCTATAGTAGAATAAAATGCAATGACTAATATTTCTATGTGCAAACTTGCTTGGCCTCCAGTTTCATTAAAGCTGTGCTGGTGGTCCATTACTCCTTACTTCCAATAAAATTCTAGTAACTCTTAGACTCAAAGTTCTCTGGTCAACGGAGCTGACCATAAACATCTTCAAAATTATAAATAATGAAGTCAGTTGCTGGTTATTAACCTAACAATAAGGCTTTTTTTTTTTTCTGGTCAAGGGCAGAAGACTATTGTTTGTAGATATTTACCTTTGTATGTCATTTATGTGTTTACATAACAGTGTTCTGCAAACAAAATGAAATGTTGCAGTCTTAACTGTAACACAAATACTCATTGCTACTCATGTTTCACTTCCAGAAGGAGATAACATTCCATGAAAACCTTGAGGAGCTAAACACTGTAAAATTCGGTTAAAAAGTTGCATATGATAGATATTTTTTTCCTCCTTAGTTTCCATAGGAATGTAGTATAGCAAAGGTGGGAAAGAGATGATTTTAGAAAAATTGCATTCGTTATTAAACCCAGAGAATAAGAACTAATATTATTAGGAATAATGAATAAATAGGAAAAACAGGAGTTAATACAACCGTGAATGTTTAATCGGACCTTTTTCCTGCATTGCAATGAGTTAAAGGCAATTTTCTGTGTATCAGTATTTCTTAGATAACTCCAGAAAGATTTGTAAAAGAGTTTGGAAAGAGATGCACAGGAGTGAAAACCTGAACTTGGAAAGAGATAAAACAGGTGACTGCTGTCAAATTGAGCACTTCTACAGCTCATTACATATATATGATGCCATACATCAGAACAGAGTATCACAGAACAGAAGAACAAGTGAAAAAATCTGGAAGAGGGAATTCGTTTATGCTTTTTGTTTACTAGAACATCACTATTATGCCCAAACCCAAGCTATTTCTACAGAGATAATAGTTGAACAACTTAAACTCCTGTTAAAACTCACATACCTGAGTGACACCATGTTTCCGAGCTCTGCTGGTAAACTGCGGATTTTATTAGAGGACAGGTCCAGATACACCAGATTATGAAGCTTGGCAATGTCTGAAGGAATACGGGATAAGGAATTGTCACTGAGATGCAAAGCTGTCAAATGGGTCAGTGTCCACAACGATGAACTTAAGCTTCTCACTTTCCCTGTGGAAGGAAGGTAAAGAAAGAAAAATAAAAAAAAAAAAATAATATCAATGAATCACTGATCTTAAAGATTCAAAGAATTAAGCACTACTGTACTTATACTACTGTATAAGATTGTGAAAAAACAACCTAGACTTAAGTTCTGAGCTTTTGTCTTTTCTCAAGTTCCATACAAAACAACAGACCTATTTACTGACCATCTCCTCCACAGTTAATAGACATCTAAGAAACATTTCTTCAATTACTGTTTATACTTGGGATATAAAACGGTTTTTCAATTTTCCCCTTATTTTTGTATAACATCTTTCAAACCAAAAATCTTTTTCTGTGGCATCCATCCAGCCAGGAACAGACAGAAGTACTATATTTGGAATGACCAAAATGCTTGGTTGAGAACACGGATTTCCATCTGGCATTCAAGTGAAAGCTGCATACATCACTGCCAGAGATTTTTTAAAAAGGTATAATTTTGGTATAAACTGAAAGGTGGAAACATGGATTTGTGTTACAGAATCAAGGCTCTTACATCGCAGCACGCAAACAATGTGAGATATAATCAGAGGAAGGTCTCAAAACATTTCTTCTCTCCAAGATTTTTTTTTCCTCAGGAGGAGCTCTTTTTTCATCTGTAAGAATCACCTAACTGTGCCAACTTGAAGGAAGAGCACCACCATCAGTTTCTCTAAGGTTAAAAAAGTGTGAAAGCCTTTAAAAACCCCAGCATTAAAAACAGCATCGTTAATAAATACACCAACACATACACATAATAATTCCTTTTATTATGAAGAACACTATTTAATGAAACTACTCACATTCGGTGCCTGGGGAAAGCTACACTGATACGTGTGTATCTGGAAGGCAGACCGTGGTACCAAAATGTTTAATGCAGGTGTAACTGCCAGAGAGCTACAAGAGAGTGACTAGTACACAAAAGCCTGCTACAAAGAGCTTTGAGATTTCAATAAAAGCAATTAAAGCAATTGTGGCTTTCTGTAGCAGATGACCAAGTATTTTGCAAGGAAAAGACAGTGTGATCATTAATGCAACAAAGACACTGTCACATTTTACTTTGCAAGGCAAATGCATGCAATTCCTTCAAGGATTCATTCTCCTGTAATGCTCATTAAGAATTTTTTTGAAAGATTCTTAAGTACAAATCAGTATTTCTCTGCATTTTTAAAAATTGCATTAACAACTCCTCCCTCTCTCCTATCCTCTAAATGCAAACAGGTGACTGTGATCAAAGAAACCTTTCGTGCTGAAAGGATTTATATATTCTCTTCACCACCTACGTTTCTCTTGGCTGGAATCAGACTATAGCGAGATCACAAAGCATGAAAGGAAAGAGCTATTACTTAATGCATTTCCTCTGCATAGGTAGCAGATGTCCAAGTGGATATCCAAGTCTAAATTAATGCTTCTTGAAGCAGCATTTAACTAGGTTTCTGCATCTGTAACCTTTGAGTAAGTACTGATATTCACATGTAAAGACATGTAGCACTTGAAGCAAGACACAGATTCAGTGATCTGGAAGGAAAAGTCTTCGCAATTAGAAGTCTATTTGCTTTCTATACATTTCTCTATTGAACAGCCATTTAGAAATGCCAATCTTTTAAAGAAATTCCTTATTTAATCAAAATTTCAGCTTAAAGCTTCAGTTTGTTATTGCTTCTTCCAGTTTACCACTGAATGTACCACATCGAACTTAGAACGTCTTTCCTACAGCTGTTTCAGACTCCCTGTGTTTCTGATTCAAGCTCATAATGTGCAGGCTGCTCTTAAAATGCACTGAAATCTTGACTGAGGATCATTCCCCAGTTTCTCACCACTTATTTCCAACTCTGCCCAGTGTGATTTCTTTCCGTTGGCTGCTTCCTCTGAGGACATAATTGTGTACATCCTCCGTGGATCAGGTGGATCGTACTTTTCCTTGGGCATTCCTGTAGATACAAAACGACAAAGGATTATGACATGTTAGAGTGAGAATTCTTTAAAAGGTAATTTCCATTTCACAGCTAGGTATTGTACTGGATATTCAATCCAAATATGTAAAGATAATCTGCATCTATCTATAAGTGAGAAAGCCTGCTCTGAGAACAGAGGAGCTGAGATCCGATGGTACTAGAATGACAGATAAAAATCCAACCCCAGCCCCCAATAATTTAACTGTGTCTGTAATGCAACACAAACATTCTGTCCTCACACCTCTCATGAGTACAGCCCTGTATTGCTCTGCAAATACCCCATCATACCGCAGTCTCCTGGCCTACAGAAGCAAAACCTCCAGCAACCACAGCTGGACAAAGAAACTTTTAGACTTTCCATTCTCCTAGCTGGTCAGACAGCTGCTTAGAATTATAAGCATATCCGAATTCTTTAACAACCAGACTTCAAAAATTGATCAACACCACCACGTTTCCCCTCGTACAATCTATAGAAAACATTTGCTACTATTCTTGTCTACCCATCACTTCCAGGCTTACTGCAATTCTCAACTCATGACACAAATTCAGCAACCAAGAAAAGAATATCCCTAAAAGGATCCTCAATTCTTCAAGTCTGCAGAAAACAGCACTCTAGTCCAAGCCTTAGCCTACTCTTCTGAGTCTAAAAACATTATTTCTAACATAGAGATTCTGATCAGTTTCTTAAGTTTTACTGTTAAGCATCTAACTGATCTCAACCCCTCTCACTCTCTTCCTCATCGTTCCTGATAAGAAATTCAGAAACGTTTCTGGTCAATGCTTCTTCATTACCACAGCCCAGCTGGACAGTGGAAGAGAACTGCCAAAAACTCCTCTAGGCAGAGCCCTCCCTCCAGCATTTCTGTATGGCAGCAGACCAATACCACCTCCGTGCACAGAGAAGGAATGAGAAAAAGGCATTGCTGCCTTCTTTTCACCTCACAAATAAAATATTTGGGATTCAGTCAGTTGAAAAGGAAAAACAGCTTGAGCATACCCTGATTTATATAAATACTGTATTAGCTTACCTATTAGTTGCATGTTTTAAGGTTACAAAGGAGTCCCAATAAACATCCTTTTTACCACAAATCCAAATACACTACTGCGCAGTTCCATGCGTACGTAAGAGCTTTTACGGCAAAGTTCCCCATCTTAAATTGAAGCATCCGCACCAAGAAGCACAAGCCATGAAGCACAGAAGTGATTATGTGCAGTAAGTTAAAAATCAGTAGCTCAAAACATATTTACAAACACGTTAGAAGCAAAGCGATACAATTACTAGAGCAAAACACATAAGAGCAATGCAGAGAAGAAGCTGTACTGCTGACACCCTGATAACACCCAGTTATCACACCTAGCAAGGCTTTCTATCAAGTCTTTTCTTCAGCCCTGGGCAAACTGAGTGCATCAGAAAAGCACTGCACCTCACTAGAGCATTAACAATAATCCTCACAAGGCCATCGACTGGACCTACTTGCCATTTATTTAATGGAAATTATTTATTAAATGCATTAAAAAAAAAATGCAGCTAATTATGTGACTTCATTAAAACAAAAGTTATCTAGCACCAACTGCTTACTGTAACGCAACAGCTCTTCTACTGATTCCCACCTCTTCCCTTTCCCACTCCCACTGCTGGTCAGTATCAACTCCACCCAGAGAAAAGAAATTCCTCTTTAAGAAGTGAATTCTGGGTAAAGCTCTGAGCTTATAAATAGCAGCTGGGATGGGTTCCTTATGGAATGGAGAGGATGCTAAAATCATTAAGTGTTACGCTTTTAAACTAAGCTAATTAAAATACGTAAAACTCAATTGAAAACCACCAGAAAGGTAAAAACGTAACTTTACCTTGTAGTAGCTATCTAATGAGTGCAATCATAGATGGCAAAACAATATATACAGCATCTCCTCTGAAACTGCCACAAATGAGCACGCCTTTCACAAAGGCTGTCACCATGCAGGGAGCTGCTTTTCCAGGCAGCGTTCCCCTCCTTCGCTCAGCCGATGCATTCTCCTCCTGCATCTCCTGCACTTAATAAACGTGCTCCACTTTCTAACAACGAAAGCAGGTAGTACTAGAGACAGAAATCTCATTCAGTACGGAAATGCGAATACTCCCCAGAGCACAGTCAATCACATGCACTAATTAACAGACTTGCTGGTACCAGCGCTACATGGCCTCCCTGCTACCAAAAGAGGATGACATACTTTTCTAGTGGGTTTTGTTAATGCACGGTAACACGACTGGTGAGATTTAACAACTGAAGGTTTTAACACAGGATATCGGTGAGCCCGTCCTGCCAGTGTCACCATCTGACCCGTTCTCAGCATTCCTGCTTGACAGATTTCCCTTTCCCACTGCTGCATTTCAAAGTGCAAAGCCTAAGCTTATGATCACCCCACAGCAGAAAAAGCAGTAAGTGCAGACTGGGCAGCCCTGTTCAAGGAGCACTGATATGGGAAGGCACCCCACAAATCTTTGTGCACCTTCATTCAGCGGGTGGAGCTGAAGATCTCCCAGGCCCTGACAGCCAGACTAAATGTGGGTCATGCTGGCTACCACAGAACACAAATGTGATACCTTGAACTAAATTTCAAAACTGCACAGCAGGGAGTAGTTGGATAAATCACTGCTTTCTGCAAATCACCGTCTCCTCTCCTTTCTCCCTCCCATTCCAAATTTAGAACCTGCTGAGGTAAACGTCAGATGAAGGGATATGGTTTTGCCAGACTAAAGCAATTTTAAGAGGCATAAAACAGTGCCGGACAACCTTAAAGCCTTTGATAAGTGCAGCTCTAATAATGTAACTTAACACAGCGATCATTTACATCTCATTTTCAAAAGAGCTTACACCACCTGTAATTTTCAGTTGTACCAGCACAGACTGGGGGAAGCACCACTGAATACTCAGCTGCTACACCACTTAGTTGGCAAGGGAGAAACGGTTTATCAACAAAGATAGGACACAGATAACAGAATGCACTCCACGCAACCAAAATTCAATGAGAGGGCATGTGATTATGTTTAAATGCAAATTGAATTGTTTACTATCTTGTACCAGGTTGTTAGAACTAAATGTAAAAGCTGAAACACAAAATTGCTGGAGAGCTGACGAGGAGGACAGCTGCCCACTGCTACCCCAGTCACCCAATCCCAACGCAGAATTAACACTCCTAACCCCAGCTAAACCAGGCTGGTGATGTCAAGAGCAAAAAGGACCTGACACAGGAAATCAGATCGGGAACCTTCACAGCAGACACACTTTTATGCCTTTGTTTGCATGAATGGCTCTGAGAAAAAGAGAGCAAAAAGAGAAACAAAGGGAAGAAAAATACTGAAGATTGCCAAGTCAAGGGAGGCCGAACTGTTAGGAGAGCTGACAGTGGTGACTAATGCAACAAATGGATGATGGAGTGCTGATACGGGCTTCTCTCAGGACCCCTGGAGACAAACCAAATTCCCACAGGGTTGAGCTGCACCTGTGCCAATTGCTGCCCAGCTCTCCAGGTTAAAGCAATGAGCGCAGTCAGGTGATTAAGAGCCAGGCTAGCTGTTCTAGAGAACTGTCCTGGAAAAGAGTTGTGATTACCAGCAGCTGTGTGAGTGGGTGTGCTGCTTCATTAAGCAGGTGCTGCTCTGCTGCTGAAGAGCATTTATAGCCAAAGCACCAGCCCCACTGGGAGTGTAGGCTCAGGGAAGGTTAGTGGCCTAAAAAGGAAGAGCTGTCTAAGGGCTAAGCCATTTCTGCCACACTGTTCTCCATGGAAGGATGAGAAAAGACCACGACCTAAGAAGATGCCCTATGGAATGGTAAGTCTCCTAAGGTAGAGCAAAATAAAAGGTGGAAGTTGGGCTATGAGGCAGCTAATGATCCAAACAACCCTAGAAGGTATTACTGAATAATGCCTCTGACCTAGAGGGGTGATAGTGTGGAAGAACTCTGAGTGACAAAGTAGGAAAGAGGATGACTTTTTCTTCCTCCTGTCCTTCTCTTTTGCTAGTTCTATTAAACTAGAAAATGGCATGGAGAAGGACTTAACTGAAGTAAAACTTCTTCTTAAGAGAGAGAACAAAAAGCGATAGGTTTACTTCTGAAACACCACTGACAAACTCTATTTCAAAGCTAAATGCTTTAGGCAGCTCCTGTAAGCCAAATCTACTATCTACCTCCAAGTATTAAGTCTGCTATGAGTATTAAGTTCCTCATAAAATATCTTCTAGAAGCCTTAACTTCTTCCATACCATATATTAAACCAAGCAAAGGAAACTTTTATTCTGAAGTCTTATATAAAACACTGAACCAATGAAAGCAGTGTAAGTTAATATTTAGATACCATTTTAACTTTCTCTGACTGAATCCATTATTCTGGAAGAACTACTGCAGTATGTATGAAGGAGCCTCTGCAAAGTCTACTTACAAATATGTGAGTACCCTTAGAAATACCAATGCACTAGGCTAAAGCAGCAGGAATCTGCTTCTGAAACTCTTTGACGTGTGCTGAGGACTTCTTGCTTTTTCCCCCATTCCTTGAGAATACTAAAACTGATATAGATCAGAAAGCTTCTGGAAAGGAGAAGTAAGCAAAGTAAAACCACATCTGATCAAGTGTGTAATGAAACTTCTTTCTTTTTATGTCAAAACTGTATGAATAAACTATAGAAATCGAAGTCTAATAAGGTTGGAAGTAACCAGATAACTGAAGTTTTTTCCTTTTGCCTGTGCAGTAGGCACACACTGGCTGCTGGGTTACTTCTACTCTGTTGAAAGCAGTAGGAGAGGCTGCAACCTGCAGTACTAAAACCATGTATACTATATAGTATAACCTAGTCAGTCAATTAAAAATCTAATAAGATGATTATAACCCGTGAGGCCTTCTTTTTCCCCCTCTCCAAACTCTAATACTGGATGTTCATAGCAGATCATTCCTTTGTAACTTTGTGCCTCTAACCTTGAAGCTTCTTCATGTAATCCAAAACTTTACTCAAAAATCAGATCCAAAGGTTTTCCTTGCAAATAAGTGATTCTGGCACTGCCTGATAAGCCTTGAACTCGAAGTTAATTTGGGATTCTCCTCACCCCCAGCTGCTTGCCTCGTGGTTTCACTTCATGCAAAGCAGAACTAAGCTGGTCCTCCTGCGGTTCCTCCCTCCCCAGGACTCTGTTTCCTCTTCACTCTTGCATCAACGCTGATCCTTGTCTGGTAAGGAGATGAGCTGGGTAAGAAATGTAAACTGGCCAAAAGTGAGGGTGGGAGGAAAAAGGAATGCATTTGGGGAGTTCAATTTCCTGCATTATAGTAGTAATCTAAGTGTGTATTTACAGCACAGCTTTTTCACAGACTGAAATCCAGAAACAGTGTGATTGTTTCTCCGACCATACCCACCTAAAATTTTCTCTTGCCCAGCAGGAAACAAAATCTTGCTTCCAACTGTCATCGAGGCATTAGTTAAATAGTAACACTGAACAAAGTCTAAAATCCTACATGAAGTCAAAGTACAATGCTTTTTAGATAACAAAACTATAGTAGTCCTTATGTATAGTCAAATCAAAAATGTTAGCCTGTGAATGAAACCTCTTCTGCTGAGGTTTATCAGGAAGAATAAAGCAGTTTCTATGCTCTGATTAATAATCTTTTTTTTTTTTTGAAGAGAACAACAGAAATGCAGCTAAAAGATACCTACTCCACTTTGGGAGAGGGGAAGTTAAGCTAATTTTATAATACTGTATTTCTATGCTCACTATAAAATCTAAAGTTTACTAAACTTGTTCTTTCAAGTACACTCATCTTCTGCATTTCCCACAAAGCACTAACTGTTGTTTAAGGAAGTGTTTGCTCAAAGAGAATTAAGTTTATTGCTTTCATGTTCCCTTCAGCATTGGCATTTTACTTAGTAAGTGATGACTTCTATGGGAGTTGAACTACATTTCTGCCTGAAGTACAGGCAAATGAAGCAATAGCCCTGTGCACATGGCTGCTGCCCTGGCTGGGATGATGAGGTGCAACACCTGTTTCCCTGCAGAAAACAACAGAAGCTTGAGCAGGTTTATGGCAGAGCTTCACACACACACTTCAATGGATGAGTTGAGGCAATACCTGGATTTACCCTCAGTCCATACCATGTATGGACAACGAACTAGTTAATGATATTAATCCTGAAAAATAATGGAAAAAGTAGTTGTAGGCAAGATGTAGTAGTGAGGGTGGGGAAAAAGCAAACATGCCCGGTGTGTCCCAGCTGGACCTCAAGTCCCACGTGAGGTAAATTCAATGTACTTTAGCTGAATTCTTATTTAAAATTTGGGACACAAAAATACCTGCATGCACTCCCCATAGAACTTGTACAGAGAAAGGCATTCAGTTCTTTAATTCTTGATATACCTACAAATTATTTTAAACTTACACCAGTCTTATTTTTCTTGTTCAGATGCATTATGTTAAAAAAAAAGCTTCAATGTGGTACATCTCTGGATTTCCAACCACTCACAGCTTCACACAAAGCCAATGTGCACCCTGCTATGTAATACTGCTTCTGGTTCTATCTTGCTACAAAGCATAACTATGCAACCAGATAAACCAAAGTGCAGAAATGCTTTCTCCAATGAGGAAGAAAACAGACTAAAGCCCATCAGAACACCACAAATATTTTTGTGTTGAATGCTCAGAAGTTTGAGGACTTGCCTACCTATTGCAATGCAACCTTACATTTAATACTGAGTGAATGATTACTCTATTGAAATATACATAAAAGCTCTATGAGAACACTTAATATTAATGTAAGACTTGAATATTGGGAGGAGAAAAGTCTGTGTAAACGTGCATTTGTTGAACAGAGTAAGCATTCTTGGCATTTTATAGAAGAAGATTATTTGAGTAGGGTTTTTAGGTATATTGCACTGAGAACATAAAACTGGGAAAAAACACAGATCAGGGAACTTGCTAAACAGTAATGAGAATTCTTCAGAATACACCCTGGGATTTACATTTTCCTCTCCCTGGAATGGGGAGGGATGGCACGTTAGCACTGCTGGCACAGGGGAGCAGCACATGTGAGTCCTAGAGACTGCCCCACCTCCAAGAGATTCATCTCTAATGTGTGGGGAAAATGTCAGACTCTCTTAACCCACTGATGGCTTAATGCTGGAATAATCTAAATTAAGAAAGGGGATGAAAAAAAAGATGTTGAGTGCCCAACACAAAGCCAATTGATTCATTTTAAGTGCTTTTTCACTCAGTAGGATGATGCTTTAGGGGCTGTTAGTGTATTAACATTTAATGGCTCCATCAGAGAAGTAATGCTGCCTCATCACATTTTGAAGAGCTCCAAAACCAGAGTTTTACCTGGCTGCCAATACAAAACAATAAGGAACCCTTCCTCTTCTTCAGGCTTACATTCCATGAGGGTATGTGAGCATGCATCACAACTACATATAAGGTACTGATTAAGTCAATATATGCTGCTTGAGTGAGTATCTGTAATGCAGGTAATCAGATGAAGTTATTTGGTTTTGCATAAATAAGCTGTACTACAGAAAACTTGGAGGCTGACATATGCCTTAGTGTTCTTTCACAAAACCTATATGGAAATAAATTCTGCAAAGCTCTTACTCTAACTGGAGTTGAATGGGAGTCAAACTTCCTAGAATTCTGTTTTTGAAGGGGGGGGAAACCCAAAGCATCTTGGTTCCTATCAGCTGAGTCACAAAGTTGCAGGGTGTGTTTACTATTTTCCAATCCTGAAGGCCTGATCAGACCACGGAGCTATAGTACCTAACCAGTTCAGGCTCCATTTCATTAAGTCTAAAAATAAGTCAATTCATATTTTTTAAAATGAGCACATTATTAAATTTTAACCTTCAGGTACTTAAAATGTAATAAAGGTTTCTTTGTCCTCCTTCACTCTGCATTTATAGGAACATGAGCTGCTTGGTGCTGAGGTGCACGGCAGGGGCAGCAAGGCTGCCATTCTCCAGACCCACAATTTCCCTCCCCAGCCCTGCTGCCCCTGTGCTCCACTGGCAATCATGATTTCCCAGCAGACAGGTAACCCAAAGCACAATGTTCTAATGGAGTGCACGTAACACTCAGAGCCTACAGGAGTGACAAAATTTACTATAGGTTCAGTAATGCGATGCACCTCCATGTTCAGTTGCTATAAAAATCAGTTTAGGCTCAAAAGAGAATGGTAACGTGGTCAGAGTATGAAAGACATGTTTCAGCCCAGAGGTCCTTGATTGCTCTATCTTTTAGTCAAATCTATTTGATAACACTTCAGCTGCATTTTGATAACTAAATTCCCACTCCTTAGCCTGCAAAATATCTAACGATTAGAAATACTGCTTCCAAGTGTTCTCGGTGTAGCAGAGTCCAAATGGTTAGCACAGTTCTTAATTATCAGCAATTATAAATAATTATGCCTATAGTAGAAGGCTGCTGTATACAAAACAAACATTAGTGCAAAACTAAATTGCAAAGCAAAGCCTGACCTTGAACTGATATCCCCAGAAACACTATGACTAGCTAATGAATGCTAGGCAACATTCCGAATGTTTTATCTTCTATTTTAGTGTATTCTGAAATGCCAGTACATTAAAAGACCAGTCGGGTTTACTAATTACTTTAAGAATTTATTTTAATTGCGTATTATATACTGTACAAGTAAGATGGAACATAAGACATCAACTTTAAATGGAAGAGTTCCATCTCAAAGCCTCATGTTTTAAGTTTAAAAAAATGTAAATCAGTGCTAAGACCAAGGCTCCAAAGCAGGTGAGGTCAGCCATTCTGAAGGTGGTTGGAGAATTGTCTTACTCACCAAGATGCCAACAAATACAAATCCTTATTCCACCCACTGTGTCCAGACAATCCTATTTGACAATTCTCCATCGTATGAAAAACTATTTTTGTTTGAAGTATGGCATAAATTCTCTTTGTCCATGTTTGTAAGCTATTTCAAATACTGCCCTGTATATCGTAAGGTTCCTTACCATGTTTTCTTTCATACATCTGCAGAATAATTTCTATGTCTCTGCTGCTTTGCGCATGCTGACTTCCTGTTTTCACCCACATTATTCTCTCAGCCTTGCAGTAGAACTTGGAGTCAAAGACAACCTAATTATTTTAAATGAGATTTGGACATGAGCTCATTTCCAGCCTTCCTGCTTTATATCTGAAGGACAACAGATCTCAGTATCAAGTTCCAAAATGTTTTTTCTAGAAAGTATTTTTAGGAAGATATTTAAATGCTTGTAAATATTAGAGCTGCTGAACTCTAGTTCAGCACATTACGACACTCACTTCTACAGCTCTTCCTCTCCCATCTAGCCACATCCTGATAAAAAAGCCGAACTATTCACAAACTGTCTTTACTTCAGTTCAGACCAACAAGCCTGCAGATGTTGTTTCACAACCCCTCTGTCATGCAGCAAAACACACTGGAGATTTCTTTCCTGCCCCCTTTTGTGCCCCCACTCAGCTGTGCTGGAACAGCAGCAATACCCAGCTATGAGGATGGCAGTGGTTTAAAAAAATCCCACTGCATTGGTCACACCACTGGTTGGTTTCCAGTGCTGTTTCAGAGATGCTTGTACTGATGCAGTTGCAATGACCAACTGGAGCAGCAGTTTTCTCAGTTCTGTCACTGGAGAATTGTCTTCAGCTACTTTCTTACTTCCTACTTAAAAGCAGTAGTAGCAGAAGGCACCAGGGCTGCTCCATGTGGGAAAGGCCTGTCCTATGACAGGTAGTTATCGTAAGGCCAGTTCTCTCATCTCCAGACTTGCATCTCTTAAGATGTCCATCAGCAAAGATTCCTTTTTAGTTTTAATTATTCTTCACAGATCACTTATTCCAATGCTCTTGTCCCTGAGAATACTCATCTACATACAGATAGGCTGTGATTAAGGCAGCGCTGGAATTCCTCTCCTCGAGTCCGGAGTACTTTTGTTTTGTTGGGCAAAGCTCTTCTGTTGGGTGGACAACTGTTAAAACTCTTTAAAAACAGATTAAAAAGTATTAATGGTGGAAGTTCAGCACAAAACATTTCAGTATGTTTCATTATTTAGTTGCCTATGGTACAGGCTCATGTCCTGACAAGTGATACAGATCAGGTTGTACGGGTGCAAATCTAGTTTTGCTTTAGTTTAGTTTCAAGCCTTCCTATCTTTGCAGATGTCATTTCAGGGAGTTCCACATGGAAGGACCTGTCTGTGAAACACAGGCCATTTTCTGATCCCTGACCTGCAAACTGAGAGCAATGCTTTTGTGGAGCTCCATTTAATCTGTGTGATCCGTGCTGCACTCTTAATACACCACAAAATATCTCAAGCAGTAAAGCTACACAGGTAATTTGTAATATGCAGTATAGAAACTATTCCTTCAGTCCCCCAACCAGGGTGAGTGGCTGTCTCCTAATAACACAAACTAATGTTCCCACTGCTGTGGCACATCCTAGACATGGCCACTACCTTCAGATGGCTTAAGGTAGGAAGCTGCTGAACTTGCTGAGTAAAGCTTGCAGATCAGGAACATAACTAAGACACACAAGAGAACCATGGCTACAATCACAATGTCTGCGAAGCAGCCTCAGTAAAATACCTAATATGTTTCCCACCTTCAAGAAAAACAAAACTCTCTTACTTCAGAGCTCCAGTACAGCACAAACCAGAATTCTAGCAAGCATTTTATTTCTCAGGTAAACAAGTATGTATATGATTTCTGCTCCTAGGCCCTCCTCAATTTCTTTGCTAAAAAGAGCTCTCTGAGGCATTAAAAACAGGATTCCTGTTGCACTCTTACAATAGAGAAAATTGAGTTGTTGCCAACTTTTTTTTCTTTTTTTAAATAAGCACCATCTTGGAAGTGTAATTAGTAGCTCAAAAGGACATGTTAAGCATTTTAACTGCTTTTTCTATGGGACCTGTCTAGGCATTTGTATTCTTTAAGGCTCCACCTGCAGAAATCACTCAATGCAGAAAATGTGAGCGCAGGTCCCCAAGCTTATGCCAAGTTTCTTTGTTGAGTGGACTCCTACAACCTAATTTCAATATGGGAACATAAATTATATGGCTTAATACAACATTAGTAATCTTGCATGATAACTGTAGAATAATCACACCTCCAAGTGTGAAACAGCAGCACTGAAGGGGGAATACAAAATGGATAAAGCCCTGCAGTGACGCAGTTGGGCTACTTTATGTATGAAGCTTTTGTATGCAATGGAGCAAAGGTCAACATATGCATCATGCAACTAGGACTAAAATCCAGAGGTAGGATCTGTTGAGATCTTTCTCACGGGGTTTTAAGGTAGAGGGCACTTTTTCAAGTCTATCATACATCACTATTACTTTTGAATGCTACACATTTCTCCTAGCAAAAAAAAAATAACAACCCAAACCCTATAAGTGACATGCCTTGTATATTTCAGTTTGAAGACTGAATGGCATCTTCATTCATAAAGTTATAGCCTGCACGTAACCTTCATTCATGAATATACAGTCTGCATATAACCTTCACTTCATGTGGCCCCATTTGGGCCAGGGATGGCACGTTACAAGCTCTACATATACAAACATACACACAATTACATGACAAAACAAGGGGCTAATTTTAGACCTCTGCAGCCTGCTAGCAAACACAAGGAGGCTGCAGCCTCTGCAGCAAGACTGCCTGTTGCAGCAGGTGCTGCACAACTGGCACGAGGAATTCTGGTTCACCGCCCAGCCTTCTAGGCATGGTGGCAATCCAAATAACAACACACTGCACTACAAACAAGAATACTGAGCTTTTTAGTGGTAGTTTAACAAGACTGCTTTTATTTACATTGCCACACTTTAAAAAATGGATGCTTTGTTGGTGAGTTGGGAAAGCATTTTCAGTTTGCTCTATCTTAGGAGTATTCTACCCATTTTAAAGAGTGTTTTCCTTCATGAAGGTTGCATTTGCTTAGAAGAATAAGTCTTCCTAATATGCAGTACTGCCTGATCTTAGTAATTTTTACTTGATGAGTACAACGCTCACTCAATTTGTAGCCTTTTGTGACGTGCTTTCAAGACTTATATAAAATTTCAAAAGCATTTACCTGCCCATGCAGTATTATAGTCTCATCTATCTTTATATTTCAGTTCTTCCTCTAAAATTCAAGCAAAGTAAACAGCTTGAACTCATTATGTCTGTATTGAGAGTTCAACTCCAAAATGCAAACAGGAAAGGGATGCATGGTAGTGTCCTTTTTACAAACAGACTGATCCACACGATTCAGATGAAAAGTGAGTAAAGAGTTAATCCTAATGCAAGGGCTCCATGTCAGTAATAGCATGAATAAACCCCCACAGAAGGCTTCATGGCTAGCAGCACACTCCACAGAGTCCAGATGAACCAGCAGGAAGAACAGAGGGCGGATAATCCTGTAAAATTACCCCAGTGGAAATGCTGATAAATTCCCAATTACGAGACCTGCTCTAAAATGAAAAAAAATGCAAGATACAACACAATTACCAGTCAACACTTGCACATCTTTGTATTTAAGCCAGACGCATACTTCAGGTATTCCTTAATCCCTTGGATTTTGAATTTGTTACCCGTTGTGGTGAGAGCTAGATTAAGAAAATAAACTGCAAAAAACACCCAATTAAACAAATAAACAAAAAAATCAAACAAAAAATCCTGGAGATCTGCAACTCTGCTTACAAAGCAAATACCTGCCTGTAGAATTACACAGGTTACTATCAGAGAACTGTTGGAGTTGGAAGGTGTCATTGTTTTGTGATTTCTGGTTTTCAGTATTCCACATCATAACATCATGTGAGGCACTGGGAGTTTAACTGTTAATGCTCAAGTTCTGGGTACCTGCCTGGAAGAGAAGAACAACTACATTCCCCAGGGCACTTTGTGGACACAGAGTGGAGATACAACTCCTGGGAAGGTCACCTGATGTGCTCTTCTTCGTCTGCTCTTCTTCATCGACTCTCCTCCCGTCTCCCTGCTGCTCAACTGGAGCATCTCACCTCAGCGTTGGGTGAGGCCTATCCACCTTTTGGACATTCTGTCTCATTATATTTGATTTATTAGCATCAATTCTAATTATATTGTATTATGGTGTGTTATCTTGCATTTCGAAAATATATTTAGTAAATTAATTAGTTTCTACTCAGATCATTGCCATTGTTTTTAATTATTTTGGGGGTCCCCTGTTCCCTTTTTCCAGAGGCGCGGATTTTGCAAAATCCCTCCCCAAGTCACAGAGCCAGGCCGAACCAGCCCATAAACCGCTGACAGAAGGGACCTCTGGAGATCCCCTCCTGATATGTTCCATACAGCTGGTTGCATAGGAAAGCATCCAGACAGGTCGTGAATATCCCCAGAAAAGAACACTGCACCTCCTCTCTGTGCTGCCTGTTCCAGTGCTCTGTCTCTATGTGCTTGTGGAGATAGACATTAAAAGGAAAAGGAGGCGGGGGTGAAAGGAGAACAACAAACCTGTTTGACTGTATTTGTTATGGTTACACTTTCATACTACAAAACGCGGAGTAAGGCTGATACGAATTTTTAATTTTCATGGAAGAGTTGTCGAGACACACGGTGCACACTGTGTGCACACACGGTGCTCACACCACGACAGAGACAGATGTGCGGGCGCAGACTTTCCTAAAGCCCCCTGTGATCCCGGCTTACAGCTCCCCACAAAGCCCTGAGCCACACAGCTCCCTGCAGGCACGCAGGCCCCGCTGACCCACTTCTCTGCGCTCCAGGGGAGCGCACAAGCGTGTGCTCACACACGTGCCTGCTCACAAGCTCCACAACCCCTCGACTTTCCCACCTCGCACCCAAGGAAGCGCCGTCCCAATTCCCCTCTGTTTACCCCCGCAGGTGCGCGTCCCCCCGCCCCACATGTCAGGGCAAGCCCCGCCTCCCTCCCGCTCCCATTGGCCGCCGGCGCTGCCAATCACGCGCCGAGCGCTCGGGGCGGTTCTCCCCTCGCCCGGCCGCTCGCAGGGCCGCGGGCCGCCCGCTGCCAGCCACAGGCCTCGCCCCGCCGCCCCGGCAGCGCCGTCCTTCGGCGAGCGGAGGGCTCAGGAAGGAAGGGAAGCGAGATGGCTGGAAAATTGCGCTTTGGACCATTATCAGATTGATGTCATTTCCCTCTCTGCCTTTGTTTAATTATTTTTAAACAGTTGGGGGAAAAAAAAAAAACATAAATACATATATACGTATAGATAAAGAACTTGGCGCTTCCAGATGCCGTTACGCTAATTCCTCTTCGTTGCCCTCCGATGCGAACGCAGCCCGATTCCCGGCGAGACGCCGCCAGCTCGCTCCGGCGGCGGATGGGCGGCAGGACGAGCCCCGGCCCCCGCCCGCAGCCCCGAGCCCGGCCGCCTCCGGAGCGCCCCCAGCCCCGCCGCCCGCCCCTGACACCCAACAAAACAGCCCCCCCTCCTCTCGCCGAACTCTAAGCCCCCCCCGCCAAAGCGGAGGATCCCCCCCACCCTACGCCGCTCGCCATAATAACGCCGCCCCCCCCCCCCCGGCACCCCCCGCCCCCGTTAACCCCCGCAGCCCCGCTCCCCGTCCCCCTGAGCACGAGCCCCCCCTCGAGGCGAGGCGCGGCGGGCGCAACCCCCCGAGCCCCGGTACCTGTGGCTGCAGCATCCCCGTCCCCCCGCCGCCCTCGCTCCGCCGCCTGCCTGGCTCTTTGTTTCCTGCCGCGGGCCGGACGGGAGAGCGGCTCCCCCCCGCCTCCTCCTCACACTCATTGAAAGCAAACAAGCATCATGGCGGCGGCGGTGGTGGTGGCGGCGGCTGCGGGCGGGCCGGCCCTCCTCCTCCGCCTCCTCCTCCTCCTCCGCCTCCTCCCTCCGCCCCGCCCGCCGAGCCGCCCCCTCTCCGCGGCTGCGCAGGGCCGGACCGCAGGGGGGCGCTGAGGGGAGCGGTGTGGCGGCCGTGTGGCGGGATGGGTTCGTCGTGTCCCCAGACCGAGGCGTGTGGTGGGGAGCTGCAGTGGGAGGGCTGGGTCGGGGTGACGGAAATGTGGATAAAAGTGCCGCGTCAGCGGTGTTTTTTTGAAACACTGAGCGGTGTATAGCGGTAAAGCAGTGCGAGGGCAGGGAGCCTCATTAAAGTCTTCTTTTTCCACGTAAATGCGATTCAGAGTTGCAGTACATGACCTCAGGCGAAGCGTGGATGCCACGTTTCGCAAAAGTCTTTTCCACACGTGTATCCGTAATGCAGCAGGTCCTTGCCCCACATCCTTCACTGTGACATGGCCACCGGCTTCCATCCACTGAAACTTCACCTTTCTCTTTTTTTTTTGGTTGTTATTTGAACCAGTGAATGGACATGTACTGAGATACTTGGGAAAGTGAAGATGTTTTTAAGTGCTGTTAGTGCTGCTGCCTCACGGTGCGATGAGGGACGGGTGCCGTGTTAGGGGGTGGCAGGAAGGTGCTGTCAGATAAAATTGTAAATAACTTCAAAATGAAGAGAATTCCCTCTTATTAACATGCTGTTGGAATGTTCGAGCATTGGTGCAGCAGCTGGGTCTGCATCCCCTCAGCAAAAGGAACAGTGAAGAGAAAACCTCAAGGGAAGTTCAGGATAGGTGAAAGGTCCTTCACCAGGGGGCAGTGGGTATGGAACAGGCTGCCCAGCACAGCCCTGAGCTGCCGGAGTCAGGGAGCACTGGGGCACCGCTTTGAGTCATTGGGTTCGGGTTTGGGTGGTGCTTTGTAGAGCCAGCGTTTGGATTCAGTGGTCCTTGCGGATCCCTTCCAACTTGGGATATTCTGTGATTCTATTATGCACAGATCACAACTCTGTTTCTGGAATGGAAAAGCTAAATAAGAGTTGAAGCCTCACCTGCCTTGGTATATATGGATACATGTCTGGAAATGAATGGCACTCTCCTTTGTTGTGCAATGAGGCCTTTCTACTAATAATGTGAAAGGCACTGAACCAGGCTGTGCTTCTGAGGAACACCAACATCTGAGCAATAACCAACATGAGCAGGGCTCTGAAAAGTGACCCCAGCATGCCACGTACCCAGCCTGCTCATAAAACATCCTCCTCAGAAGGGCTTAGTTAGTCCTTTGGCACTTCGTTTGGGAAACAATCATGCTGTACTTCAGATTTCTGCTCAGCCTTATCCTATCATATATCTGAAATGCTCTCGGATGGCAAACTACCTCCCTGTGGCTGTGTCAGATACCTGAGCTGGCTTGGTCACTGGATGTGAAGTGGGCTCTGCACTCAGTGCCAGACTGGCTGCAGAGCCAACAGCCATTCAGAACAGAGCGAAGCAGCTCTACATGTCATTCTCTGAGCTGTATGTGTGTTCTTCCCAATAACCAGCTGTCCCACACATTCTTCAGTTAATACTTTCTAGGTCAGATATGGCCTCAATAGACTGTATCGTTTTGCCCAGAGCTAGTTCTCCAAAAGCAGTAGTAAAGTCTTTGAGTGCGTTGCAGGATTTTCCAGGAATTGCTTTTCAGCAAAGGAAGATCAGGTGATTTTGTCCCTCAAAAATGCTTGCAGGGAGGGAAACTTTATGCCCTGGGGCAGATGGTGGGGTAAAATTGCAGTACATTTGGAAAGAGGTACTGGGGAGGGCCTTCACTGTTGCAAACAGAAAGCAAATGGCAAAAATATAAATGATTCTCAAATAATTGACATAAGCAAAAAAAAAAAAAAAAAAAAAGAGGATTAGAAGAATTAAATCAATCACAAAATAATTCAGTATTATTGCCCATTATATAAGCTACCAGGAGAATCATAGCACATCCTGAGTTGGAAAGGACCCATGTAGATCATCAGCTCCAACTTCTGGCTCTGCACAGCAGCACCCAAAAATCAGACCCACGTAGATCATCAAATCCAACTTCTGGCTCCACACAGCACCCCCCAAAAATCAGACCATTACAGATCACAGCTATTTGGCAAATTTCAAGTTATTTAACTCTCTGATAACTTTACAGGTTATGTACAAAAGAACCTTGACACAACAACAACAGAAACCCAGCAAGAGTCCAAAGTAACAGCCTATTGTATCAACTTTTGTTTGAGCCATCTCTTTGCTTGTGTGGTTGGAAACAACAGAATGAAGTAAAAACATGTATGTGGTTTTTTTTAGAAGCTGTTATGCTGCACGGAATTTCCTGTGCAGAAGTGCTGGTGCTCATTGGTACGTATGATTAAGTTTTGCTCCGTGCAAGTGTTATCAGACCTGTAACCACGCAAACACTGGAGCAGATGGTCTGTGCTGGTGTCGGTGTTTCAGGTCTGGGTGCCTAATGAGATCTGAGAGTGAAATATGAGCCTCTCTTCATTTTGTTTCTCATAGTGGATAGAGTTTTTGCAAGTGCTCTTGTTGCTCAAGGTCACAGATTCATCAATCAGATGAGAGCCCTTCCCATTAATCTTTTACCTGCCCATGAGTTTCCATACATCTGGTGAGCTGCTGTGCTGCATGGTGTATAGTTGTCCTGAGTTCGGGATGATATTAAAGACAATCAGAGCAGAAATTAATCTGCTCTGTTAAGCTCAGAGTATGGTATGTTTAAATTTTCATTCATTACCTATAAACAAAACACTTTTTTGCACTGTGGAACAAACTTCAGGTGGCCACCTTTGGGCCAAATACAGTTTTTGATATGTACCCGAAAGTGAGCATCCTATAACCCTTCCAAACTGGGGCTAAGAGGATTTGCTGTGAGTAGCTTAGTGACTCCCAGCACTGCCACCTCCCTGTCACCTTCCTTCTCCGTGTCCAGGGAATAGGGACTGGCTGGGAGGGCTCTGGGAATGCTGCTCTGTCATGTTGAAGACACCTGCAGCTGTTTTGAGGACCTGTTGCCTTTGTGCCCTGATGGAAAGATGTGAAGCCTGTGGCAGAGAGTTGTCTTTGTGGCAGCATTAGGGTACTTTTTGCTTTGCTAAAATGGCCAGATTTGGTTAAGACTTGTTTGACTTCTAAATACTTCAGGCTAAAATACATAGCCTTCATCCTTTGTGGGTCATGCAAGATGAGTGAACTGGCAAGACATCACCATATCGTGACAGAGAAAAATACAGAGCTGTCATGGCTTGCAAAAGCTCTGGTGTCTGTGGTTACAGAAGAGGTGAACAAGGAAATTTTCAGTGCTCTCTCCCTACTTTCTACTTTCGCCCTGGAAATGTGAAGGAACAATATAACTGGAATATAAGAATACGAGAAATGAAGCAGAGAAGAGAATTATGGCAAAGCAGGAGAGATAACAAGAAAGAAAGTAGAAGCAGAGAGGGACCCCAAACAGGAGGGCAGAACTTAGTTACAACCTGTATTTTCAGAGTATGCAGGTAGAGAGACAGAGATCTGAATTGAACAATAGCTTCCATTGCTAGTGAGGTCAGTGGGATCACTGCTTTGATCATGGGGCATTCCTAAAATGACAAGTACTCTGAAAAATTGACATCTTAGGGGTCTCAGATTGGACATCTGAAATCACTGCATGTTTAATGATTTCAGCCTTCGGTTTTATGGCCTGTTCACCATCTATCAAATGAATGTAAGAGCATTGCCTGTAACAATTGGATAATTAAACATAAATCTTTGATGTTTATTGAGCATTGAAACCACAGTGAAAGCCCCACACAAAAAGCACTGAGGCAATTAATATTCCTGCTTTCCTCTGTGTGAACTGGGGTTACGTAGCTTCCATAAGTCTTGTATGCAAGAAGATAATCAAAAAAACTTACGCATAACCACAGCAGAAGTGAATTGAGGAATTTTAATGCTGGGATGGCACAATTTGTAGGTACTTGACTTTGCAGCCTTAAGTATTACATTAATACGCAAAATTAAACAAAAATGCTCTAAGTATATTAAAAGAAATTGAATGTGATGAAAGTTTCTAGAAATACCTCTTCTTTCTAGAAATACCTCTGTTTAATATGAAGATTTCTCTAACTTCTTCAGCTTTCAGGTCTATGGAACATTTAGTCACAATTCTTTTTCTAGGTATACTCCCCTGCTAACATAACAAATCTAAGAATACAATGATTCTTAATTGTCGGAATCAAATATTAAAATCTGGGAACCATCAAGAGTCTGAATTGGAATTACAAACCATGATATTGTTTTGCTGATTGTAATGTTTTAGATACAGATTGATTTCTACGAGTTTCTGTCACTTAGAATCACCTCCCCAGCTCTTGGTTACCCTTCTCCAAGAAGATGACCATCTCATATTAAAACTAAGATAATGATGCAAAAAAAAATTATGACTTGCACACATCATTACACAGGTGGAGTGCCTACCTGCATTAAAAGCATGACAACAGAAGCACAGCTCTGCTCTACTTTGCATGGTGTGACCCTTTATGTATGTGAGTTCAGTGACTGAATAGTGAAAACTGCTTTGCAGTATTTCAGCACCCAGTTATAGAGTCACAACTGAGAGATTCAGTGCCAAATAATGGCATTACTGATCTAAAAAGGAGGGATTCTCACTACTGGAAAGCCAGCTGCTCAAACTACCAGTTCATCTTTTTGGTCCTTTTTACCATATCCTCTTCTCTTTGTGCCCATTTTGGTGTTTCTTTTCTTTCTGTCAGCATTTTTTTTTTTCATTTATTCATTGTCACTTTCTGTGCTTTTCTCTAGCAGCAGAAACATATTTACTTGCAAGCTGATCCCATCTGTGTGGCTGTGTTGTAAAGCTTCCCCCTGCAGTGGCACTGCATGTCTGGTTTAGTTTCATATGACAGGAAGTTCCAATGTACAGAAGTGCCAAGATTTCAAACTGCTTATCAAACAGAGAGTATTTGCATTTAGGTATGGTTTTA